AATATTAAACAGTACAGGGTTGTCAGCTCCATGCTGACACCTGTCAATAGGTGCACTCTCTTCATAGCCTGCTGTGCCATCTTCAGCTTGAGACAGTGCGCGTAAAGGATCAGCATGTGCTGGATAATGGTGTGCTCGACCCATTGCATGTGCTGCAAATACTTGTGGAAGTGCTCGAAGCTCATGGACACGGCCTGCTGGTATATCTTCACCAGCACATTGGACGGTATTTGGGTATCAAGTTTTGACAGCACACTCTTGTCCAGTTCCTTCAATCGCAGCTCTTCAATTACCGCCTCACTCAATGGCTTCAGTTTGGGCATGCGGCCCTGTGGCGACTGCAATCGCACAATGATCTCCTTAAGCAGGCTCTGCTGCAGTGTGGGCAATGCCACCGGTGTATACTCCGTGCTCTTAAGGGTGCTCAAGGCATCGGCGTATTCACCGCGACAGATGCGCACAATGACGGCCTCGGCCACATGGCGTTGTCCCGGCTTCAATGGTGCTGGCATAATGTGAAGGGGTTTCCCAAATGATATAATTTTATTTTTATTTAAATATCAAAATTTTTAACTCGCTTTACTTAACGTTTCCTGAATTACTCGTATATGATGAACTGTGTTTTCATTCACGGCCTACTGACGAATATCCCAGCCACTGAATGAAAATGGAAAACGCAAAAAAAAAGGATAGCCCTTAATGCATAATCAGCAGAAAGGTCAATGAGGAACTATCAGTTGTCAATATTTTATTTAATTGGAAACAATATAAATTTACCCACTCAACTTGAGAGAAATTGCGGAAATGTTTTACAATTTCAAGCAACACTTTAAACTACGTTTTTAGTCTAGTGTCGGCGTAACATATTCCTTTAAAGACTAATCGTACAGATGATTTAACTAAATTGATTAGAACAAACATTTGTGGGGTTCGAATTGTAAATGAAGCTTGTGTTGAATTTTTTTTTAAACTTCCACTTAAAGTATTTGGTGAGATCTCACTATTTTAAATCTGCAACAATATTTTAATATTTTATAAAAAATATTTTAATTAAAAGTAATTCTTGACCAGTACACAGCTCCAATATCAAAAGTCGGCTCTTTAAAATCACATCTAAATAAAGGTTTATTGTTTAGAAGCTAGATAACCATATCTTGGCCTCTTAATAGTAAAGACTTTAAGAATCAAGATTACTAGAGAACAAATAAATAAACATAATAAAAATGGTTGTAAAAATTAAATGTAATTTGTGGTTCTTCAAAGTGCAAATAGAATGACACTAGGAAATACATTTACTTGGCTCCTTTAAATATACTAAAATATTTCTTTTTGAGTTGCAGTCAGAGACCTTGATTTTTGGCAGCTTTAGAGTACTTTTCAGCCGCGTATCAAGCCTTTTATTCTAACTACAAGATGTGGTAGCATTTTGAATTAGTGTAGTTGCTTAAATTTTCTCAAACTGGAGTCCCATAATTTTTATGACTTATATCATGGAATGGAGGGGAAAAAATCTTTCTATCCTTTGCCGTGCAAGTGGTAGACACTGTGCTGATTGCCAGCATCGCCTTAACCCGCGCTCATAAATTCGAGCACGCCACATATGGCGGCACAAATGCTGACGCTCCAAGTGCTCTGGCAGACATAAAAAGCTATGGCTGTGGCAGCAACAACGACTGCGAGCGTGGCTGAGTTGTGGGCGCACAATTGAAATGGAAATCAAAGTGGGCGTTCATGAGTTAAACACTCGACAGAGCGCCAAACGGAAGTAGCAATGTGACAAAGTCGCTTTGTGCAGCTCTTGTGGTTTACGACTTGTGCTCCTGTAGGAAAAATAAAATCACATACGACTGCCACCGCTCGAAACGGCTCGAGTGCCATTCAAGCAGGCAGTGCGCATATGGGATATGGCAAGTGGTTGACGACATGAGAGGCGGGCGCACGAAAGGGCCCTGGCAGCGAAGGAAAAGTGAAACAACGAAATAAAATGGCAGCATACGCCATTTTTTCATCATAAGGATTTCCGCTCCAAGCGGGCGCACATTGCTCAAAAATTTATGATTCTCGTCTGCGATGAGTTCATTATTTCGCAGGCTGCCAATGCCAATGCGTCGCCGAATGCGTCGTGTGTGGCGCAAGTAATGCGAAAACAATTTAATTTTATTGTTTTTCACATAAATTTGTGTTTGCATGCCAGCGAAAATATACTATATACTTGTAGTATGCATTGTTTCTCACACAAGCCATATGAAATGTGATAGCACTGTACTCATGTGTGTGTGTGTGTTTGTGTTTGTGTGTGTGTGCGTTGCAAATGGTCTTGGCCATATAATTGAGTCACGTTTGCCATGGGATTATGTTTGTGTAAAATATTCAGATTTATTCTGTGCTATTGAATGGCAGGCAACGAGGGATATTGCATGCGTTGTGATTTATATAAATTGCATAAAGAAATGCGCAAGTGCGAGGAGATGAAAAATTAGAAAACTTCCAACCAAGCAGCAAGTCTCCAAATCAGAACAAAATTGTTATTCTGCTGCTTGTTTTGCTCAACTTTTCAACATTCCCTAAGAATTTCAAACAATACTATACTACCACTTGTATCAACTGCTTTGCAGAAGTATCAATAGGTTTTTAATCATATTCATACTTGTATAAAAAGATAATTCACAAATTCGTGTATTATATTATTTGTATATTTAGTCGCTTCAGAATTTCACGCTTACAAGCAACCTATGACTATATCCATCAAGATAAAAGTAAAAAACTTAATAACTTTGGCCAAATGGCTTTATTTAATGCATTGACTTTTAATGGTTTCCTGTGTCAAATGGTTTGTTAAACATTATTTATTTGTTTTTGTATTTATATCTACTGCCAAATACTCCAAGATTTTCCATTTACCATAATGTTGGGAGTAAGTCATCCAAAAAAAAAAAAGTTTACTACCTACCTCTAATTGGAAAGACCTTGATAGATGAAAACAGGCCTCCCAACCGGTCCTTACCCTAAACTTTTCTCATTAGCGAAATGTACTACTAGGTACAAATATATATATATATATATAGTACTTTGTGGGCTCCACCTCCTTCTGCTTGTTACATTTTTCACATCCCGCAAACTTAATATACTCGTACTCTTTTACATTTCATGTACAGAGTATAAAAAATCTCCTGAGGTTTATATTTTTATAGACTTTCTACAACAGACATAAGCATCTAAGTCTAATGTAGCTGGCAGCCACTTTTCTATTTAAATGTTTCTGAATTTGTGTGTTCCTGTATACAAAATATAAAAAGTATAAAAAATCTCCTGAGGCTTATATTTTGTAGACCTTCTACAACAGACATAAGCATCTAAGTCTAATGTAGCTGGCAGCCACTTTTCTATTTAAATGTTTCTGAATTTGTGTGTTCTTGTATACACCTACAATCTTCATTTATACAAGTATTTTCTCGGGCTTTTTCTAAAAATGCGCCCTGTGCGATTAGTGACTAATATTTTGTATTTATATTTTGTTTTATAAAGCATATAGTTGTTTCTTCTCGTCAAATTTCCTTACTATTAAAGAACTTCATTTTAAAAACAGAAAAGACGAACAATAATCATTATTGTTCAGATTGTACAATAAAAATAAATAAGCAATGCAGATATTCACAAAAGACAGGATTGATATTTCAACTTCTTGGTTAATAATTTTGTCCAAATAGTATTTCATCTGAAACACTGTCACAGACATCTTACATTTTCCCTTTAACTTGCGAACATCATTATAATTCAAGGCATATTTGAAAGCTTTCGATTTGTAATTGTATGCAGTTGGAATGAATTACTAGATACTGAATCACTAATACTTTTAATAAAAGTTAAATAAATAAGAAGAAATTAAACTTTTACATATATGTATCTATTCCCTAGCTATTTAAGTCAATCTCTTGTGCGGGAATTTCTCGGGATAAGCCCATTGATAGTTTACGTTCTCTGTTTATACTTAATGCAAAGACCTCAATAATGAGCCATTTTATTTTAACACAGATATATGTTTGTAGGTACAGATGTATATACTTATCCGCTGTACGTGCCTATAATGCCAATTGCTTGTTCCACCGTCCCTTTCGCCAGTCGATTTAGGAAAAAACTAATACCGTGCCATAGAGGAAAAATCAAATTTCGTGCTGGCATGCAAGTTGAATGCCATGTCGGGCAAGTTGTAAACAGGCAAACGAAATTTAATTTATCTGTATCAGTTCCACTTGCCTCTGGATGCCAACATGTTGTTGCCACAGCCGGCGGTACAACATGTGCTCCAACAAATTCATCTGCCATGTCACAATGGGCGCAACGGTATGCAGAACTCGAAGGGCACAGCCCGCATCTGCAAACATATGTATGTACATATAGTACTCGTATATGTATGTATGTACTAGCAGTATATATACAATTTGATCTAAAGCTATGCTAGTTGCCAAGCTGCAGGCTGCACGTGACAAGACTCGGAGAAAAGTGAAACTTTTGTGTGCACATACGAGTGGATAGTAGATCCTTTTTTCGGGCAGTGGTGGTGGCTGGGGGCGCACCCAATTTTTTGGGGAGAGGCTGTCTTAAAGCAGGCTTTAAGCGAAATGTGTCATTAATCAAATGTTGCCCAATAACTTTGTGAGGCGTCAGCGGCTGCCAACCCTTTTACTGCCAACATTAGGCGGCCGTTTCTGAAATATGAACTTTTTCTCTGACGAATGCCGGCAGTCATTAATAAATTAGGGGTTAAAATGCCATAACAACGACGGCGCGGAGTGAAAAGTTTGCTTGTTTATTTAATTGAAAGCGAAACCGAGGGAAGCAGATTTGTTTAACTCAATTAATGTGGCGAGGGAGGGAGCGCAGCAGACGGCACTAACTCCGATTTCGATTGTGATTTTGATTTTGATTTTACGAGCGCAACACTTGACGCAACTGTCAATTCAGAGTTTCGTTTTGATTTCATACGACACCCCACACCAAATACAAGACACTATTTTGGTAATATTTTAATCACACTACAAGTAAGTACACTAAGTAGTTTGCGATAAATTGGGCTCAGCAGAATGTGGAAAATTGGAGAATGTCGCGCACCTGGACTGCCACAGAAGAGCGAAAGCGAAATATTGACTGCCAGCGATGGAAACTGCACTGGCTCAGAGGAAGATGAGCGCCCGCCGGACTTAGATCTGATCTATGCTGATTTGGAGAGTATGAGGCAGCGTCTTCTTGCCATCCGAAACACAATGGTACGCCCTGAACCAGAGCCCTGTTTAGAGATCGTAGCGTACGAGCAGGCAATACCCTTTAGCACCAAGGCACAACGCCAGCTGATGGAGCTGCGTCGAAACAACTGCATCATGAAGTGCAAAATTGAGGATATGACGCGGCACTTGCTCAACTCCCGGCAGCGGATGAAGGAGTGTGAGGCACGGCAAATTCATCTGAGGAAGCACATGGAGAAGATGAGCAAACAACTCGATGAATTCAAGGCGTTCATCACCAAAGCACAGGATAACTTCGGCATTTGCATTGAACGCTTCGAGCTGCACAAAAACTGCTTCGTGGACATCAAGGATTTTCGCGAAAAGGTTACCGAACTGATGTTCCAAATGAAGGAATTATTGAATAACAAAGTGCCGAAGGCGTGCCACAAGATTATGCGCAAAGCGATTCAAAAGGAATCTGTGGCAATGCGCTTCTTCTTACAGGCCTTGCTCGAAAGTGTACTCCAGTACACCGAGTATTTCCAGAGACGCGTGAGCACAAAGTGGGTACCACCGTCATTTTACACATATTCCTAGACTACATATATAAACATCAAATAAAATTACTAGTATAACTATATATATGTTTCATTCAACAGAACATATCAATCCGTCATGTCCGAATCGGTGAGTGCACGTTTCCCTAAATTTGTGCGAGAGCCACCGCCATCACTCAAGAGCCAGATCGTCAATGATGATGAGGAGCAGGAGTGGAACACACCCATCAGGACATGATAAGAGCAGATTGAGGCATGGGTGTTTTTCATTGCAAACTAGGGATTCAAGTTTCTCCATTGTAATTGCTTTCAAAATGTCGCTCAATTAGGATTATTGGCACTCGGCGGGGCTTAATGGCAACATAGTCGCCAATTGCTCCCCGCGGCCATAATAATTAGAAAACTTCCACTCTCCGCCTGCCGAAGTATATTTGAATTAATGGCGGGTCCGCTTAGAGCGGGGCATTTTCCTTATTTTTATTTTTTGGACAACACGTTAAACTTAACTGGCCACACCAAATTCTTTCTCGCTCTTCTTGAAAATTCTAATCCGACTTTGACTTAACCGCCATACAAATGTACGCATTCCCACCAGGATAAGGAGCTGCCTGCCTGACTGGCTGACTGCCTGGCTAGCTGAAAGCAAACGTAGCTAAATACGAAATGGGATCAGATAAAAACAAAGCAGATTTGTCTCGCACACACACACATAAAGCCCCCCCAAAAAAAAAAGGAAGAAACAAAAAAAGCTGAAAACCCTCGCATACGCGGCTACTGACAGCCCAGAGCCAAAGCCAGTGGCAACGAAACTCCAAGCACATCCTTTGGCGTTTGTCGAAATGCGTAAAAACTCAATTGCGACGCATTGGCAGACGGCAAACAACATGGCCAACATGGCCAACACGGCCAACAGAGCCAATAGACATGAGCAGCATGGGCGACGTGGGTTAAATACGCTACAGCCTCAATTGAGTGAGATAGCGCAAATGGTAAAAGCGAATTTATTGGAGTCATGTGCTGATAAGCGTGGCTTCTATGCCATGCTAAATTACAATGTAAAAATACGAATATACACGAGCGGATACATGGGCTACACAGACACAGATACAGCTACAGATACAGCTATGGATACAGATACAGCTACAGATACATGGCTACACGGTCAAGTTCTCGTACTCTGGCCTGTAACACAGGAAACGCATTAGATACTCGTTCCGACTGGCCCAACTGGCAGCACGATGATAAAAATCTGCGTAAAATGATGCTGCAATTTGATGAGCAACTAAGTTCGGGCAATTAGTTTGCTGAACGGTGTGCTCATCATGCGTGTGTGTATCTGACAGTCCAACAAAACTGTTGCGTCGTCTGGGGGGTCCACTAAGCTCTAATCGTGTGCCCCCCAAATGGCATTTAGTGCTAATGTGTTTACTTTGGCTTAAAGTTGTGGCACGAACAATTGACAGTCTTGGGCACTGTCTAATGTTCAGGATCGCTTTTCCATCAGACGTGAAAACACTGTCTGTCGTCAAAAGGAAAATGACACTGCAAACAGTTTTGACAGTGTCTCGTACATTTTTCTGATCCATTCGCTGTTATAATGTTTTTCTAACGATATATAGTCTCTTCTAATGCTCTTTTTAAGAAATTTATGTTTAACTATTGCTCTTTCGAACACAGCAGTGGGTCAAATAATTCATTTTAGAGCTCAAGGAATCTTCTTATTTCTTCTATTAATTGGTAGGGCAACTTTCAGTGACTTATATTTATTTTTAGGTGATTGTTGCATAAACACATTTATACTTTTTGAAAAGTTTAACCTTTAATTTCGCATTAAATCATGCACACTTTTCATATCAACAGAACTAAAAAACTCTATTTAAATAAGACAACTTGCAAAATACACCAAATATTTTGACCATTATTAATTTAATTATGGTCCGATTTGTCTCGACTTGTAAAGCTTACATGTCTGTTATATACAAAACATCGATGCAGTGCATGAACTGATAGTGCAAGATCATCATGTGACATATCGTAAGATAGAAGCATCATTTGCACATTATTTTGCATCAACAATTAGTTGTATAACAAACTTTCAGTCGTTGGATGCCCCATAATTTATCAATAGCTCAAAAAAAGGCTCATGTCGATTGATGTAGGGAAATTCTTAAAAAGTTCGACCGTGGTGTAAAAAATAGCTGACGAATCCTGGATATATATATGCGTATGAACGGGAAACGGAGCAGCAAATCGACCGTGTGGGTGTTCCAAGACGAGCCGAATCCAATAAATGGTTGCTCGCGCTCGAAGCACTGCGAGGCTCGTGGTCGCCTGTTTCTTCGGCTGAATGGGTCAGATCCGCTGTTGAGCAACGTAGGACGGTCAATTCTGAGTGGTACACGACCATCTGACTGCCGAAAGTCTTCAGAGAAATCATTCTCCAATATAACGAGCTCTCACACATCTCGTCAAAAATGTGAATTTTTGAGCAGTCAAAACATTCTCCGTACAATCCAGATTTGGCACCCAATGACTTCTTCTTGTTTTCAAAAATCAAAGGTTAACAGCTAGGTCAAAAATTTACAATCGCCGAAAAAACAGCTGAAGCGTTCAAAAACCATTTTTGGAATTGTTTCAAACAGATTGGAAAAACAACTATAACAAATGGTTTGAACGTATGCAAAAGTACATTGATCAGCAATGTCAATATTTTGAAAACAATTAAGTGAAAAATGTTTGTTATTATTTGCTCTTCCTGAAATATAAAGACTATTACCCCTCATGTACATTACGAGGTCTTTTAGGTACAACTCTGTAGTGAGTAAAGTGGTCATAAGAACTTCTTTATTCTGTAGATTCATCCAAAATTGGTGCATGTCATATAAAAATAATAATGTAGGAAGCTAGGAAATTAAACTATTTTCCTTGCACACTATTTCTCAGAACAGCTCATCATTATGCTTCGCATACTCACTTCGAATTCCAATCCTCGCCAGCAATTGCTCAATTGACCGCATACTAGGCCCAAATGGGAATAGCATGGCTGCATACCGGCGGCTATAAGTGCGACAGTAAAATCGGTCGTCAGCGTTAAAAGTTGGCTAAAACGTTGTTGGGGACGGTGTGCATGTTTGCTGCTCCACTGAACTCTTTGACAACCACAAACAGCAGAGATAAAAAGCGTTTTTCCTTTTTGCTAATAAGCCGATGTCTAGCTGGAGAAGAAGAAGAACAACAACAACCGCATCGACATCGGCACAGGCACGCCAACTTGCCTTTGGGCTGTTTTGCAGTAATTTCAAAGATACGAATACGAAACGCTCAAGTGGTTAAGTTTCCACTCTCATGCTAGCCGCTGAAGTACAAATAATTTCCATTTGGCCCAAACAGCAACGACAACATTTGCATTTTTTCTTCAGCCGGCAAATAGACAAACATGCCTGCTGGGCTCTAACTGTAACTTGGCCGAGTATTTAAAAAGTAGCTGGAGAGATACATCGTCTTATGCGAGTAGATGCGTGCTTGGGCTCTGCAATAGATAGGGCACAAGTTGTAGATAAATATGGCATACATAAATATTGCTGGCAAGTTCTGCTCAGAGCATGAAAAGTTTGTTCTTGGCCATAGTTCCCTTTGTATCTATGTGCTTGATGTGCTTGGCGTGTGCACACAGATACATAAACACACACACACACACACACACGCATATAAATGAGAGTCGAAGATACAGTTATGTTGGATGTAGGTTTTATTTACTGCAACTACCGTGCAGATTTCGAAGGCGTCGTGGCTTAGTTGGTTAAAGCGCCTGTCTAGTAAACAGGAGATCGTGAGTTCGAATCTCGCCGAGGCCTTCCTAGTAGTAGTTGTTGACAATTCTACATTTTTTACACACTAACTATAGTTTAAACAAAAGTGCTCTATAAATTCAACAAAAATCGGCAAGATGGTATCCGCCTCTCAGCATGGAATGGCAATCAATTGCCAATGCTTTCCTCAACTCTGTGTATGAGACGGACTAGGCGAGCGAAGTTATTGTTCTTGTTCTTCCTGTTCCTTCATATTTGTTTGGTTTTTTTTTTTGGTGCTATTGCTTTTGTTATTGTTGTTGTAGCATAATGGCCGTGCACGCCAACTGGCGCACTTGCTGTTAACATGTTTCAATTGCCGCAATAATTGTTTCAATAATCGTTAAAAGCACGAAAATTGCGCTACAGCATGACCCGAAGCGCCAAAGCGTCAAAAGTTTTGTACACCGTGTGTTCTTGTTGTTGTGTGGAGCAGGGGAAGAAGCAGAAAAAAGCTTCCTTAACAAAGCTCCAATTCCAATTCCGTATCGACGCGTTCGATTCTATTTTTGGCAGGAGGGCCTATTAAAGAATCACACGAAGGGGAGACGGAAAAAGCACAACAACAAGGAACAACAATTTGTGAAATCAAAGTTATTTTTAACAGAAATGTATATACTATACACCTAATTCTGTTTTTACGCGATCTTTTTTAATCTGTTTTGATTTAACACGGTTTTAAACATTTTATATATGGTTACACGACATTATTCCATTAAGCACGATTTAAATTAAGATGATCAATGTCTTTTTTTACACGGTTTTTTACACGACTTTTTCTGGAACCAATCTACCGTGTAAAAACAGAATTATGTATATTTTCTAAATGTAACCAAGTACATTTTTTAAAATTCTTTATAAATAAAGCATATTGATTGCAATTTATTATCTACTTTGCTGTCTTATTAGCCAAATTTCTTGTTAGGCTCCCATTTTATTTAATTCATTATAATTAAAGCATATTTAATATGGAATGGTATTTATTATCTATTTTGCTGTCTTATTAACCAAAACACTAAAAATAATAAAACAATAACAAAAAGTATTGAAAATCTTACGTTTTCTAAATATATATTCTATGCCTTACAATTAAATTGTATGCTTACATATATATCGAATATTTTGACTGAAAATCAAAGTTGTTCTACAATTTTACTTTTATAAATGAAAATTTAATTAAAGATAATTCCCTTATCTTCCCAAACTATGCCACACAACTTAGCCAAGCTAAGCAGTTGTTGTTCCACAATTTTCAATGGTACTTCTATATATAATTTCATTAAAGAACTATAAATAAAACAAGATAGAACGCTACAGTCGAGCAAGCCCGACAGTAAAATATCCTGTACTCTCCACAAAAAAGAAAAATTAAAAAAAAAAAAATATTTTTTTAAAATTAAATTATTAAAAAAAATGAATGAATTAATTAATTCAATTAAATTAGAATACATGTTTATGTTCAGTTTTAACAGCATACATTTATATCACGTACCTATGCGTGTTTATATGCGTGTATGTATGCAGCACAAAGTTGAACCAAAGCAGCATCAACAACAACAGCTGCGGGCAGCGATTTTACTTATGGCTATAACTTTCTTCAGAATTGACCTATCATGATGAAACATGATGCACACGGACACATAAGCACTAACTGGATGTAACTACCAAAAATGATTTCAAAATTCCAAGCGATTCGGAAGTTATACAAAAAAACACGAATTGCGGGGGAGTGGGGGGTGCATCGAAAAAAAAACTCAAACTCGTACTTTCTCGGTCTTAGGAGAATATGGAAACCAAGTTTGGTTATTCTAGCTCTTATACTTTCTGAGATCCTTGCGTTCATACGGACAGACGGACAGACGGACGGACGGACAAGGCTATATCTACTCGGCTTCTCATCCTGATCAAGAATATATATACTTTGTGGGGTCTGCCACGCCTCCTTCTGTGTGTTTCATACATTCGCACAAAACTAGTATAGCCTTTCACCCTTTGGGTACAGGCTATAAAAATAGTTAAAGCTAGTTCCCTTATCTTCCCAAACTATGCCACACACCTTAGCCAAGCTAAGCAGTTTCAAATTTTCAATGGTACTTCTATATAAAATTTCATTAAAGATCTATAAATAAGAATTTAATTAAAGATAATTCTCTTATCTTCCCAAACTATGCCACACACCTTAGCCAAGCTAAGCAGTTGTTGTTCAAAAATTTTCAATTCAAAAATTTCAATGGTACTTCTATATAATTTCATTAAAGAGAATTTCCTCATCTTCACAAACTATGCCACACACCTTAGCCAAGCTAAGCAGCAAACTTCAGAGGGCGACCAAATTACTTGCTGGTTTGTGTGCCAACTAGACTTTTAAAAAGCTTCGAAGCTTCGACACGCCACCATATACGGCAGAGGGCTCCTTGGCTAGTCCTGGTACACCAGGTAGAGCACAACAATCATAAAGTATGTGGGCCGTTCGAATACAAATTGCGTAAAATTATCCCGCTTCTCGTCCATCAGGTGGCACATGCTCATGTAGATGCCCTGATTCTGTTTCTCCACGATGGACAGCAGACAAACGATGCGATGCCTGTGTATATATGTACAAGTAGATTTGAGTGCGATATAATGTGGGTATTATTATTGTTGGTTTTGCTTTGAGAGTGGAGCACAGACCACTTACCGTCTGTGGTTTAACTTCTTGACCCGATCGCGTATTTCCGCCGCCAGGCTCTCCACCAGCTGCAAAGCTCGCCACGAGTCAAAATTGCGACTGAATCGATCCCACAGCAGACGCTCCTCAATGCAATCTTCGATGATTTTCTGCGCACGTTCCATATTGAAATTGGTGTGAAAGAATTTCCAATCATTTTTTGGCTTCTCCTTGCGCTCTCCGTCGACCAGCTCGCCCTCCCCGCTGGGATGCTGGAGGGCCCGTCGACGGGTTAGCATCGATTCGGAGAGCAGCGCATTCATGCGATTTGTGGTGCGCACCGAGGCGGTTATTCTGCCAACGAAATCGAAAGCAAAAGGTCAATTTTGGGATTAATTTCGGTTCAACTGGTCGTGTACCGCGTCTTCATGCTGCTCCAACTTGACATAATGCCCCGACACTGCTCTCTACTATATTTATTTAGGCCAAATCGGACAAAACAGTCAAGGCGTGCGGCTTAACTGCGACTACTACCTATTTTTCTATCGTCGTTGCTGTCCTCGTCGCCTGTCGCTTCCACCTTGTCCGTATGTTGGTTTATTTCTAAACTATTCATTCATTTCAATGCACTTCTAAGCACTATATTCTCCATTTCTATTTCCACTGCATGTCCTACTTATGTACTATATTCTATGGGTAGTATTCGTATTGCCTTGCATGCCGTTTGTCAGCGGCATAAATTGAAAATTTTCAATACGATAGATTCAATAGCAACAATGAAACGACCGCCGCGAAAATGGAAAAACAAATTCCTTGCGCGTCCGTCTGAAGACTGACATGCAGACACGAGCTGTTTCCTAGCCAGGTCGACACAGGAGCAGGTATCCACACATCATCAGAGCGTCATGCACTTTGCTCGTCATTGTTTTTTGTTAGTTTAGCAAACTCTTCACTTTCAGCGGCTGCCGCCATCAGACTTTAGTTTTGATTTAGTTTTGCCTTCCGTTTGCGTGCCGCTTATCATAAACCAACCGAAACTTTCGCTCCAATTGCACCCTGCCGGCTTGCTGGAGACGTGGGTGTCATCCTCATTGCCACCAGCTGCTGGTCGGGTGGGCTGGCGAGCAAAGTGTTGCCATATGCCGCCACTCGGCTGAATTGTTGCAAATAGTTACGGCTGTGGCACGCAAAGCTTTCTCAAGTTTATTGCTTCTGATCGGATACTTTGCGACACCTTGGCTTGTGCGGTTTGCTTTAAGTAGTTTTCTATGCCCAGACAATTGATTGATTTTATAGCACCGGTGCTCAGACAATGCTCGAGCAGCGTATACAACATTCGAGGCAATTTTCGACTTTGTATTAGCTTTTATGAAGTTATTAAACTGATATAACTGCTCAATCACGGGCGTTTCGTGCGATGACTTAATGCCTTCAATTGAATCACTGATGGGACTCAAGTGTACGAATGGAGACATGCAACTACTTATATTGGAACTATTCATATTCAGTCACTGTCTTGATGTTGTAGGATAGGCAGATCAATCAGATACGAGCTGTGAGCTCTCTGACCTTCCTGGAAGAACCTCTGTGCAAATACGATCCGGAAAAAAGACCCTGACAGCCCTGTCTGTCTGTCTGTCTGTCTGTCTGTCCGTCTGTATGAACACCTGGATCTCAGAGACTATAAGAGCTAGAGACACATAACTTTGCACAAAGATGCCTTATGTGTGAACGCTATACGAGTTTGTTTTATTTTTTTGATTTTCCCCCCACTTCCCCCTATGGGGGTATCTCCGTAACGCCGTTCGTATAATCGCTTATGTCTCGGAGACTATAAGACCTAGGGACATCAAATTTAAAATCCAAGATGCCTCATGTACATAAGTCCCAGATGCCTTATGTGAATACGCAGAAAATATGTATTTAGGAATTTCCCTCCTTCCCCCCTCTCCCATGCAATTCGCGATTTTCTCTAACTTGGAAATTCTTGGAATTTCGAACTAAAATTTTGCAAATACCCCCAGATAGTAATTATGTGTCCGTATGCCAAGTTTCATCATGATAGACCGATTAAACAAGAAGTTACAGCCATTAATATATTTGAGGTAAAATCGATCATAAACATTTTTTTTAATTCTCTTACTTTTTTTTTAATTTCTATAATTATTCTATACAGAGTAGTTCAAAGTCGGGACACCCGAATTTAGCTTTTTTACTTGTTTTATTTTTTATTTGGCTGTCAGAGATGCCATATATTCACTCCATTCCCTTCAAATCGCTTCAAAGAGGGCCGAAAAATCGGTGAGGACGACCAAGAACATCAACTGGTGAGCAACACGTTAAGCAAATCTATGAAGTGGTAGTCGATTGACAACTAATGGATCAGTCCATACCATTTAAAGTAGGGTTGGGTGTCCCGTCAAAGTGAAATTTTGTTTAGTTTCAAAAACAATCCACTCGTTTATCGTGATTTGAAGGCGATTTAATAGATCTTAATGAATAAGTAAAGGGTTTAAAAGCAATAATAAATAGTGAGGGTTATATTTGCACATTGAAGGACCGGGGACAGGCCTGTTTTCTTCTATCAAGGTCGTCCCAATGACACATTACGGAGGTATCACCATATAGGTAGTTAAATGTTTCTTGTGCGACTTACTCCCAACATCAAGATAAATGGAAAGGCTTGAAGTGTTTGCGAGTAGATATAAATATAATGTTTAATAAACCATTTGACAACCATTAAAAGTCAATATATACACATGAATAAAATAAAGCCATTTGGCCAAAGTTATTAAGTTTTTTACTTTTATCTTGATCGATGTAGTAATAGGTATGGTAATAATACAAAAATAATGAATTTGAAAGTACAAACTTAATTGTGCGTCTTTAAAAACGAATTTCCGCAGTCGCGTACTAGAATATCAAAAAATATCGTTAAATTAGTTTTCAGCAATATCTCAGAGCACTACCATGTCGAGGTCGCTGATTTTTTGTGGATTTTTGATGATTCTGTTTGCATTTCATTGCAATGTGAGTATTTTAGGGAGAGTTATCCTTCATATCTCCGGTATAGGCAGCACTGTCATGTAAAAATAACATCAAGATAGTGTAAATGTAAAATAAAAGCAGTGCCCTTTTTTTTGTTTCAAAAAGCACGAATGTTTGTACAACAAAAAAGCTGTTATCCAAATGTGAAAGGTGGCCCAGAATAATTTTGTTATTATTTTGGTATTAGCAGAGTGTTTTTATTTAAAACTGCCCATCGTGGACAATCATTAAATTTGTTATATCCGAGAATATATGCAACTATAATCTATTATAACATCTTAGCAAGCGGCCTTCTTCAAATTCACGAATCTGATATGCGAATCGTACAACAAGTCATGGGTTCAATTCCATTACTGTCGCCTAAATGTGGTTAAACGCAATGTTATCAATTTGAACATTAATGGTACCTTTTTACGTCCGGCCAAAAACATTCATCTCAATATACAAATGCTGAAGAAGGCTAATGGCTATAAGCCGTGGCTCGTCAACTTCACAGTGGATGCATGCCAGTTTTAAAAAAAAAACAATCATCCAATTGCAAAACTTATTTATGGCCTTTACAAAGATTTTTCAACGCTAAACCATACGTGTCCATATGAGGTAAGCAGCTTCAAATATGTTCAATTAAATAATTGCTTCAAATTAATACGCAACTTTAAATTATAGGGGCTACAAATGTTAAAGGATTTGAACATTAATCCAGAAAAGATACCCGTTCCGCTTCCCCCCGGAGAATACGTTTTGGATTGCACATGTATGTTTGATTTGAGACCACAGTTTGCGCTAAAAGTATACTTTACATTCAATGAGTGAATTCCCCGAAGGTATCGGCCTAGATATATCTGTCATTCTGGCCGTATAATTAAATGAAAGCCTGGATTTCGGAGACATCTGAGTGACCAAACAGAGAGTATATTTTATTTTTCATTTTTCACAAAACAAAGCTAAGCTTACAAAATCTGTTTGTTATTCTTAACCAATGTCGAATTGGATAAAAGTCCGGCTATACTAATAAAAATTTGTCAGTCCGCCTGAACACTTGCTCCCTCATTTGTACTGACAGAAAGATTCGAAAGCATAAAGATCCTAGGTACTGCAAGCTTATGTTTTTTTTTTTTTATTCAATGCAGCCCCACCCCTCCAAAGTTATTTTTTTCATAGCACATGTCCCAGGGCCTTTTAGTTTGGGCGCCCACATTCCTGTTTTTGTTTTATTCCTTGTACCCAAGAATATAAGCTAAGAACTAAGTAGACTAGCAAAATATTGCTGAGTAAAGAAAACAAGAAAGGAATGCTAAAGTCGAGCAGGCTCAACTCTTAAATACCCGGTATCTCCCACCAAAAAGGAAAAAATGAAAAAACATTTTCTAATTAATTTTTAAAAATAAACGCATGTTTATATGCGTGTATGTATGTTGCACAAAGTTGAACCAATGGATGTATATGCCAAAATTCCAAGAATTACAGGAGTTATGAAAAACACGAATTGCGGGGGAGTGTATCAGTGGGTGTATCAGAAAAAAAAACACAAATTCTTCCTTTCTCGGACAATCTGGATACCAAGTTCGGTTATTCTAGCTCTTGTACTTGCTGAGATCCTTGCGTTCATACAGACGGACGGACGGACGGACGGACAGACGGAAATGGCTATATCGACTCGACTTGTCATCCTGATCAATACTTTGTGGGGTCTGCCACGCCTCCTTCTGTATGTTACATACATTCGCACAAAACTAGTATAACAAGCAAACAAAAACACAGGCTGTTAGTCGTCTTGTCTTGTCTGGTCGGATCTCGCCACTTTAATGGCTGAAGTGGAATATGTCTCGTAACATTGAATATATAATCCCTACAACGAAGACTGACCCGGCTCTCACGAAAGCGGACTTTGCTGAAAGATGTTAATTATAGTGTCATGCTGATCCAGATCTTTTAGATACCTTAATAAGGGTACAATATTTACAAGGGTATAATACTTAAGTCAAGATTTGTACAAGGAGGCTGAGTTCAGATAACCTGCGGATACCTTCACGTTATTATTATTATAAGTATCAGTATGAAGTCTACATTATAAGGATTGCTTAATTGGATAATGTCTTAATTAAAATAAACATTAAGTGAAGGCTATAGTTTTTGTTCAATTCGTCTATGCAGACTACTATAATTCCACACCGCCAGCACATAATGGCCCACAAACATGTGAGCTTTATATGTAGGTACAAATAAAACGATTTCCAGTTACCTGGTTACTAATTGCCTAACACAAATGGCTAAACACACGGATATGTGCCAGAATTAGCAACCGTAGCAATAAATCAAGCAATTTGTACGACGATTATGGCCAATCCAGGCAACTTTGTTTCGACAGTTGAACTCATTAGCACCTGAGCTCGCACACGGATCAAGCACAAATGTCAGCAACAATCACAAGTAACAGAACAACACACTATAACTACACCCACATTTTGCATTAAACACTATTGGCTCGTTTTAAGAAACTTACGCTTGCATGCGACTCATATTCGCGGACTATGTGGACTATGCGAATAAGTATGCTTCGAATTTCTGAAACGGGAACCGTAATGCCTGCTCCGATCGAGTTTTCGCGCCAAACTTGACGTGGGCCCGTTTCAAACGTAACTGGCCCGTTGTTCTCAAACACAAAAGCGCAAACCTAACTGTAGACTTTGTGGCGCCACCGACTAGGCCCAGCAACGTGATACAAAGCCGTAAAAGTCACCCGGGTGTACGTACAAGTATACGTACTGTTGGTAATTGCTTTACGATGTATTGCAATGTTTACTCACACACATATGGAGCGGGCTATAACTAGCTGCCTTCATTGTTTTGATTCGTTTAGCAATACTCCGGCATGTCGAAAGACAACTACTATGCATAGAGTTTTGTTCTAAGCATTTGTGTGCCATTATACTCCAAATCGTATTTATTTAGAGTAATTTTCTGATATTTGACACACATGCAAGCCAGCCAACCACCAGCACAGGTGTGCAGGCCATGTCAAAGGTGGCGCGGCAATTAAAAACTTGGGTTGAAAACTGTCGAGCCCTTCACATGCAAACTATTTAGTTTAGAATGAAACGAGCTTGTCCTTTGAGTGCCTCTGTGTGTGTGCCTGTCTATATCTATCCGTGTATCTATGTGTATGTGTGACTTTGCGTGCAACACATTCCTCTAAAACTTGCAAGCGAAAAATTACTTGTCAGTGCTCTTTGACTTAGTTAGCGCGAATATATTTTGGCATCGCATCGAATCTGACGCATAAAACAATCTCAAAATGGGTGAAGTTTAGCTCCAACAGTGAAAATGTTGAAAGGAATTAATACAAGAAGAGGTCGTTTTTGTACTCATATAGTATATAGAATTTTACCCAAGTTCGATTTTCTTTTTCTACAGTCACTAGGAGCCATAGCCATAATATTAAAAGTTTCCGCCTGCTGACAGTTTTTGGCTTATATTTAGATTTCAAGTACATTTATGAATTATACTCGTATATGAGTTATAGCATTAATTGTTACTCTGAAGTTGCTTTAATATGCATTTAAAGCATCGCTCTTATTACCAACAATTCTTTGATTAAACCAGAAATAATAATTTTTTCTTACACTCTTTATACAATTATTGCTTTTTGTCTAGCCTTTTAATCACTCAAAGCTTATGAAACCTTCCATAAGTAGTCCTATATTACTTGTATTAGAAATCGCACTACTCTTGTACAGAAAAAAGAACGAAAAAATAGATCTACTTGTAGGTAAGATAAATGCACTGTCAAATATGCAATTTCTTCACTAAACAAATTTTTACTGCAAACTTAGTGTGCAGACCTAAATAAATTGACAATAAAGCTTCTTTAAAAACATATAACATATCACCTATGTGCGATTATAAAATTTACAATTTATAATTAAAAAAAATACTGTAATTAATTAATTATCATCATATGCCTTAAGCCATCGTTTCTTGCTTTCCCCTTCCATTGCGGAGTCACAAAATTATTTCATTACCCCTGTCCTCTTCTGCTATGAAATCGGGAAAGAACAATCTCAACAGCTTGCATCGATCGATTGCAGCTCATATAACAGATATTTGAAGAATCAGTCGTACCCCTATGACAAATATTTGCATGTAAATCGAATTTGTGCAATTCTGATTAAGCAGAATTATTTGCGAAGTTGATTTTGAAAAATGGTAGGCGAAGAATTTTGATGTAAAAACTTTGCAATTCAAATACGCATTATATTTAGAAATATAAGATATTGTGTAATTTGATTATCCCTTTATTGAGTTAAAAGGCTTGCAAAATGGGAAATTTCCGTGCGTCTGCATTTCAGTCTTTTTGGCATAAAAACATAAAATTACAACTCACCAAGTGCCTTATTTTTACATTAAAATAATCAATAACAATATTGACCAAATCATAGCAATTAAGAAATAAATACATTCGTATAAATAAATACTGCACTTTTTACCCCTCCACACTTTTGAAAAATTGCTTAATAACCTTGAAAAAGCAGTAAAGCCACTGCCTGTGACGCAAAATTATCGATTATCTAATTTCAATTGTTTTCCATTTTCTTCTTTTTTTGCCACTGGTCTGAAGATATGAAAATATAGTATTTCTTTTAAAGCAGGACATTATTGTTTCTAGATAACCTGCCATTTACCTAATTACCTATCGGTACTTCCAAAAATAAATACATACTGTAGTTAATTTGATAAAATTAATTTTAAAACCTTAAACTCTTTTTCTTGTTTCTTATCCAAACACAAAACAAAGCAACCATAAATGTATATATCATGATACCAGTCATGATCAATCGATTGATAGATTTGTATTTTCACGCTAAAGTTATAAACTTTTATATCAATATACAGACCAGTAAGTTATACTCTAATATCTGGATCGGCGCTGTTCGTTGTTGAATGTGACAGCTAAAATACTGGCACACAGGAAGGCAATGCCCTGTAGAATAAAAATCGCAAATATTATTAGATATCGAGTACATACTTGTAGTATTGAAAGATAGGTAGTGTTACCTCAACTCCAATGGAAACCATACTGGAGATCTTAACCCAATGCAAAGCACCTACGTACAAGTCAACCAATTTGTTCACACAGCCGCTTTGATAGGGAATATGTGTGGTTGTATTATTGGTAGCATAGCAGCTTTCAGGTATGGTCATATTAGCCTTCGTATAGTTGGCCGGTCCGTCTATGCCGCAGCACTTCAACTGAGAATTAAAACACGCCAATTATTAAATGTGGAAAGTAGATCTAAGTAAATGGGACATTACGGTGCTTTGGAAGAACGCCATTTCGGTGCTGCTGCCATTTTTCTGCAGCTCCCACGCCTTATTCACTTGTTTTTGTGCAACATCTTGCTCATCGATGCGTTGCAAATAGACAAAAGTTAAAACACAGGTTAAAATTATCACCACAAGTAAAATGATGGCGTACTGCAAATGGAAAATAGTAAAGATTATATTAAGATATCTTCTCAATTATTCAGTTTCTCTTCCACATACCGTCCAAGTTAGACACACGTTTTTCTTGATGGCGCCACAGCAGCCAAAGAATGAGATGAGGAATACAATCGAGCCAATTACGATGAAAAATACAATTATCGGCACTGCCTCATCTGGCGTGTCTCTTAATGCCAACGAGCTGACAACAATTACTGCGATGCCCAGGATCTGTAAGAGTAGAATTTCAGTTCAATTTTGTGTGTGTTGTTGTGTGTGTGTGAACATGTAATCTTATCAGCTATAGCTTCTGCTCCACATAGATATGTTGCAGTTGCAGATATGAGAATTTTCGGAACTTGGCCGCGCCCCAATTCAAATTACCGCCGATAACAAATTTGTATATTGACTCATAATTTTGCATTGCGAATGAACTCCATATGACTCACCAAAGTACTATACTCATCCACAGTTAAGCGTAGACACATTAATTATGTTATAAAGCCATGAGAAAGCCCTTCTACTATACCAATAATACTAAATAATATATTAAGCTTTGGCACTTACCGCACAGAGCGCATTAAAAACGAACACTAGATATTTGATCGTTGCTGTTGCACAACCCATTTTAATTTGCCTTTTTAAAATAACTTATTTATGGGCAAAAACAAAAAAAGCTAACTACAAGTATGTTAACTAGAAATATGCGATTCACTCCGCAATTCGTTCCACACCCGTTGACAACTTTTCTAGACTAAATTTCGAAAACACTCTAGCGTTAGACCCGTGGTTGAATAAAACAAACAACAAAAAAGTACCTGATAATAATTGTATGGGAAATTTTAGTTCTGCTTGTCTACGCTGTAAAAAAAAAAAAACAATAACAATAACATCGATAAAAGCTAGTGCACGCAGGGAATCGCATACATACTCGTACTTACTCACCGTATACACGTACATACATGCATATCTACTATATATAGTATAAATACGTGGGAATACACATATGTATATAATCTTATCAGTGACTAGGCAAGCAACACTTGGTTACCCAAAGGGCAAAACAGTACATATGTATTTATATATGTATATATGTATGTAACTAGGCATTGTGATGATGTACAAACACCGGACTTCATATACGCCGATGTATCTACTCGTATATGTATATAAATATGTAGTACATGTGGACGATTGACCCATTTAACACATATGTGTATACAACTAAAGACCTATCCTCTGATTATATTCACACATACTTGTATGTAGATGAAGTTAGCTGAAGTTATATCGAAGAAGGCAAGACGAAGAAGTCAATATTGGAATTTTATATTAAACTAAAGTTTTCCTAGTCCCACATAAAACTATAAAATAAAAAATTTCCCTAGTCATAACGTAGAAAGAGTACAGAGCATTCGCTAGTTGAATGCTTCTCTAACTTTTTAAGTTGTAACCATGTTCTCATTTTTTATTAAAGCTTCTCAAATAGAATGCACGGCATTTCTTGCTTCTGTTATTTATCACTTCCCTGTTGTTCTAGGGCCCATACCTATCAATCCTCTAGTACTCTGGCAGCTGCACCGGTACAAGGCACTGGAACTGATGCCAAATAAATCTTATTTATATACTTAACTTAAACATTCGCAAAGTTTTAAAATCAATTCCTAACATTTCTGAGTACAGAGCCTTTCCCTTCAAAGTCGGCCTACAGCTAATTCAAAGCCATTATATTTCTAAAAACGATTCTTTAAAGTTAAGCGCCTACTTACCACTGTTTCGTTGCCTCCTGTTTGGGTTAAGCTCGTTGATAATTAATCTTTTAGTGTTATGGTATTTTGTTGACCTATTCTTAATTTTATTTAATATAAACACAAATAAATGCTGTCGATATAATAAACAATACATATATAGTAATGTCAGCTCGAAGTCTAAGAAAGTTTAAAAAGAATACAATTACAAAATTATCTAAGATAACTAATAATAACTAATTAATCTTTTAGTGTTATGGTATTTTGTTGACCTATTCTTAATTTTATTTATTATAAATACAAATAAATGCTGTCGACATAATAAACAATACATATATAGTAATGTCACCTCGAAGTCTAAGAAAGTTTAAAAAGAATACAATTACAAAATTATCTAAGACCGTTGGGGGGAACATGGGACATTTACAGCCTAATGTATTCAGCACAGCAAACAAGAAATGTAAAACAAAAGCAATTAATAGAGGGCGGAACATTGATTTTATTTAATAGGTAATTCGATTACTTAAGAAGAGGCATTGAAAGTCCCCAACCCAGGGAATGTTAATTGAACTATTTGTATCTCACTTATTATTGGGAGCATTCCTGCAGCAACACAGTAGTGCCTTTTTTTAAATGAATTAATTCATTTAATTTTCCTCCAAAGGTTCACATCATTATACTGTACTTTTAAAGTTGGCTTTATTAATTGCATTGTTTAGAAAGAAATATTACTTTGTGGAAAAGGAAATAGAACGCTCAGGTTTGGTAACAAAAACAGAATGTGATGGCTTCGTAGATAACATTAGATCTGGAAATAAAGCGAAACCGATTATTTTTATTTTTTTTATTTTAATTTAATATATTTAAAATGCTATAATATATTTTAATATTTTTAATGGAATGTATCGACAGAACTATTGTTGATTTACTAAATAAAAATAAATAAATAATTTGTATATATTTATATATTTATGGTCCTTATAGTATTTATAGGTTTTCATTTTGGCAATTTCCGATGTTTAATATTTTAACTGACGCACAAATTATATACATTACATTGTACTATGTATATATGGCGGTAATGAAAATACAAGTATGATTCAAGCAAACGAGCGAGTATACTGTATATTATTTGACTTGAGTAACTGATTTCCAAAATACATTTTTTAAAGAAGCACATTAAATAATCCATTAACATTAGTTACAATCTAATTCTCGCTATCTCTCTGTATCTTTAGGGTGTCTCTTTTAATATCGGATTTTCCAAACATTCTTGAGACTAGTTCAATCAGTTACTGCTTACAATTATTTCTTAAAGTTCGATCATCGTTTTATTCTAAAACTTGTGATTTCCCGTTCCGTGTAAACATAAACTCATTTGCAAACTTCAACAAATGCTGCCAAAAGCTTATCGCTTATGTGTGTTTGTTGACTGAAGCTCACGGCCAACGAAACATGAGCAACTGCTATCTTTTGGATGGCTCTATCTGAGGTCTCTAATAACATTTTAGCTGTAAATTTTCTGTTCTCTCGTGCCGTCCGCTCCAGCACTGAATGACCAGCTGCTCAAATGAAGACTCTCCGCTCCATAGTCGCGTTGGAGGCCAATGTCATTTGTGTTCGTTATCAGTTGGGAGGGAGATAAGTCTAAGCTCTAAATATTAGAACTGCCTGCGCTATCGCTTGTACATACGAGTATATATTTTGGTTAGTATAATTTTCGCACTTGTGGCCGCAATACTGAAGACTCACAAAATGAGTTGCGGCACCAAAACTTTGAAAGTCTCGTCATTCCTCCTGGACTTTTTGTGCTGTGTGAGTGGCTATTTGCAATCACTCTGTCTTATACAACCTCACGAATCGATGTGGGCTTACAGGTTTTTGGCGCATTTACAATTTCCGCATGCTCCTATGCCTTGGCTACTTACAGCGGAAGCGAGGCCATTCGCATACCCTGCATTCTGGGCATTGTGCTGGGAGTTCTCTTATTTGGCATCACCATTCTGGGTTGCATTGCCGCGCTGCAGGAAAATATCAGACTAACTTGGATTGTGAGTATCAGACATGGCATAGAAATTCAAATCCGTAGACTGATCAAATTTTTCTCATAATATTCGCTGCCTCCCAAAAGTATGCAGCAGTATTATTCGCTTTAATTTGCGCACAAATAACCGTTATGTTTGTACAACCCATCAACTTTCCTCTACTGGCCAGCGAGACTATCGATAGGGCCTGGCATAATCAGCTCTACCTTAATGGCAGCATGTCCTACTACGAAATCAAGGTAAGTAGACACCTGAATTTTGATCATACACTTAAGGTCAAGGGCATACGCAGCTTTTTCCAAGTCCCCCCTTTGGCCCAAAAATTAAAATTTTGATTAAATAATGCACGATGATTAAATAATAAATTAATATAATAATTTATGCATATGATAAAAAAAAACTTCAACATATCCAACTCAGTTCAATTTTAAGGCGAAATTTATTATTTATTTATTTTTATTTTAGCTTACAAATGCTAGAACTAATATTGATCACAAAATTTAAATTTAAAATTTTCAGTTTAGAAATGAGCTTTATGAAGTTATTAAATATTAATATTTACATTATTTGTCTCTGCGAGTAGTTGATTTGGCGTGGGAATTAAGGCGAAATAGTACGCCATAATAATTAATGTGTGTTCGATAATATTTTTTTTATTTAAATACAAATTTTTTTATTTAAATAAAAATATTTAAATTTTATAATTAATGATTTGATATTTCTTTTACTAATTTAACACAGTCTTTTAACTTTATTCATTTGTTTCTTGCAAGATCCCCTAACTCAACTAATTTAATAATTGTTAGGGCAAAACGTAAAAAAATAACAAATCGAATTATAGTTTTGTCAGAAAGTCAAAAAATATGCACACCAATTCATTTCAGCAAATTCTAAACAATATCAATTTCTTTTATTGGTTGTGTTTGAAATAATTATATAGAAGTATATCCCTGCGTTGTTATATATCTATAGTATTTGATGTTCCTAATCCTTATTAAGGTTTTAGTCTGAATCTACTAAAAACGCTCTCAAATATTTCCAATTCAATGTAGGATTGTTTGAAGTAAATTAATTGATTAATTTGTTTGAAGTAAATTCTGCAAAATTGTTTACAGTTCTCCTGCCCGTCTCATTTTAACTTGATTTTCCCAGATTCACTTCTTAATTGTTATAAACCACTTAATAATTGTAGTACCACTGCTGTGGCAAAACTGGACCCGACAATTATCCGGACAGTGGTCTCAAAATTCCAGCCAGCTGTTATTTCAATCAGAACTCCACAATACAGGCTGATCTCTTTCAATTCGGTTGTAAGGCTCCATTGGCCGTAGCATTTTCGAAAGGCACACGTATGGAGCGCATCAGCGACTGGACAGTCGTGGGAGTGGAGGTGAGAGATATAGAGATCCAAGTGCTTTCAAAACTTCACCACCCACACTTTTATTGCAGATACTCGCAGTTATAGTTGCTGGCCTTCTGGCGATTACACTGAGGCACGCGGCTCGTCGTCGCCCATACCGCTAGTACTTAGAGCTGGTCTATGGAAATAATAACAATGCAGTATTGCTAAAATTCTACTTGCTACTTCCAAGCTACTAGATACCCGTAATATTTATAAATGTATAATAAAAACTTATAATAACTTAATTCAGTAGAGTAGGTATCTGCAACTTTTCCAACTGATGTACTTATGATGCTAATAGTAAATGAAATACAAGTACAAGAATACTTTATGTTGATAGTAAAGGAAATACATGCCATACATTAATTATTTGAGTAAATAAAGCTGAAATGCTTGTACTAATGTAGAAAGTTTTGTTTTTTAACTTCACATTTCAAAAATGTACAGAAGAGTAGAGAAAGAAAGATTAAAAATTCCTTGAATGGCACAAAGGTTTCTTTTTTGGCATTTACTATAGAGAAGAACAAATGAACTTTTCTATTAAATTGAAAAGTTCGCCAAGATCTACTTAAGTATATATTTATATAAACCATAATTAGTTTGCAGGTGCTGTATGGATAAGTTGCGAGCAATATTACATTTCTCAATCAGTTGATGAAACAAGAAGGTAACTAATGAATTAAAATATTGCTAACGAAAGCTTTCAAGGATCTACCTTAAATACACTGGATTATATTTTTATTCTGAACTGGAATCAAACGAATAAGGTGTTTATATTCGTCTCTGCAGACGAAACGGTCATCCTTATAACAAATGAAACTGTTATGGCTATAGCAGAGTATTGAGATCAATATATTTAGTACAGAGATGAACCGTTTACTGGGTGGACTTATTCGAAAACTATGTTGCTCTATTAAGCATTGGCTTTAAAATTCAAAAATGTGTCAGGATATTTTCGATTTGAAGGCCGAAAGTCTCTTCCTTAACTGCCTGTGCTGCGTAAGTGAGATAATTCCAATCGCATCCAATTTCGTACTACCCTCCGCCTATAGGTGGGCGGCCTGATAAAGTTTGCCGCAGCTGTGGCTAATATGAAGTATGCCGGTGGCCTGGACGGCCTCTATATTGCGGTACTGGTGATACGCATTTTTGTGTCATTGGGCATCTTTGGGATCGGAATATTTGGCTACTATAGCATATTGAGCGATTATGTGCGCGGTCTTTGGTTGGTGCGTATAATGCCAGTTAAATATTTGCACGTGCTTGAAAAACTCACCCATGTCTGCAGTATATGGCATTGATGGTGGTCTTCACCGCCCTAGATGCCTCCATGCTAACATTGTATATCTTTAATGAGCAGGAAATCAACGATCGACTTATCTCACGCATTTACGCAACAGAAGAGCTCAGAGAGATTGAGGGTCTGGTAGGCTATATCGGGTTTGAATTCAAGATGCAAACGCTTAATCGGCTTTAATTGTAGTACAAATGCTGCGGCAAGACAGGCATTGATGAGTACATCAAAGAACAGAAGGAGGTGCCCAGTAGTTGCTATAACGATGACCCTCTATTGCGACGCGTTGTCTTAGAGCGGGATGGCTGCGACCTCAAACTGAATGAATACTTTCAACAAAAGAAGAGTCGTACTCTCTTCGTGTTCTGGGTATTCGTGGTTGTTCAGGTGCACATGTGTGTGTATTTGGAGCTCACATATTATATATTATATATTATTATTTCACAGATATTAGCCGCACTAGTCACCCTCAATCTTAGCTGGCGTGTTTCCAAACTACAGCAAGAGCAGCAGAAGCACTCAAATAACGAAAATATCGCGGCAATCTAGGAATGCTCGGCATTCATTTTGGACATCATTTTCAAGAAAGTGTTGCTTGTTTTCTTAAAATAAAGAATACTCTTCAGGATGCCTTCATCTGACAAACGCCAATATATTCTAAAACTTATTCCTAGAACTATATGTGTTGCGTAAACATTTATAAAAATCGTTTCTTTATCACAAGGTTTTTAAATACCTTAGTTCAAGTTTTCTGGAGAAATATTTATAACGGATAACATTTTAGAGAGAATTTTTTTTTTATTTATTTTAGAGTAACAAAGCATTCAATGAAGTTTCTTAATTATTTCAATGAGAATTGTAGAAACTTCTAAGGAAAGTAGTTCTGTAATCAAAAGAATTCTGCATTGCCAAAACGCTTTAAACAATCTTATTGGTCAGAGAATATCATTAGCTGCAATGAAGACTCGTTCTTCATTTCAAACTTTTCAAAATACACTGACAAAATGCTCAGTTTCACAATAAATTTTATTTTTAATGAGTCTTTCTGAATTGCATTTCTATATTTGCAAATTAAACTGTTAACGCTAATTATTAATTTGAAAGACTTTTAAATATATTTTTATACATATGTGATATTTTAGTATTTATTATTTTTCATTTTTTTGTATAAACTCGAAAACTGCACTTTATTTCCAAATTACTATCTAGTGAGAGATTTTTAATTTTTTAATTAAATTTTTATTATTTCTCTTTAGAAATTAAGAAAACTTAATTTAGTTTGTTTTAACAGCTGTCTGCTGGAGATCTGTGTCTACAAAAATTTAAATCGATGGAAATCGATTACATTTCATCAAAATATTCATTTTATTATTCCATTTGGTTAACTTTTTAATCGGTTATTTGACTTTCGTTAATATTTAATGACAATTCTAGCCTTGAACAAAATCAGTTTTCAGGTTTTTATATTAGTTCTTATCATTATAAGGTTTTTATATTAGTTCTTATCATTATAAGAACTAATATAAAAACCTGAAAACTGATTTTGTTCAAGGCTACACCATTGTGTAAAAAATGGTATTTTAATATGGGTGCCTACTTGGTCGAACGGTACTTAATTTTTAGCTCCTCCTTAATTCTTTTTTCTGCCTTTTCAGCTTGAGCTCCCAAACTAAGTTTAAAATAATATTTAACCATTAAGCCCAAAACACAGACAACAAAGCCTGTAAAATTGTATTATAGAAATTTTGTAGCTTTAACATCCATTTATTCTCACCTATGACAAGAAACAACACATATTTTTGAAATTCTTGCAACTGATCAATAAACCGATAGGCCTGGATAATGTAGACAACAACCAAAAAAGCTGTTTCAAAAATCCACCAAAGCAAGAATCTGCCGATCTATAAAAAGTAACAGTTCTTAATTGACATTTTGTAGACTATTAACGTACCTCAAATCCTGAAGTCATCAAAATAATGCCCGACCAGCCGTGCAAAAAAAAGGCATATGTCGCATGCAAATCGAGAGGAAAAGTGCCTAAAAGAAAGTTCCATTTAAACATTTTATATTCATGGAAAACTCTCATAGTTACATCGTGGAAGGTGTACGCGGAGACAAAAGAAAAACGTGTTTCCTAATAAGAACAGGCTGGTTGATATAAATAGAATATAGCCGACAAAATTGCAAATGAATTTACACATTTTTCGTGGTTTTTCTTTCTCGCATCGAGCACTTTACTGAGCAAATTAACATTTTCGAAAATGGTGTCGGCCGCTAATAAATGAACATAATGAGCTTCGGTTAAATAAATGATGATAAGTGAGGAATGGGAGAAATCAACACGATATGAACACAAAATACCCAACCAGAGGAAAATCCACACTCAGACTGGCCAGGACACACAACAGCTGGTTCTTTAATACAACATTCCCTAAGTATATGGAATGGTTATGCAAATCATAGAGTTAGACATATATAGGTATATATTTTGAATAACTAATTGTGTTGTTTTGAATTCTGCTGCAAATATGATTCCAAATTTAGAACCTGTCCATATTAATCTCTTCTTGAATGCTCTTTTCCAGCTTGACTTGTCTATGATGTTTCCACAGTAAGTACATAACGAGTCCCGTTATGACTGAAAAAATATAAATGCTTAACAAAGATAACTGTTGACGGGAAATCTTGTGTTTTTACCTATAACAATAATAGAGGCGTATTGAGTAATTTCATTCGTGCAGTCCAAATTACAAGCAACATAAAATGTGACTGTCATAAGAAAAAACCATGTCTGGAATAGCCAATGACTCATCATACAAAGACTCTGTTTAAAAACAACAAAAATATTAAGGTAATCATAGTAAAAATGTCCCATCATGATCGTACACAGTACCTGGCAGTTGGAAATTCTCAACACAACTCCAGATAAGGCATGAATTGCAAGTAAAATAATCACATCCCACCAAAATTCATCGTATTCTACAACCGCAATGAGAAAGTGATTAGTGGTTGCTTTTTAAATTATAGCGTTTTAAATTTTACCGAAACACATAATGTCTGTAATAACATGGCATATTAGTAACAAGGATATGTGTACACTTGTGTATAGGAAGAGAAGGTATCCGAAAATATTTCCAAAAGCACTCCAAATCATGGCTGCTGAGTCGCGTGCACGGAGCAATGAAAATTATACTTTGTACATATATGAACTACTCGGTTCACAAATTTGACCGAACTTAATGCCTTAATGCTATGCCTATCGAACAAATATTACAATTAATTCAATTGATGGCAAAAATCATTCAAACATTAACACACATTAGTCAAACGTTACGCAGTGGTAGTTCAAAAAAGTAACTTTCATTTCGTTTGTAAATTTTCTAACATCACATCGCAATTAATGTAGAGCTATCATCTATATAATGGCAATATTATTTCCTCGTTTCCAAAAAGGTCGAATAATATTCCCCCACCGGGTCGGAGGCGGTAATTAGATATTATTGTAATTTAATTCGATTTCTCCTGCTTAGTCTAGCTTATAACATCTTTTTATAATTTTTATATATTTTTCTCATGTCGACATAAATAGATAAACAAATAAATTTAAGCTCTCGCATTCCATAACGAAATTATTTAATTGTCTGGCAGACGGAACACAACGCCGCCTGTCGGCAATAATAGTAACTATGATATCCCGCTTTTGTTTCCATTTTGAATTCGGACTAATCGAATAGCTTCGAGCGTTGCCACTAAGCTTACCTGCTATTTTATTTCTTTCTTTTTTGAACGGCGTGGCATCCCTTATTATAAACAGGTGTTTTGTTGCTGTTGTTTTAGCGGCTGTGTTGGCATCGCAATGCTAGAGAAAACGACTATTTACATTTTTTTGCGCAAATAAACAGTGAATATTTTGCAACAAGTGGCATGCATTCATAAGTTCTTGCTCCCAATTCGCAATTGGAACGCGCCTCGCATTTCAAAGACGGCCAATTGTTCGGGCGCGACATTTACCAGTTGTTGTCGATTGGTTGCTGCGAAACGACAACAACGGCAACAATTTAGTTGTCGCTTAGTTGGCAGAAAGCTACGATCGGGCTTGGACTTATTGGCGCGAGCGGTCATTAACATTAGCAAACTGGCTGAAGACGAAGAAAACAACGGCAGCAGCAACAACAGCAAGAAGAAAAGAATCTATTAGCCATGGGGCTCCCGTTCCATAAACTCAAAAAGCTGTATATACTTTATTTGTTTTTGTTGGTATTTGCGTTTTTTATGTTTGCAATTAGCATAAATTTATATGTATCAAGCATGCAGAGCAATGGTGGCGAAGGGAGGTGAGTACCAACATGCCGACAAACACAAGAGTCCAGAAATCTACGTATAATGTACACTTAAGCGCTAATTTCAATTTAAAAGCGGAAATGGTTTTTTTGGTCATTCACATTGCCGACAAGATCGCTGCAATCAAAAGTTCGATCGATCTTAGCCAAAATTGTACCGCTGAACGCTCTGATTGCGCTTCATGCGCTGGCAGAGTTAGCGCTGGCAGAGTTAGCAGCCATTGCATAATTTCCTGCAAGCCGAGTGGCCAAGTGGGCTCGTCACATTGTCTTTTTGTTGGTGTTGCAAGTGCCGCTGGCGCCGCTTCACCACCACCGCACACCATCGATGGATGAGCGATGTTACACTCGAGTGGCTGCGCTACCTTGCTTTCGGTTTTAAACCACTTTGCATTTATGTATGTTTTTTTATGGGACTTCTTTGCGTTTGTTTTCTTCCGCTGCTTCGCGTGGTTGGTGTTGATTCCATGTTTTTATTCACATACATACAAGTATGTATATGGTATCTCGGAGCGAGTTAAGTAAAATGCTAAATTTTATTAATATTGTCATCATTGTTTGTGCATTTTTGTCGATCACTTGTCCTCGTGTTATGTGCACAGTCATCCGAAACCGCCGCCCAAACGACGCTCCCTCTGGCCGCACAAAAATATTGTGGCGCATTATATTGGCAAGGGAGACATATTCGGCAATATGACTTCAGGTTAGTAAATAGTTAACAATGACACAAATACACTCATCTGTGCGTGTGTGTGTGTGTGTGGGCTTGCGCGTGCATGCATCAGCAGTCAAAGTCATCTGGTACCTTCTCTTGCAGACGATTACAACATGAACCAGTTCAGGCCTGTGGAGACCGAGGGCGCCTATGGGCGACCAGTTATTATACCGCCGCGCGATCGATTTCGTATGCAGCGTTTCTTTAGGCTCAACAGCTTCAATATATTGGCCAGTGATCGCATACCGCTTAATCGCACGCTCAAGGACTACAGAACGGCAGAGTAAGTAATGGCAGTAAGCCTCAAGGGAAAAGCTCAAGATCAGGCAAACATTGCAGATGTCGCGATAAAAAGTATGGCAGCGGCCTCCCCACCGCTTCAGTGATCATTGTCTTTCACAACGAGGCCTGGTCTGTGCTTCTCCGCACGATAACGAGCGTTATAAACCGATCGCCACGACACTTGTTGAAGGAGATTATTCTGGTGGATGATGCCAGCGATCGCAGTAAGTTATATTACGAACTACCTGTATAATTGCCATTTGATAGCTACTCTTTCAAAAATTCTTCTTAAATATAACTTGCAACCATTGATATCAGAATTGATCTCAAAATTAATTAATATTTTAAATTCTCATGTAAACATTGCAACAGCAAAATAATAACAGATCAGATTCAGATCAAAATTTCCGATTTAAAAACATATATCGTTCTACGGTATGAGTCTTCTTTGTACACAAAACTTATTCAAACAAGCGACAAATAATTAAATAAAAAATAGCTTGTCTGTTCACTATTCAGTTTATTTGTAGAATTCAGTACATACATAGGTATGTATATAATGGTATTCTGTGAACATACCAGCTTCAAGCAAGCCAACAGTTAATTCAATTTTCCATATACTATAAGAAGTGTGATTGCATTTACGACCTTCATCAAATGACTTCTAATGGCCTCAATCGACTCCATACACGCTCGCCGGAGCGCAGATTTAAGTTGCGGAAACAGGAAAAAGGCGCAGATAGCCAAATCTGGCAAATACGGTGGCTGAACGATGACTTGTGTTTTGTATTTGGCCAAAAATTCAGTCTCAATCAGTTTGGAATGTGACGGCGCATTATTGTGTTGCAAACTCCATGAATTGATGTTTTGACATGAGACTTGCGGCAACGCGCTTCAAACCCAAAACTACAACCAAAATGTATTGAGTCTATCCATAAGTGATATTGAGACCCTCTGCTAACTCTTTAATACCAATATCAAAATTGTCGACAACAATTTCCTGCATTTTTATACCCTGTACCCAAAGGGTACAAGGGTATATTAGTTTAGTGCGAGTGCACATGGAACACACAGAAGGAGGCTTGGTAGACCCCACAAAGTATATATATTCTTGATCAGCATGACAAGCCGAGTCGATATAGCCATGTCCGTCTGTCCGTCTGTCCGTCTGTCTGTCCGTCTGTCCGTCTGTCTGTCTGTATGAACGCAAGGATCTCCGAAAGTATAAGAGCTAGAATAACCAAACTTGGTATACAGATTCTCCTGAGACCGAGAAAGGACGAGTTTGTTCATTTTTTCTGATCCACCCCCCCACTCCCCCCCTATTAACGATTTTCTATAGCTCCCGTAATTCCTGGAATTTTGAACTTAAATTTGGTAGTCACATTAGGTTAGTAATTATATAACCGTATACCAAGTCTCATTATGATAGAATGATCGGAAAGAAAGTTATAGCCATATAACCAGGCTCAATGCACACATACATACATATGTACAAGTACACAAACACGCATAGACACGATTCTGATGTAATTGTAAATGTATGTATGCATGCATGGAATATTTTATATTTAATTAGTTAATATTTAGTTAATTAATTAAATTAATTTAGTTAATTAATTTAATTAAATTAATTAATTAATTTAATTACTTTTTTGTGGGGTGGTACAGGGTATTTAAGAGTTGAGCCTGCTCGACTTTAGCATTCCTTTCTTGTTTCATTTATATCGTCGACCACTTGCATGAGGAAAAATTCCTGCGGCCTCGCGACCCTCTTTAAACGCTTTATGCTAATCAAACACTTGCGTACTCTCCACAACATCTCTGCAATATTTTTAATAATTCCGTAGCCGTACCACTATTGGAAACACAAAATTTTATGCACACCCGTTTAATTTTGTTTTCCATAGTATCTACATAAGAAAACATTTTTTACTGGACCAGTCCCGTTCATTTTTGATCAGATGGTAGCATAACTTCATTATGATTTACCACCAAAACATTTATGGCGTAGAAAATAAATGAAACAAATAAGTGAAACAGCACCTTTTCCAAAAGTCTCATTTGCAAACACATCGAAGCGAAGAGAGATCAACTGAAACTAAAAGCTATTAATCTACATTGGCTTATAAACGTCCGTTCAATGCGTTTCTCAAACCAATTTGGTCATATGGCTGTGAACTATGGGGAAACGCTTTCATTAGTAATTTAGAGTAAATCGAGAGATCTCAATCGAAGATACTGAGAACCATCACTGGGGCCCCCAGGTACATAAAGAGTGAAAATATCCGGAAAGATTTAAATGTGGGATCGGTTAAAGATGAAATCGCCAAGGTGAAAGCAAAGAACCAGCTTAAGCTGCGGAACCATCCAAATAGACTTGCGCAGAATTTAACTTGGCAGGCTAGCCATACACGACTCTGGCGAAGAGACTGCCCCACCCAGCAATAACAGTTAGGACCGTAATTTAAATATTTAATTGTAATTAATTAAATAACTAACTATATTGGATTAACATTTGACTACTTACCGTAAGTCTCCGAGAGAGAAGATTCGATAAATAAAAAATTAGAGCACACATCTGATATCAAGAACTTTCAACATATCTTTAATGAAGTATTTTGTAGTTTTGCTGTTCCGAAGAAAGCAATATATGGCTTTAAAAGCTGATTCCATTCACTGATTAGTTTATTCCGCATAAGTTGTGGCAAGTGTGACTTAATCTGCAAACATCATTAACGCTTTTTCCTCCCACAGCCTATTTGAAACGGCAGCTGGAGAGCTATATACGTGTCCTATCTGTGCCGACGCATCTGTATCGCATGAAAAAGCGTAGCGGTCTAGTGCCGGCACGTCTAATGGGTGCTGAACATGCTCGCGGCGATGTCCTAACATTCCTTGATGCTCATTGCGAATGCTCTCGAGGCTGGCTAGAGCCGTTGTTAGCCCGCATTAAGGAATCGCGCAATGTGGTTATCTGTCCAGTCATCGACATTATATCGGACGATAACTTCAGCTATACGAAGACCTTTGAGAAACACTGGGGCGCTTTTAACTGGCAGCTCAGTTTTCGTTGGTTCTCCTCGGAGCGTAAACGGGATACAAATGTGAAGGACGCCACGCAACCTACTGCCACGCCCGGCATGGCCGGCGGACTGTTCGCCATCGATCGGAAATACTTTTACGAGATGGGCGCTTACGATAGTGAGATGCATGTGTGGGGTGGCGAGAATGTAGAAATGTCTTTTCGCATCTGGCAATGTGGCGGCCGCATCGAGATTAGTCCGTGCTCGCATGTGGGTCACGTCTTCCGTAGTACCACTCCCTATACATTTCCGGGCGGCATGATCGATGTATTGACGACGAACTTGGCGCGTGCCGCTACCGTCTGGATGGACGACTGGCAGTACTTTGTAATGCTCTATACTCAAGGATTATCGCTGCATGTGCGCGAAAGCGTCAATGTCACTGAGCGTGTCGCACTGCGCAAGAAACTGCAATGCAAACCCTTCTCCTGGTATCTGGAGAACATTTGGCCGGAGCATTTCTTTCCAGCACCCGATCGTTTCTTTGGCAAAATCATATGGCTGGATGGGGAGACAGAATGTGCGCAGGCGTACAGCCGCCATATGAAGAACTTGCCGGGCAGACTGCTCTCACGGGAATGGAAGCGAGCCTTTGAGGAGGTGGATAGCAAGGCAGAAGAGTTTACCACTCTCATCGACTTGGAGCGAGACAAGTGCCTGCGGCCGCTCAAAGAATCGGCGCCGCGCTCCTCCCTGCAACCCGTGACCGTTGGCGATTGTACGTCGCATGCACAGACCATGGATTTGTTTGTAATAACGCCCAAGGGCCAAATAATGACCAACGACAATATTTGCCTCACTTACCACGAGCCCAAGCAGGGTATGATAAAGCTGCTCAAAAATCGCAATGCGACTACTTCCAATGTAATGATGACGCAATGCACCAATGACTCACGACAATTGTGGACCTACGACATGGACGTGAGTATAAAGATTAGTCATCGCCAATGGGGAAGAATTATAATCAACTTTGTTGTTTTACCCCACAGACTCAGCAAATCTCACATCGCGACTTGAAACTTTGCCTAACACTCAAATCGGCAACAAATTCACGCAGCCAGAAGACGGAGAAAGTGGTGCTCACCATGCAGTGCGATTTTAAGGATATTACTCAAAAATGGGGCCTAATACCATTGCCATGGCGCATGTAATTCACTTGCAACCCAAACGATGTGCTATCAACGAAATTCTGCCAGCTATATTGGACCACATCGAGTCTTAAAACAATGTGATATTTATTGAAATTGTTGATGAACGCCACTTGTATTTTATCTCTTTGTTTTAACTGAAAAGTCAGGTTCACATTTGCAATCAAGTTACTGAAAGCATTTTGTAAAGTGAGAAGGCATGTTTGTGGCTTTTAGAAAAGAGAACAATGTTGAAATGTAGCTACAGTAGATTCTTTTAAATCTAAAACAAAATTAGTCTCTAATTGATTTTATACTTCTTAGAAAAAATATTCAACAAATGGATACATGCATACTTATACTACTTATATATAAAGATGCCACAAAAATGCATAACATTTTAGAGATAGTTCGTTTTTATAGACAACAATTTAAAGCACTTGTAAGGATTTTAAAAAACTAAGCTCTAGTACAAACGCCACGTGTCGAAATATCAATACAGTTTGTAAATCAATCATGGCCCACTTTTCCAATTTCGCCAAATAATTTGCAACTGTGAACTTGACCACAAAACACATCAAATACGAGTATAGTACACAAAAATGTATACACAAACACACAGGCACACCGATACAACGATACACACCCACATGAATTGTTCATATGTAAATCATTTGAATGCGTGCCGATTTTACGGATGCATTGCGACTTGAACTCTTTGTAATTCTATGTCATAGTTTTAAGGCAAACAGTTTTAGGCAATTTTTAACTAAAAGAATAGTATAACAGCTGTACTTACTTTACTTTTTTTACTACTTATATGAGATTCTATTAAAATCGAAGGCAAAATGTCAATTAACTGTTTTATATATTTATTCTGCCTCTGGTTATCATCTGTATTGTATTAATAATATGTAGAGCAGCCGGTGATGCTCGTAGCTTATCATCTGTAAAGGTTGCTGCCCCAATGCCGCGGCATCCAATTCGTTAAATTTGGCGTGTCTTTAGCAATTGCAGCCACAAGCGCACTGAAGCCCCCAACATGAACATTGTCTACAATACAATCAAGTACACGGGACTGCTGTCCAATCTCTTGTATATGGTAAGTCGGCGGGAAAACAACTGGCACTTATACGATTGTGGAAATCTCTATCAAGTAAATGGGAATGCGAGTATAGTTTCCGCTCTTTCTCATATACTCGTACAGATGCTCGCTATAGGCATCATGTCTGGCGCAGGTCTAGGCCTACAAATGGCCGAGCCCAATACGCCGGAACACACCTATTTCATCGAGAGTATTGTGCTGGGCGCCTCAATTTGCATAATCGTGATATTTGGCTGTTATGGACTGGTGTGCAACCTGTTGAGTGTCAACATAATTGTGAGTAACAAAAGCAGATTGTACTTGTATTTTGCATATTGAGAGCAATTGTCCATCAATCATACAGTTCACCTGCTTTATACTCATCGTCCTTGGAGTGGAATATATCCAGGTGCGCAGCTATCAGCCTCACACTCGATATAGTAGCGCCTTGCGCCAGTTGGATCATGCCTGGTATCGTGTGGGGACGCAGCCGCAGCTGATGCAGCAATATGAGGCACAGGTGGGTTAAAGAAATAAAATACAATCTTTATTCGAAAATATAAAATTAAGCACTTGTACGTGCTTTATTGGTCATTCTTTATTTAGTATCAGCATAATGATAACCACTATTCAATTTGTGTTAAAAGTATTATTTTTGTAAAGCCCTTAAAGCAAGATAATCGAATTGAAATTTTAAAGTTTTTCTAATCACTTACAACTTATGACTTCTTTCGAATATAGAAGTATAGTATGTATTAGAGAAATGCAAGAATTATGAATTAATTTGATGAGCAAAGTTTTCACGATTTGCTTTTGTTGGTCATTGAAAAACTACAGATCTGTTAATTCCCATAAAGGAAGCCAATATTAAATATATAATTTCTTAGATTCAATTAAAAAGATGCACTTCCTTCAACAATTTTCAAAGCACTACCAAATTCTGTATTTTTCAAGTTAAAGAAAAAATGCTGTTTGCAAACTTCTAAGACAGCTTTTTAATGAGTATTACTATACATATCCCTTTACATAAGTATGTGTTTAACAAATACCCTTTGTCCCATATATAGCAACACTGTTGTGGCTACAACAATGCGGCTGATTATCAGCTCTTACATATGCAAATACCCGCCAGCTGTTATCAGCCGCTGAAGCAGAAGAGCTCTGGCGCCACAACCAAGCTTTACACGCGCGGCTGCCTGGCGTCTTTGGACAGCAGCCAACGGTATATACAGCGACGTGATAAGGTCTTCATGTGGTTCATCGTTGGCCTTGAGGTAGGTAGTTGACAAAGAGGGGCCGGCAGTGCCAGTGCACTGACATTCCAAATGATATTTTTACTGCCCTTTACAGCTCTTCATACTCACACAGACCATTGCCCTCAGCATTTTACTCTACAAGCTGCGCCAGCAACAGCGACGGTCACTGCACCAAGTGCCGCCCGGGGTTCGTCGTGAGCCTCGTGCAAATCACGTGAACTCACGGACGCCCCTGCTGCTGGCACAGGAAGTTTGAGTTGATATCAAGCTTCATTGTAACACACGTCATAAGTATACATATAATTAATTGTATTCAGCTAAGTTATAGTAGTATGAATAAGAGTAGGTTATGAATTTCCATAGGCTAAAAAAGAAAACTCTTTAGAAAGCGGTTTTCAAATACATTTAACCCAAAAAAAGGTGATTGATGATCGCTGCAAACAAGTTCTGTACACATAATTGTATTTCGAATCCAACGATATTCACAAATTTGTGATGACTCTGGGACATCGGATAATTTCAACTGGCATTAGGTCTTCCAACAATTTTAACGAAATTAAGGGACAAAATAAAATTTATGCAAAACAATAACTCAGCATGGTACCTGGGACTCAGTCTGGATAGGCGACGCACCTGGCATTCCCATATAACGACCAAGAGAAAGTCCCTCAATACCAGGTAAGATCTCCTGCCTGCCTGATCTACTTGGAGGAACTGAAACCAGCCTGGACTTACGATAACAAAGTTTCCAGCGGCTCTCAACGGCGGCCAACAGCCAACACCTCAGGCGCGTGAAGAGGGACCCTTCTGCTCGACCTCGCCCTTTCGTAGTCTTTAAATAGTTTAGAAGTAATTGAAATTGAAAACTATATAATATTTTAAAAAATGTAATAATTGTCCAACTCAGGATAGATTTTAAATAAAGACTAACACGAAATGTGCGTCTGTATCTTAATATCTACATCATAACAATTTAGCAACTGCACTTGCAAATATTTTGAAAACGCTTTGCAGAAAGCTCTTAAATGTTAAATAGGCTCCTATTGGAACTCAAAGTTATGGTTGAGTCATCAATTTGGTTAAAGAATGCCAATATCTTCTGTATACACATATTTAAAAACAAATAAGTAACAAATGAATCATTAAAGAATTCAATATACTGATCCACGAGTGCACTCGACATGTACCATGATTCGTATTCGGAACTGGACTGAGTGAGTTTGATTTGAAATCGAATCCCTATGCAGTAATAAACTTTTACCCTTTTACATGCCTCCATATGGTTCGTATTTATTGAATGGAAGAATTTTTAAGCTGCATAGGCTTCCAGAAAACGAGTATATCTCTCAAACTCAATTCAAATAAATTTGTATTCTTATATTAATTACATGTGTTGGAAAAACTAAAGAACATTGCCTGTGATAGAGATTGCTGATTTGGGAAATTAACTGTATTTTTGTCATTTTAAAGATAGTACAACTATATTTTAGGTAGACCTAATTTTTACTAATTATGAATTATTTACTCATAATTATGACCAAACTGACAAAATGTTGTAAACAAAAAGCCAGAAGAGGTAATCCAAACAAAAGTAAATTCTTATTTAAAGGAGTTCTTGGCAAGTGCAGAAACTTTCAGCTACAACGTTGACAAGGCTAATCGCAAATAATCAGAACAAAATAGCTATGACTCGTATTACAAGCAAAAACACACCTAATGAACGAAACTATAAAACACCAAATACTCGCATATATAAATAAGAAGTAAAAAAAATAGCTATCAGTTGCTGTTTTGTATTGACCGCACAACATGGCGTATGCGTAACATTGCATACATTTTTTGAAAACCCGCATTTCTTAAAAGAAATATTAAAAAACACCAATCTACTAGTAACTGCATTTCCTCTAAAGCCTCATTTTGATCATATTTTATACCTTTATGGTATTCTTCATGAAATTATATTCATATAATCAAGTCACTTAACAACAATGGAAATCTAGTAAATCTAATAATTATAGCGACGTGTCTTGTTTGTCAATTGACAGCACAGCGTTATTGCCAAGACAATGCCCAGAATCTGTAAAGCGTAATTGGAAATTTGTATAAATTATGAGTTTTACTCTAGAGAGGGATTTATAGTATACCTCGTATGCCATTAATCCACAGTGCACCCACTTTTCGTATCGATAGATTTGTAGGTAGACCCGCTTGACGGCCACCATGCAGCCCTCCGTATAGGGATAGAGGGCGTGCAGTCCATCTTCGGTGTGGAAACAGCTTTTCGGCACCTTTAAGCCCAAACTTGTGTAGTCCGTGAAGCGCTTGTCTCCGCAGCATTCATACTACTTCCATCAAGACAGTTCGTTAGCAAATGGGAAACACAATATTTGAGACTTTGTTCTACCTCTTGCTGCATCTGATTCATGGCGCCTGGCCTCTCCAGTTCCTGCATCCAGGTGGCGATCACATACACCTCAGTGGCTGCCAACTGTTTTGACTCACTGTAGTGCGCCAACTTCCAAATGTGAGCGCAAATCATCACCAGTAGCAAGATAATATACTGCCATAGATATTTTCAGATTTAAATGGCCATCACTCACATTTCAAGTAATGGAGAGACACACTCACCAGCACCAGCACTTTAATTGATGCCACAGATGCGCCTGTGCAGCCAATTAGGGCGCTCAAGATAAGTGCCCCGGCCACGCCCAGCTGCAGCCATTTATCTATGTGCCCGACAGAGCCCTCGCTGAAATATAGATATTCGTAGACAGCTGCCGCGACGGCAAGTCCACCGATTATCTGAGACAATTAGCAGCTTAATATACACAGTTGATCATTGAAAAGCATTGAAGCACGGGCGATGACGCGTCAAATATTTGCTTATAAATAATAAAATGCCTTGTTTTTTTTACCGCTCTTTGACTAAAATAGAAACTATTTATTTTTTGTTCAACAACATTAAAACACACAAAAGCATACGCTGCTCTCACATCATCAGCCAAAACAAGTAAATGTTTAAAAATATATAAAAAAAAAAAAATTACTTTGCGAACGACACAAAAAGACAAAAAGACAGCAAGACAAGTGACACACGAGAATAGAAGGAAGATTTGTTGCAGTCAGATTGGCATTATGGGATACAATAAAATGCCGGAAAAAATAAGTAAAAACTGATTAAAGTCCTTTCGAATACTTTCGATAAATCACAGACACACCCATAAGGCTAGGCAGCTACATATACGAATATATTAGCTATATTCCATAAATAATATCGTCCCAATTCATGATGACGCATACGTCGAATCTATTGTTGGATTTTTCTACAAACAAGTAATAGATGTGTGGACGGCTCAGATATATTTGTATGTATTTCAGAGTAATTGTCATATTTTAAACAATTTTAAGTGTAAATTAAATGCATTTGTAACTATTCCAAATAAAGTTAAAGAATCGCATCTGCGTTATCTTTCGCAATGTTTCTACAATATTTAACCTTTGAATGACAATGTAATGCAAATTTAATTAGAAACTGCATACTTTTAGGGTGCAGACTACGGTTTTGCTGCCTATGACAAGCTTAATTGAATAACCTTCAGTTGTCGAATGAGAAGTCCGAATATATGTAGCTTTATTCTTACCAAAGTCAAGACATTAAAGACGACCACGGTCCATTGCAAGCAAACTCGTGCCGCCGTCATACTTTACTGTTTTGCCTCGCACTTAATTTAATATTAACAAGTAATTAATCGTTGAATAATTTGCACAGTGATTAAATTAGTTAGGACACTTGGTAATATTTCACTTATCCGATTGTATATTGTACGATCGGGACACAGACACAGCACGCCTTCAAATGAAATTCGCAATAATTTTCAGTTTGTTGTTCTCCACTTGTGGCGATCGAACGACGCGCGCGGTTTAGTGACCAAACCGTTAATGTTTTCGCCTGCTGACAAGAGAATTTGGCCAACTTAAGGAAACAGCGAAATGTTTACACATCCACTGAGTGGCTGTTGCTCGTTACTCAAGAGACAAAACCAGCGGCTGTGCCTCCCAACAGTTTCATTTTGTATATTTATATGCGTCTTTAGAGTAGACTGCCATATCCACATCCACACACTTACTCACAGGTATGCATACATACCATATACTATAGTGTGTACGAGTATAAAATAAATATTATTTGGAACATGGCAAATTTTTTTATTGGAATGTTTACGAGCTTTTCGTTTACTTGGCGGCTGTGGCGGTGGCGGTGGCGGCGTCGCTATGAAAGCTTTCATGCTCTTTGTTGTTCTTGAAACACACAATTTATTTTGTAATACTTTAACAATGTCGCATTAAACGATTACAAGTATATCAATAATATAGAACTAGGTACTACTGTGTGTAAAATACATAAAAAAGTAATGTGTTTGGTCTTTGCTATTGGTATGGATGCCCTACAAGTAGATGAAGAGCCCTTTTTAGAATCTCTCTCGACGCAGTTTGTTGCGCACTGTGATGCCCAAGTGAGTGGCGATGCCGAGTGAAGTCATCTGGAAAATTACAGAAAATGTGAATTATTAAAATGTATTTTTCAAGCACAAACAGTAGTGCCTATTTCTGGCCAAGCCTTGACTGCTTAATCTGCCATTAAATTCTCATGTCATTCAACTATTTGTAGTCATAAATATCAATATTCAAGTATACATAGTAGGCTAGGGGCGACAGTCAAGGTCGCCAGCCACTTACCTCCACAATGAACAAGAGCCACTTGATGATCAAGCCATTGGTCACATTATCGGTGGCATGTGCCTGCACAGACTCCAGGCAGCCGGCGCTAAACAGATTACTGCTCGACCGCTCCAAATTCTTGTAACAGTTCAGAGGTATGCCACTGCCCAGCAGTATGTAATCCTGTGGTCCGGTGCTGCCGCAACATGTGTACTACAAACAAGCAGCAGCTGATGGAAAATGCTCTTAAATTTAGAAATTTAGCTTACCCGCTGCTCGATGTAGGCAAGACGCTCGGAGTTATGGCGACGATCGGCCCACAAGGCCAGATAATCACTGCGCGCACGCTGCACGTAGTCCGTGGAATGTGCGGCGGCAATTATGTAGATTTGCAGGGACAGCAGAATGGCCAGACAGATGACATACTGAAACATGATGTAAACAAATGCTATTTACGTTTCCACACACCTGGTAGATCAAGCAACTTACGCTCCAAATTAGGCCCAACGATATGCGGCCAGCGGCAAAGCAGCCCAGAAACGAAGTCAGAATCACAAAGGAGCCAACAAATATCTGCACCACCACTGCGATGTGCTCGAAACTGCCAGGAGTAGTGTTATTCAGCTCAAATACAGACAACGCAATTAATGCCACGCCAATTAGCTGCAAGGTATTTGAAAAAATCAGTATTTCATTGTCAATCAAAACATCACGTATACGCACCGATAGCAGCACATTCAGTATTATGAGTATAGCCTTTAAAAACGTTATGCGACAGGCCATATTTATTTATTTTTCTATATATACGAGTTTATTTTTTCCTGTTTCGCTATCAATCAATCGATAATGCCCCAGCCCCCTCTCTAGGGTCCTGTGTAATTTGTTTGTTGAACAAATTGCTGCTCTGCTACGCCGTCAACTTGTTGGCCACTTTGTGACTAGGCCTCGCACTAATGTCAGCCCTTTTGCTGGAAACGTTGACGTGCGACTAAACGACGCGCATTTAAGAATTTTTGAAAATAATAGCCGCGCACCAAAGGCCAGCGTAACGCTCTGAGTTCGCTTCACATTTTGCAAAAGAAATCAACGTATATTTCGAGTTGCTGTTGTTTTTGTCGAGTTGTTTTTGCCGTTGTTGTTGTTGTTAGGTAGGTGGTGGGTGGAATGATGTCACGACATCGAAGCTTTTTATGTCTCTTCGGTTGCTTGTGGTGTGCGCGCGAACGCATTTCCGTTACAGACACATGAGCTTTCACTGTCATTCGCAAGCTTGATAGCACTTTCCAAATCAGTAAAGAGCGTGCGTGGCTTTATGCGAGCAATACCCAGACATACATATGTACATACCCCTATGTCTGCATGACCTTTAACTAGTTCCGCTTTAAGACTGAAGGTAATTATTGACAATGCATTAAGTGGTGCTAAAGCTTTTACTTCATCGCAGAAATGAAGTAGACAATTAAAGTTATTGTCCTTCAAGATAATCGCACAATACGGTCACCAATTTTTGTAATGCCCCAAATGAATAGGGCAATGATTTGGGTCAAGAAAGTAATCAAATAAATGTATCTTAAAATGTAGCCGCATTGCTAAGAAATTGGGTCACAAAAATAATAAAGGAATCGAATGCCTGAGCACCACTCTCCCTCTCTTCTATACCGTGTACTCGATTCTGTAATCAATTGCATTTAACAAGAGTATTTAATGTAGCGTTGTGGGAATTTAAAAATAAGCCAATACTCTGAAGTATATTTACGTGAATCTCAAATGTTTCGATAAATATGCAACAGTACAATGCTCGTCTTTTTTGTACTTTGGAAAACTTGCATATATAGTTTGGCGACTTTTGTAATGGTCGCCTGCATTCAAATTAAATTAATTTTACTTTTATCGCAGCTCGGTGCTACAAAATTAGCACTTGCGATAAAAAGATGTATGCCATTAAAAAAAAAACTAATTTCGGGTTTCTCTGTTGTTGTTGTCCTCTGTATTGTACTGTTTTCTAACATAATTTTTGGGACAACAATATCGGTGCTAATTCTACAAATAATCTAATCTGTCTCCCAATCGCTTTAGTGGACAAGTTTTCATGTTTTTGTAATGTCCCACATCCCCGCTATTTGTTATTTTCCAAGCCGGTCGTAATTCTGAAAATTTGTTGCCCAATATTGTGAGAGCAGTTGATGTTCCCCTTTATTGAATATTTTAATTCATTATAATAATAACCCGAACAGTCAAAGAGTATACAAATGTATGTAACATGCAGAAAAAGGCATGGCACACTCCATATGTATTACAGATAACAAACTAGATAAGTGGACATGTCCCATCTATAAGCAGAGCAACTTTATAACAAACTAATTAAAACTTCATTATTTTATTTACTTTAGAACAGATCGATGTTAAAATCACACATACAACAATAATTCTTTTGTTTATCATAGCTGGCCGTTTGGCAAATAAAATTCCCCCACCGTGTCGGATTTGTTATTAGATATTTGTGTCATTTTTATAGGCTTTTTATTCCCATAACTTTTTTTAGTTTAAGTTCTCTTTTGTATTGATTTTTTGTTTTCTTTTTCTTTTACATCGACTGTATTGTTTGTCGATGAAATAAATAGATAAAAAATAAAAAAAGATATCGTACCATTTATAAATTTCGCATAGTGTTTCGGAATGACTTTACCGTTTTATTATTATTTTATTATACAAATTCTTAAAACTTATGTATACCAACATAAAAAATAAAAACCCATTTAACTAAGAAGTGATGATATAGGAAAGTCTTCTTAACGGCAAGATAAAACAACACTATACCTATAGGCTAACGAAATTGTCTAATGCCAAGACTCGTATTTAGGTGCGGGTAATAAAATAAAAACATTCATTTATGATTGCAGAACTATTAGGGCCAACATTTGTGCGGCCATTTTCGTACCGTCTATTGTACGTGTTCGGCTTCCGCAAGCGCCGCCTCAACCACAAACACAACTACAATTAACCCCACATGCCAAAATGAAAAACTGAATGGCTAATGTGCCCGAATAGCAACAAGTTGTTCGCTAGCCACGTTGAATAAAATCCGTACATTGTATATTTTTCTTCGACCAGGCATTAGATTTGGCCATGGCCATACACAAAATGCTTGACGCATTTGTTTTTATAATAAACAATAGTTCAACAAAAGACCATTAAAAACTCAGAGCGGACCTGACGCTTGTGTACCATCAATGCATTGGGGCACGTACCATGCCTCGTATGCGCAATATATTTTGGTATACTTGTACAATTAGGCATTCGATAATTGAAAGCACTGTGCAGACGGCCCAATATTCTTAGTGTATGCGAAAGCCAAATGACCTAATTCCCCAAAAGGCACACCATTTTTATTTGTATATTTATATATGTAGATATATATTTAAGCATAAATTAACTAACTCGTATAATAGTTTAAAATGCCTATGAAATAACATGACTGCGTTCTAAGGTTTATTTTATATTGTAGTTTTGGTTAATAATGTCATTTGTGCTCGAATAGGCAAAGCACAAATAAAATACTTGTAAGAACATGTTACTTAAACTCCGATTCGCTATCGCCCAGTGAATCTCATATGTTTAAGGAGACTAAAATAGGGTATGGACATCAAAAATGAATCTGGAAAAAGCCACATATCTGATTGTTTTCTCATCATTAATCTCAAATGGATCTGTCTAGTGCGTCTTCCACTTTTGTACTCTCATCGCGGCCTTTATACGCAGCCACGCCCCTTAAAATTGCATACGCCTTTGCTTATTCCGGAAATTGACGGCAAGAAGAACGGCGAGCAGACTGCAGAGCAACTGCAAATAGAACATATAGAATAGATATCAGTAAAATATTCACCGATTCTAGTTATGGTTTCACACTCACCTCAAATGCTACCAGCACCCAGGAGACGATTATGAAACGCTGTTTGTCGGCTTCGTAGTAGCTCTGTACCTTCTCAATGCAGCCGCTCAGATACAGATTGGCGGTCAGAGGCTTCAGATCAACATAGCAGCTCGGCGGAATTGGCTGGCTGAGCAAAATGTAGTCCTGTGCACTGCTCTTGCCACAGCACTCATATTTCTGCTGCAGGCCATCCAGATTGTTGTGCTGCCAGGCCTGCTCCACCACCGTCTGGCCACTCTTCACGTCGAGATTATGCAGAAAGATGCAGGTGCTTATAATTTGCAGAATGGCCAAGACAATCAAAAACACCGCGCTCTGCGAAAGCAAATGAGTTTCAAAATATTCATGGCATAATTCAGGGCGCAGTCACGTACCGTAACAGCGAGGCACACCGATTCGCGTATAGCTGCGAATATGCCCAGAAATGCAAATACAACAATAATCGAGCATGTGATGTAGGCGGCTATGACGAATTCCTCGCTCTCCGAGTCCGCATTGAAAGCGATCCATCCGATCGCGCCGAACGCGAGTATCTGTGAAATGCAACCAGCGTGAATATCATGGACGGAAGAGCCCGATATGATGCAATCAACTGCCAATTGAGCAACAAAAACAACAACTACGGCATTAATAAGAACAAAGCAACAATTATTTGTCGCTGATGTGACCGTGGCAACGAAAATTAGCTGTTCCTTTACTCTTTCCTAAGGAGTGTATTACCATTTGACAATGTAGTTTGTAATGCATGGAAACTATTTTTATAAACATCTATTAAACAGGAACTGCAAAGTCTTTTTAATCGGTATTAAATGATTATGAATAATTTATTTCAAATATTTTGCTGATGTTGCAGGTAACACTTTTTTAATCTATCAGAAATTGTTGTCTTTTATTAAAGAACTGGCTATGCTATACTAAAAAGTTTTTTAAAATATAACATAAAACAATACTCGTGACCCAAAAGTCACTTCAGCAATGTTTTTTAAAGAAGAAAGCTTTTAAATTTTAAAACAATGAATACTAGACAGCTTATTTTAGAATGTATTTCCTTTAGCCATACGATTGATCTGCTCTTGTAGAGCGTGAGGTCTGTCCTATGATTACTGCGGACTATTTCGTTATGAGTCGTAACCTATTGAAATCTCTAAGCTATCCTCATTATATACACGTCTTAGTCGCTTAGCTATAGAAATTATAAAAGGTGAGTACTTTATTTATAATTCTACATGAAAATATATAATCGATTAGAATGAAAGTTTAATACTATGTTGTCTACTTGTGTATTATCAGATTCAAATCAATTTCAATATTAGTATCCTAAGACCTTTACAAGAACAATCAATGCAACAAACATCAACAAATTTCAATTTTTAAAACTAGTTTTTCATTTTCTAAACAAAGGCTTTTAATCCCTTGAGGGTATGTTGTCTTCGGCGCTCGTTTTCGTTTGGAGAGCCCTCATTTAAATGAGATGAAATGAGCACAAGATGGAACTTGCGTCTTTCATTAAAATATAAAAAGTCTAATTACATGCAGACGGACAGCACACGCAATATGTTAGTGATTTTTTCTGTACCCTAGTTGTGACTATAAATTAACTGCTCTCTTGATTTGTCAATTACATCGCGCTTTCTCCGAGGGGTTGACATTGCCATTGAAGTATGTAGGGTGGGGTGGCCCATATTGGTTTCCTGTGGACTGTAACGCACCCTGCTAGCGGTGCTGAGGGCTCTGTAAATAGGTCAGACCACGAATGAAATGTATGACATCATCGGGCAGATAGCGCTGGCAATCAGTAAGAAAGGAATTGGAAAGCGCAACGCCCACATATGAAGTGCCTGTTTGAGGCAATTTCAACTGCTACTTATTACTTATACTAGTCGGAACAAAGTACACGATTTTATTTAGAGGAGAACATTTCACAGACCAGCCGACGACAACAACCGCAAGGTCCAATTTGAAGACTCTGAGATAATGATTGGTGTGTGAATGCCGAGCAACGGAAATTTGCAGGTGTTTGTGTGTCTGTCTGAACATGAGAAATGACAAAATCTGTTTAAAATGAAACAAGGCCCCCAACATTTTCAGGAACATTTTGCGGTTATTGTAATGCCACAAATATATTTTATAATTTTGGTCTGTTTGGTTGCCTTTTACACAAATTCAAATAATTGCCATTCATTTTTACGTCGGTTAATACATTATGCAAACAATTATATTTACACACACATACTAGGTAATTTTCAAATACATACTATATTAATATTTTATTTGTTTTTGTTTTTCGTTTTCAAGTGTGTTTAGTTAGTGACATCATGCCTGTGTGTGTGGCTTCCTTTCCTTTTCAAAATGTAATTTATTCAATGAAATACAATGCATGATATTTAAATTTAAACCAGTTCATGTTCTTGTTGTTGTTGCATCTACTCGTAGAAATGTATATGGTTCCAATTACCATAAACAAAACTTACCGCCAAAATAACATTCAGTGTGATGGAGGCGATTTTAACACTAGTCGTAGCACAACCCATTTTGCAATTGGATCCGGCGAATGCTAAACACAATTTTAAATAAATATTTAGAAACAATATTGAAATTTCAAATGTAATTTTTATCGTTTCTTTTCAAGTCTACAGAAATGTGTGCATTAATGTCAGTATTTTGTTGATCCTTATTCATGCACAACAAAGCGATTAAGAGTTTCTTCACCTTTTGACTTTTGACAATAACAAGCGCGCCACTTATTTTCGAAACAACGAGCAATACAAGTATACGCTAACGAAACTTCCCCTTTTCTGTATTTTTGTTCTAGACAGCAATACTTGCTCGTTTCGCGTTCACTTACGAACTGAACACGAAGAAAAGTTTGTTATTTTTTACACATTCAGAAAATAAAAGACAGAGACAAATAAACAACTGGCCAGCCAGCTCATTTGCACTCACAAACACACATGCATACATACATATATGTACATGCATACGAGTATTTGGAGACGTAATGCGCTCGCGCAGGCCGGCCAGTGCTCCAAGCGATGACGTCACACTCTGCCTGCCCGTTCATATTTTTGTCAAATGTAATACAGCGTGTTTGTTGTTGCTGTCGTTTTCGTTGCTTTTGTTGTTGTTCTCATCTTAACGGCGCGCATGACTTTTACTGTTCAACTTCGGTTTGTATGTCACTTTGTTGTTGTTATGTCTGGCAGCAACTACAACAAATTTTGTTTACTCACAAATGTACACATATGCATACATACAAGCATACGTGTATGTATAGTATGTAAGTATGTACACTCGCATGTTTACTTGCATTTGTTGGCGCGCATTTTCCGCTTCTGTGCAGCTGGTCGCCATAGAAATGTTTACCACCGAAAGCCAGACCCGAAATCGCGCCCTTTTCGGGCTTAATTATGTTTGCTGCTCAAACATGAAACTACTTGTAAAAGAGAGAGAGAGAGAGAGACGCTTTTCCCTCAAACGTTTCTCGATTAGTTTGCGTAATTGATTTGAAAAGCTTTCTAATGAAGTGGAAAGCGCACGGAGCGGCATGAGTCAGCGAATCGACGGATGAATTGGGCAGCAGATGCGTGTGCCCTTTGTGGCTAATACTTAGAAAGGCAATCTTTGAGTATGACTTTAGTTACATATACTCGTACATACATAAGTAGTAGTATGAGTGTAGTTTATTCGAGGCATTAGTTTGCTTGGCAAGTGGACACAAAACACTGCTATGTGTGCTTCAATTTTAAACGTATGTAGGTACATTGGTGACAAGTTGTTAGGCTAACAATAAAATGTTCAGGTTACACTTAAGTGTAAGACTTAAAGGAATTGACTTAAGTAAGCGGCTGCTTACTAATAGTTATAGCGGCGTCTCCGATTTGTGTAGTGTATGGCAAGTATTACGGCCAATACCAGTATGATTAACTATAAAATGATAGAACGATAGAAACAATTAGAACGCATTCAAATTGCAAAAAACATATGCAACTTACATCAAAGCCCAGCATGCCCCATTCGTAGTATTGTCTGGTTTGTGCTTCATCAGCAAAGGCGTCCTCAACTTTGGTCAGACAGCCGGTGGTAAATAAGTTCAATGGGTTAATGCAGTTGCTATCCTTGCAGCAGCTTGATGGCGGCAAACGGCCGATCTTTACATAGTCATCAGCCCCATTTCGTCCACAACAGTTGTACTGCAAAAGGAAAGCATTAATTGATGTAGATTTATCATGTAGATGATGTACTTTGTTTGCATACCGTCTTCTGTATGAGATTCATGCTGCCCGGTGTGGTCAGCTCCTGCACCCACGAATCCTCGACCGTTTTAATGGCATACTCCTTGAAAACATCACGTGTGCCAATGAACATCTGGGCCACAATTAGCACGAGCAGCACAAGCAACAGTGTGGCATACTGCAAGTATGTATATAAACGAGTTTATACACATTTATAAGGTTTTGAAGATTATTTGTTTTTGCAATTAGAGAACAACAACTAAATACTCACCGTCCAGAGCAAGCGCGATGACTCCCGCAGAGCTCCAAAACAGCCGAAAAATGAAATGAACAACATTACGCAGCCGAGCACAATGATGCTAATGGCGTGTGTCTGGGGCATGGCGCCCCAGCCCAGGCCCCCAAGCCCAATGACCAATATGCCAAGTATCTACAAAAACATTTCATTTTTATCATTAATTTTGATTCGCACACTCATAGTTTTCGATATGAAAAAAGGGGTTAAACCTTTTAGTAGTCATTTATAGCGAAATTCAAAAACATCTGGTGTTTTCTTATCGGAAGTTTGACATTACGGGATAGATACATATGCTACGTATTATGTTTGTATATACATATGTATGTATGTAGAAGTATATGTGTCGGAATTACATTATTTTGACGCATTATTTCCTTCAAAATATTTAACTAGGATACTTAAAGCTTTAACGCCTACATCCTGTTTGCAGGACATTTAAATCAATAATTCCTAACATCTTGAAATATTTTGTCATAATTAAACATATGGTATATACATGTGTTCAGTCAGTTGTTGTGCATGAAAACAGACACCAACGTTTAATTGCTAATTTGATTAGCTCTTTTAAAAGGCTATAGGCGTTTTTCTTTTTTTTTTTTTTGCAAAAAAAAAATTAAATTTTTCAAGGTCTTACAAATACATATATACCCGTTTATAACTTGAATAATTTTTGATTCTAAGGCAGAACATGACTATTCTAGTTGTCTAACAACAATCTTGGACATTATCATCACCACTGTACGCATCTCAGCGCATTGTCTGAGCCGGTTTCTATTTTTATTTTCAAAATTACGAGTATTATATTAAATCTAAATGCATGACGTCGTTGGGTTTCTGGTTAACAAGCTTTCGCTCTGGCTCAAAGAATGCAAAGGCGAAAACCACAGACAATAGGCGACACCAAACTTGAAAAAGAGCAACAAAAGCCATGCGTATAAATATATACTTGTACATAAGTATATATGTACATATGTATGCATAATAGTCATAAACTAAACACGCATATGTATGTTTACACGCTGATATATGTATGTATAGTATGTATCTAACAGATGATATCATCTATCAGGTGTCGCTTCTCTTATGTGTTAAACGATTTTTTAAAGTTGCGGAAATACGAATCGAATAGACTTTAAATGCAAAAATACTTTCAGGCCCAACACATTCGAAAATTCTTCAAAAATATATATGTATGTATGTATTTATGTATGATTGACAACTTTGCACTCTAGAGTCTAGACTGTGGTTTTGAATTCAGCAGCACACTCGTACTTACTGCCCATAGCGCATTGAATATAAACAATGCGTATTTAATAGTGCCCGTGGCGCAACCCATTTCGAAATTAAGTACTTATTTTATTTATTCTGAATTATTTCTGAATTGACGCAGCGCGATGCTGTCGAGCAAACAACTGGCACGAGCAACAGTTTAAAAAACAAAGCAAAATTACAAATCGCCTTCGCGTATTGAAAACCCAAAACACAACTAACAACGGCCACGGTCACGAACGAACTGAACTGAACTATGTATACATCTATAGAGCTGTGGAGCTCTGTGCGTTGATGACGGCGGTCTTAGAGTGGCGGCATTTGCATTTGCCGCTCAACAACAACACAAACAAAATACAAAGTAAACAAACACAAGGCAAAAGCAAACGCAAAAAAAAAAATTGTTGTACCTCACATACTACGCGAAGTGTAAAAAACAGAAAAGCAAAACCAAATTCAAAACCATAACCAAAAGCCAAAGTAATAATGAGGCAAGCGTTGTTCAGAAGCCAATCAAACAGAAAGTATATACTAATAGCGGGCGCCGAAAGCGGAGACAGAGTACACCAAAAGAAAAGCAGAGTAAATTTTTATTTAAAAACATTTAATTAATTAATGAAATTAAATAAAAACGATTTAATACAGTTTCAACAGCATTTTATTACAAAATTCCAAAAATTACGGAAGTTATGCAAAAAACACGAATTTCACGGGTGCATAAGAGAAAAAAACTCGTCCTTTCTCGGACTTAGGAGAATCTGCATACCAAGTTTGTTAATTCTTGCTCTTGTACATGCTGAGATCCTTGCGTTCATACAGCCGGACGGACGGACGGACGGACAGACAGACAGACAGACAGACGAACATGGCTATATCGACTCGACTTGTCATCCTGATCATCCTTCTTTGTGTTACATACAAAACTAGTTTAGCCTTTTGCTCTTTGGGTACAGGCTATAAAAACGACAACAGCATTACTAAGTGATACCACAAAGTTCCAAATTAATTTATTATACTTTATACCCAAAGGGTAAAAGTATAAACTGATTTAGTGCAAAATATGCACATGTAACATACTGAGGGAGGCGTGGCAGATCACTAAAATATTTATATTACTAATCAGTATAACAGGACGAGTCGATATAGCCATAACCATCCTTCAGCCCATCCGTTTGTTTGTCTGTATGATCGCAAACATCTGGGGAAGTATACTAGATAGAACGATTCAACTTAGAATCCAGTTTGTGTTATTTATTTCACACACACTGCCTAGTTATTATTATATATTTTCCTGCAATTTCCCATATTATTGATTTTTTAATTAAAAATTAAAGCACAAATAACGATACAACTCAGTCGATATTATTATTGGTATATTTTTAATTATTTATTTTATCAAAATGTGATATTCATTTATACATGATACATTAACTTATTTCTCTAGGTGTATTACTCGTAGTGTGGTCGGGCAATCGACACTCGGTTCACACACAGGGCCCAACAAACATGAGCTAAGTATTAGAAACAAAATAAAGTGAAGTGGTCTGCCTTCTGTTTCTCCGCAAATATCCGTCTCCAGTGTGGTCCGCAGAGAGCGCCATGTTCTGAGCATTATTCGACTATCACTGATACTTGGCAGTACATCTTCGGCCCCTGAAACAAATTGATCGCACCAGAGTTTATGGAACTCAATTGCGTCATGAGCACTGGCTTAGAAAATGATGCCAGCTGATTCTGAATGAATGATAGCATTGCTTTGGAATTTAATTGCATTTCCATGTAAATACTTATTTCTATACAGGCTATATAGTCATTAAAATTTACGTAACCATATTTTGTGCATTGTTTTATTCGGATTTTAGATTTAGGTTTTTGTAGATAGACTTAATTGTTTAATAATTAAGTTCGTATAGTATATTTATATCAACCACGAAAACCGGATTAGGTTTATATAATTTGCAAAAATAAGGAACCCAGTTTCTCTAAAACTTGCATTGTACATTTTTGTTCTCATCAACATTGTATTTATAGTGTATAATTTTGCCAATCAATCAATAACTTATACATAAATAAATCCTGGAATAAAATCCTATTTACTTCAACAAAAGCTAACTTCTAAGCTGGGATCGCTAGTTTAATATATTAATATCAACGCTATTTGGATGTTAATCATAAATCATATAGGCACTACTATTATGCGGGCTTAAAGGCAGTTATAAGTATGCTTGTAGACAAGCAAGTAGAATACCAGAGACTCTCCATATATATACAATTCCCGGTCTCCCCCTCCTCCTTAAATTAAGCTTAATTTTTCTATAGCGTATTTATTATATGGTAAACCGATTTAATCAAATTTCTTGAACACATCTGCATGAAATGCAATAAAAATATTTTAATATATATACAAGTATTCTGGAGAGTTACAGCATCCACTAACGCTTCTTCGCTTAAGTTGCTGTCAGGCGAGGTGTTATTAGTAACCCCATTAAATTTAACTGAAACTGCGGCACAATTGGTATATTCTCCTAGAAGTCCGCCATTCCTTGTCTCTGATGCCTAGATAGATGGCTGGGGTCCTATAGATAAACAGTGACTCCGAGTGTATATCCCTGTATATCACTAAGGACCAGTAACAATTTATTTGCTTTAATTTTTCATTATATTTTTTTTCAATAATTTGATTCAATTCGACACGCTAGCTTTAAATGTATAATAACACTGGAAGGAGGTCTTTCTCTGGTTCTAATAATGGTACCGTCTGCGATCCTTGCGGAAACGTCGCACCAAGTAGAATGCAGCCAAACACATAATAGCCTGTGTATAAAAAGGAACAATCATTAGAAAAAAACCATCGTTATAAAAGAACAAAACAATGGGAGTACGCACCGAAAAAATAATTTCAAGCCATTCGCTGCTACTTGAGTATTTAAAGGTGGACAAATAGGACTCGCTCACTGCCTGGACGCATCCTTTGGTAAAAGGTGGCAAATCGCCGATCTCGTTGTTGGGATAGCAGCTGGATGGCAGGGTGTCTCGATTAATGGCTGAATAGTCGCCGGGACCATTGCGGCCGCAACAATCGAACTGTCGATAAATTCAAAAAGGACATGAAACAGAATAGTCCTAATACACTCTCTTCTGCACTTACCAGGAGTTGTGTTGCATTCATGGCACCTGGATGCACCAACTCTTCATTCCATATTTTTTCGACATCATTAGCCGCATAGTTTTTAATGGTGTTCTCATCGAATTTAAAGCCAAATACCCACATCAGTTGGACAACGAAGTAAACCAGTAACATAACAGCATACTAAACAAATATTTGCATTAATGTACATATATAATTTTACTAAAATTATTTTAGCATGTACTTAAGTACTTTAGTCGCTTGGTTCACTTACCGCCGTTGTCAGACACACGCTCTCGCGACATATGCCACAGCAGCCGATAATCGATGTTACAAAGGCAAAGGCCCCAATAATATAGAAGTATAATATAAAAAATGGAGGTGCTTGCCCGAGACTTATGGTGGCAACTGCTATCAACAAGAAACCCACGAGCTGCAAAAACAAGAAATGGTTCAAATAAATTCGAATTATAAAAACAACTTTTGTAAGTCAATGTTCGCAATATTATCATGACTTGAACGTGGGCTTAATTTGCTTTTTTAACAATAAAACACAAGCCCAATTAATTGAAATTAATGATACAAATGTACTGATAGACATTAATTGAAACAATTATTAACTTTTTGTTTTTTAACAAAACAACATTCAACTGATGGATTATTTTTGTCTTCTTCGGTTTTCTAACAATTGGGAAGAAATTTCATTTAACTTTAAGTTTAAGGTTTTTCTTTAATTACGTACAAAAAAACACAAAATGTGTAAAACTAGAAATGAATGTTTTCATATTCAAGTTTCAAATTTTTCGTATTTAAATAGAATATTAACAACGTAAATATAACAAAATATATATTCATTTACTGCTTCAAATACGAAAAATATACAAAATAAATTGAATTTTTTAAATTAATTATATTTAATTACATTATTATTAACTTTAGTTTCAATGTTTTTGTATAGTTTGGAAAATTACTTTCAAAAAATGTTCTTTATAAATAAGTATATGTTTAAAATCTACGTGTAAATATTTAAATTTATTTGTGTTTTTTTTATAAGTGTACTGCCGCTCTAAGTCTGTTTCAATTGCTTCAGCTTCACCCGTCACATATGTATATTTGTAATAGAGCATGTCGAACCCACCATGTCAAATCAGTATATATATATATATATATATATATATATATATATTTCTTGTCAACAAAAAGTAACTATAATTTCAACTAAAGCCATACAACTTTCGATTCCATTATTGTGAAGCCTGGGATCCAAAATTCCCAGCTTACTGGGAAATGTTAAATGTTAGAACAAGTTTACTTTTTTTTAAGCAAATTGCAATCACAAAATTTTCAAATTTTTATATTTGTAGCCTTAAATTACTCAAAAAATTGTACCATAAGCACACGAGAGAAAAAACAACAGAAATATTAACATATTTATTTATATGCATGCATATACATACATACGTATATAATTATGTACATTCGTTTGTCATTTATTTTGAATATTTACTTGACTTCTTTTCATACTCATGCCCAAGAGCGTTCGCTCTTTTATCTCACAATCGGGCATATATCTTTGTATACATTTGGCAAAAAAAAACACATACATTTGTATCCGAAAGTTTAATATAATAGGTGAAGGGTATAGTATTAGAAAGTCTAAGCGACATACAAACTACACCTATGAAACAGATACAAGAAGGAGTTGCAGGCTGCATTTTACAGGTGTGTACGAGTACATACTATATGTATACTCTATATAGTACATAATCAAACAGACGAGACGACGATTTGCACGTAGAGCAAATTTATTTATATATTGTAGTCTCATCATTTTATTTGTTTGTTTGTCTGTCTTCAAAATCGGTGCACATACTATATGTCCAAAATTTCTGGTATACTTGTATGCAGCGCATATAAGATTTAAAATATCTATGCCGTTATTTATCCAATTGGCTTGGATAGCTACTTACCATATTTATGGAGTTTAAGATGTTGAGAAACAATTTTAAACAGCCCGACGTACAACCCATGATGGATAGATAATATATTCACACCCGAGTCACAATCTGAAGTTTTTTATATTTATATATTCGCGAATTGCAAATACCGGCATCAGCAATTTCACTCCCAGCTTCAATAGCAACCGACGCGTTCGGCGGGCGGCAGGCGAATGACTATCAGAGCTCATGTCAAGTATGCGGAGAGTGTCTGTTAAAAATTTGCCAGTGTGGCCAAGTTGTTGGAAAAAGAAATTTATTTCTACCATACATTTTGTGCGACTCATTTGAAATGCATTGTATGTATGATGTATTTATTTATTTAATTGGCAAATCAACTAATTTAATTAATCAATTTGTATATTTCGTAATTTATTACTAAATTATGCTAGTCATGCCTTTATTAATTAACGACTACGTTAATAGTTTATTAATGTACGCCTTGTTAGGTGATAACACTGTCTAGTCCTCGTTGATGGGCGCCTCATCCTCCTTAAGCTTCATCATCTTGCGTGCTTTTCCCATAAAGTATCCAGCAAACAGACCCAGTAGCTAAGTTTAAAAATAAGGCGAATAGTGGAAAGCAAACTTTTAACCTTAAGTGATTACTTACTTCTAACAAAAAGATCACTATGGTCATGTAATAATTCACTTCGGACTGTATTTTCACATTATTTACGGCCTTGGTGGAGCAACCTTGCGTATACAGGTTCGCCTCCACGGTGCAGTCAAAGGCATAACAGCAACTGGCTGGCAGAGCACCATTCTGTTCGCCCGTATAGTCCTGCGGTCCATTCACGCCACAGCAGGCAAAAAGCGCGTGTATAGGTCGCATTGTATCGTCCCGATCCGTTGCACGCTCAAAGAGGTCTTTAATGCGCCCTTCGAACTGATGCACCAATTTTCCCTTCATGGACATGTAGGTAAAAAAGTAAACCACCAGCAAGACAGCTACAAGTCCGGTGCTTATTAAATACTGTAATGCCAGAATAGTTGTCAAATTACTCTTATAATCTTTTAGGTGAACATATCTTACATGTATGGAGTACTTATAGGATTCCTTAAGGGCCACATAGATACCCAGAAAAGCCGCACCGAAAATTGCTGCGCCACATAGAGCTACACCATAGCCGCCGTGCACCGCCATGCCTGAGCCCCAGGTGACAACACCACAGGAAAGGAAGAAAATATTACATACCTGTGAAAACAGCAAATCACTTTCTTAGTAAATACATAAAACATTTTGGCAAGATTGTTAATGCAGACGAACGTCAAATCTTAGTTTGATTATATCTTTAATACACATTGTACAGCACTTACGAAGCGAATTTCCCAAAACCACTTAAGTAATACATAATTCAATCAACATTTTAGTACAGCATTGTAATACTTCCTGATTGAGTTTAAACTATACTCGCAAAGAACAAACAGACAGACTTACATTTTCATACAGAAATATGTACTAGAATTTAGAATACATTGAAATATTTAGTTTCATTATATCGACTAAAGCTAATCCGCGCACTCATCTTTGAAAAAAATTTTATTACCAACATAAGTAAGTATTTATGACTAACAAATCTCAATAACATATCTGATTCAACTGAAATTAATTTACGAGAAATTAACTAATTATACTACCCTGGTTATAATGAAAAAAAAGTGGATAATTATTTTGCGATCTCTTGAAAATAATAGGAACACCTAAGTTTTTAATAACTTACTTATACTTATATAATATGTATAAGGTACAGTATATTATTTAATAATCTTTGTTATTTAAAATGAGAAATTAACTGAAATTATATATTGAAGCGATATTAATTAACATCGCCAGAAAGACTAATTATCCAATTAAACAAATAGACAAATCAAAGGAGAATTAAAAAAAAACCCCAAAATAAAGACGGTGTAAGCGAAAGACAAAAAATGAACGAACACTAAAACTACTAAGCAGTTATGTATTTTGATATCACACATCATTTTATAACCCTTGCTTTTCTCTATTAACGCCGTGCGTATAAAGAGAGATGTGGAGAGCTTTTACTCGAGCCGCATGACCTGGTCAAATATTTTGGGAATCAGCTGTTTAGTGACATAGAAAAAAAGCTGTTGAGTCTAAATCAACAACCTGCAAGCTCAGTTGAAATTTTGTCTTACAACTTAAGTACCCGATCACGAAGGAAATCTGTTTTATTGTGCGCATATGTTATCCAATAAGTAATCCAATGTTCTCCATTAAGCAGTCCAATGTTTCCGAACCCTGACATATCCAATAAGAATTAGTGATCGCGTTATCACATCTATGACTTGTTTTAGGCATGGGCAACAGACAACAGGCAAGTCTGGCATTAAGCTTTTTAAGGTGCTGTTCTACTGGCATCCTAACCTCACTCTTAGCCAGTGTCACAAGTTGAGTGGGGAGTTGGAGATGTGCTCCTGCTGTTGAGCTAAGCTGAAGTCGGGATTTGAGTTTAAGAGCGGGTGTGGTGTAATTTATGTTTCGACTGCCTTGCATACTTTCGAGTGGTTTTTTGAGTCAATTGTTGATTTGGCTCAGTTGTGTTATTTCACTATTGTATTATGTTTTGTGACTACAGTTTACCGTTAAGAGTACCACTGAATATAAATAAATCTCTATATGCACTTAATTCAAGCAATTGCTTTTTCTACTCATTTAACTTTCAGTCACTTTCCTCAACTCTTTCTGTTTGTTTACGTCGTCATAATGAGTCCTATTATACAATTATAAAATTAAAGCAGCAATATTTATCAACACATTTCAGTTTCAAATTTCAGTTATGTTCACTATTTGAAGCTATTGGAGAGAGGCCCCAGAATGCGACCTTTTCTTCCATTTTGTTACTCAAGAAAGCATAGTTTGTTTATATTTCCCCTCCTCCAATGTTTGTGCTGAAAACGCCAAAAAGCAACAAGCTGTGCACTATTTTTAGCCATACGTGTTTTCTTATAACATTTTTATTTTGGTACTTTCTCGCTTGACATTACGACATGCGCAATATTGATTTTTGCAGCATGCTGCTGGCCTCTGTCCACATTTTGTCTACTCTTGCAAATGGGTCGATGGATAACCCTTGATGTAATGGCTTAGGAAACTTACCACAAGGAAGGCGCATGTTGTGAACAATCCATACTTCCAGGGCGTTATCGAAAATGACTTTTCCATGGCTTCAATTGACAGGTCTTTCGAAAAATGCACTTTAAATAGGATAAAAAAAAGTTATTACCGTAAATTATGTTAACATATTAGGTCTTTGCACCCATTTCACTTCTTTTTTTTTTTTTTGAGCATAACACTCACAGGCCGTTCGTTGGCTTGGACCAAATTGATTTGTTCGATATAATTTGTATTCGCTTTGTGAATTTTGCAAATCGTTGTATGTGCGTCCTCGCGAAACTACGTTTGGGGCATTGTTTACGCGTGCAATCAACTGCTCTGCCCCATCCAACAATTAATCCATTCCATGTACATGCACAAAATTATATGTCTGGTTGGCTGCGCGCGTTCAGCGTTCTTTATACTACAAATGTTCACAATCGACTGACGGTGAACGGAAGCACAAATTTTTACCAGCGCCGCAAAGATTCGGGCCGCCTACGACGCAGGCGCCGAACTCAATTGTTGCTGAATATAAAACAGGGTGCGCCAAATTAGAATTAACAGCCGCTAATCACTTTAAATCTAATGTATTAAGTGCTCAGGTAGTAGCCATTAAAAATCTTCATCATGATCATTCGCAAATTATATTTTCTAAAATAAATGGGTCAGTCAGTTGTAAGCTTAAGTTAATGCACAAATAATAATAACTTCTTACAGAATGCTTAAGAGAAGACAACTATGATTTTTAGCTCAACTATAACTTACGATAGAAGCAAACATTTCAAACTCATTTCTATATGAAGTCAGCAATAACATATGCAAGTTTTATCTTGCTTACATGTTTATTAATAATGAAGAATATTTATCATATAACGATATTAAAAATCAGACATAGATGAGATTGACAATATAATATACTGCGCTTTGTATAAGTACAACTTAGCTGTTGTATAAAGAGAATATTTTAATTGAAAAAGAACACAAAATTACTATGAAATGGCTCTTGACTACCCTGTACCCAGTACTATAATTAATTAAAATAAGCCAATCATTCCTATATTAGCTTTATTTTATATGGCACCGATTATGAGTTCGCTTTAAGCCGATTGTTCCTTTAGGAGCTATGTGATGAGGCTACAAATGGTTTTGTGATAAATTTCATCTGCGCATGGATAATAAAAGACTGCTAACCAAGTTTTATATACGTCTCTAGCTATTAAGGTTCAAAAATTCTCGGTGCTTATACGGTAACCATATTTACCCTGCACAAATGGGGGTCTAAAAAGAAGAAGACAGCGGTAAGGATTTCGATTATAATGAAAGTATTCATATAATCAGTGTTATTGCTTAAAAATCTAAAAAATCTAAATCTAATCAAAATTTGTGTACGTAGCTTCGAGTTAATTGCGATATATAATAAATCTATTTCAGATTGTTTTATAATTTATGTTTTTTTATATTTGCGGGCTATTGTAGAAGCTAGAAGGGAAAAAATAGGGATTTCAACTTGCTCCTTCACCACTAGCATTACAGTTTACTCGTCTAGAGATCAACTTCGTAAGTTGTTTATTTTTTTTATTTTTTATATTCCTTTTTACTCCACTTGGGAACTTCTACAATTACTTTTTTTATTTTGCTCTCTATTTCTAGTTCCTCCAGTCTAGTTTGGATTCATTGCTCTTGTTGTCTTTTTATCACTTCTCAATCGCTGCATTACTATACCCTTTCATCTATAAATAGAAGGTGCTTAGAGTAAACAATTATAATCGTATGAGTCAACTAGATAAGTGAGGCATTAAAAATCAATTTGGTAAGCGAAAACATCCATAAAGTTGAATATGAATTACTGCTGTTGTTTGCTCAGTTGGGCATAATCTGGACATGAAAATGGACAACGCAGCTTGGAAATTATTTGTACTTTACATATTTCTACAAAACATTGAACAGCTAGAAGTAAGTTAAACTACAACAAAGTGGAGTTCCTAATGAGTTTTCTCTACAGTGCTTAACTATGCGTTTTAAAAACATTACATGCGAGAGCAAGGATGCAAGCACGATTTCGGTTGCATATTGTTTTGTGGGATCCTTGAATGTGCACGAGAACTATATTAGTTTGCGTTACAGCCTTCTCAAGAACGAAACTGTCGACAAACTAGTGGTAAATTCCAATACCTAAGCAACATAATATACCTTCTGTTAATCGCATATTCTCATCCGTGGGTGCAGTTGCAAGTTCAACTCATGAGAAAAGTAAGCACTTGGAACCCATATCTGTACGCAATCAAGATTGACATGTGCAAGTTTTGGAAGCACCGTTACAACTATTTGGCCAAACTGATAATTAGTTTTCTTGACGGGCACACCAACATGAATCACTCCTGTCCCTACAAGGTGAGTGCTTAATGATTAATATAGTATGTGCTCTTTGTAATATATTCCACGATTGATCTGCAGAATGAAACCTACCTAACCATTGATAATGTCACAAATATTGAGGTGTCAGAAAAAATTGCCCATCTTCCCCTACCGAAAGGACGTTACGCACTCCACACCACTTTTCAAGCAAATAATGTTACCCGCGCCCAAACGAATATATTCTTTGAAATGATCTAAAACACTTTGACAGTTATATGTATTTATATTAATAGCAAATTAATACTTATTAGATTTTTGTACATTCATTAAATTAACAGGCTAATGAACATTTTAAATTCAGTTACTCGTAGATTAGTTAACGAATTGTTCTACATCCAGGCGGCATTATTGCGGCGACTCTGATTCTTAAGACTGCTCAATAGCATCCAGCCAAAGACAGCGCCAATAGTCTGAAAAGAGATGCTAGTTTACCTGGTATTCCCAAATAAAATGCCCCAACTACTAACCTCGCCTATAATGAGCAGCCAGGACACAATTTTGAAAGTCAGGAGCTTGTCATCCAAGTACTCCACAAACTTCGCCTTGCAGCCGGCCTGGTGAACACTTGAGCTATCGATGCACTTACGATCAGCACAACAGGTTATCGGTATAGCATGCTTGATAATCCAATAGTCCTCGGGGCTATTGACGCCACAGCATTGCAGCTATTTAATTGAAAAGATAATACTTTACTAGTAATTATTATAAATTTCCTATAAGGAAGACAATAGGAGTATTCTATTCCACAAACGAATTTAGATCTTGTCGAACAGACATTGTGAGAGTCTTTGTTTACTTAATAGAAATATTTTAATTATTATTTCATAAAAATAATTTGCAGTTTATAAATAGTCTGCAACCCTTTTGCCGATTACCTTTCAATGATGAGGAAAATTATGTCAAGCCGAAAAGCTGCGGCAATATGATATTTTTGATTGCTCTTGACAAACTATTAACACTTTGTTTTATCAACAAATTAAAGATAACATATATTTAAAGCTACATTTTAGTTATCCTATTAGTAGATTCAGAAATATGAAAGCATATTTTGTGGATAAAAGAGCATATTTAAAAAATAAAAGGCTAGGAGATGTGCGAAGAAGACATTCACATTTTTGAATGCGAAGCAAACCTGAAGAGGCAACTTTCCTTCATTGAGAGCAATTCTTTTAGAATGCTATGTCTATATCATTGATTTGACTGGCCATTTGAATAAGAAGCCGAAAACAACCAGGGCCATAAATATACAAGGTTAGCAAATTATAAGACCGGATGAAAACTGGCTTAACTGTAGGCCTAATAATGGGCATCGGAAATCTTTATACGGTGCTGATATAACGACAAGTTTCTGCACAAATACCTAATAAATTGAGAACAAAATCTTACCCATTCCTCGTAGTAGGCCAAAGCACCGGACTCTTTCTGCTCCTCATCCCACAAACGCTCAAAGCCTTCGTTAATACTGCCCGATATGCCATCCTTGGTGCCATGGGATGCCATGCTAAGAAACAGCAGCTGTGTGAGAATGAGGAGCACCACGGCAATGACGTACTAAACGAAAATCAACAAAAAGACCATCTGTGTTTAGCAAACAGAAAACGAAATCAATTGGAATATATTGGGGCTTACTATAAGCAATCGCACGCGTGCCTCATGTATTGCTGCTAGACATCCAAATATTGAAATGATCAGTATAACCACGCCCAGGCCAATTATTAGGCCGCCCGCCACATTTTCGCCAATACTAACGGCATTCTCGGTAACGCTTACCAGAAAAAAGATGCCAAAAGCAATGAGCACCAGACCGAGCACCTGAAATACAGGAGGCATTAAATTGTGATCGCATCTGTTCTCCCTGCCATCGTACTTACCACGAAAATGAAATTTAGGAGCAGCAGCAGATGCTTCACTGTAGTGGAGGCCAGACCCATGTTGATGACACTATGCCACAATACAGACTAAGCAGCTTCGAAGATGATGACAAGAGCGACGCAATGCTCACTGAGCCAAAAACAAAAGAGACTGTATTGCTTTGCTTATTTTAGTAGCGACATATACATATGTACATACGTACATAGGTGTACATATGTATGTGTGTGTATGTTTATTCGAAATGCATCAATATTAACGTATAAGGTCAAAACCACTTTTGGCCAAACGCCGCCAAGCACCTCGCCCCAATATCCCTCAATATATGGGAGACGTGAGCTTGAAAATTCAGTTACGCAGCTGCTGACCGTAGTGTGTCAGTAGCGTGAATAAACTGAAAAAATGTGTGTTTTGTTTTCAAATTATATACATTCATTCTACATTTTATCTGTCTAGCTATATCTGTGCGATCGCTGCTCCGACTGCTGCGGTTGTTTTGTATCTCAGCTGCTCTCGCTTTTCTCGAGCAACTTTTGAGTTAAAAACAACCGCCCGCCCACCTGCCTCGTACCCGCTTGTGTGTATGTGTGTGTGTGTGTGTGCTTTTCCATTTTATCTTTAAAACTTGTTCATTTCAACTTGTCGTTGCCATAACATCCTACTCACTGTGTATTCTTTCTCCAATTTTGTTGTAGTCAACAAGAAATTATTCAATACTATTGGTGCCCTACGATGTGAAGCATGTTTGTAGTTGTTGCTTGTTGTTGTTGTTGTTGTTGAATGACAGGTTTGTTTACAACTCTTACGTTGCTTGTGGTTTCCTCAAAACCAACGTTGGCGTTTCATTTTATCAATGAAATGAGAAATCGATATGGATCTACGCAGATGTGGGTGAATTAGCCGGGCATGCGCATGGAAGAAATAAATACACTGCGAGATATTTGTTAATAATGTTTTAATTACAACATACACATAATCACATTGCATAAAACCTAAAACTAACATTTTGAGAAACAATTATTTCGTTGCTTTCATCAAGCTTTTTCATTTAATATAAGTACATAAATATTTATTTATCAGTAAGACTTAGCTATAAAATCGTACACGATCTCGATGATTTCGTATGCTATCCACCAGGTAGCAAGCAAGCACGGAGCCAACAAACTGCAAAAATAAATATAGATTTCATTATTATTGAAATTAACAATTGCACTATTAATATATTCCAGTTGATGGGTCTGGCAACGCAGTGCCAACAGCCAAGCTCACCACTCAGAGAGAAAGTTAGCTGAAGAGAGGCAGAACGAGCGAAGAGTCGAAAAGTCAAGCCGAAGAAGGCAAGACGAAGAAGGAAAGAGTGAGAAGTCGAAAGCTAAGCGCTGTGATGGCGAGAAGTGTCGAAAGGACGCTCTTGTTTAATTAAAATCTTATCTTTTAATCAACATATGTTCGTTTAAACTATATATACTTACAGCTATATAAAATTGGAGAATTTTTGGACTGTTATATTTAATTAAATTTTGTGAAATCTCACATTAAACAAGTGAATTTTGTCTTATAGATAATGTAACTCAGCATAACTATTTCAAAAAAATTAAATACATTTTTAATTGAACATCCTGCAAGCGATAAATGGGTAACGTGGGCTTACGCAAATGTTATTTAAAGACAGTAGAAAGCATCTCCTCTAAGACCATACTACTTATGTTTGTATGTTTTATCAATTATCATCTTTAGTTACTTTATATGGCTTGTATGTTAATTTCTTTTTAATTCAAATAACATTTTAATCCAGAACTGCGTCCCTCAACTTTTTCGTTCTTTTGCCTGCTCTTTGTCCTTCAGTTTTGTTTTTTTGGGCACAGGATATTTCATGGCGGAACCTGAATGGCTGTAGCATTTTCTCTTGATTTATTACGTATTTCTACCTTTGTTTTACAAATATGTAGAAATAATATCTCTTTTAAATTAATTTAAAATTGTAATAGAAAAGGTACTATCCTACTAGAAACTATCGGAATTAGTAAATCTCTCGTGAAGCAGTGAGGGACGGCAGGAGTTTAATTAAACTTTAAGCGTAGCCAATAGCTGGATCTACATATGTGAATTATTGTGTATAGCATACAATTTTTTTTTTTTTTTTTGGTATCAGCAGAGTGTTTGTTTTTAAAACTGTCCATCGTGGACAATCATTAAGTTTGTTAAATAAACTTGACGATTAATTATTTCATTTATGATGAGGATATAGGATAAATTTATGTTTAATATACAAATATATACAAGTATTTCATAAATTAAGTCTACGAAATGAATAATTGTGTACTTTTCAATCATTTTAAATCTTCAACTTATATGGGTCGTCGGCCATTAGCAGCTCTGACAAAGGTTTTATTAAATTCCACAATTCTGTTCGTATGAGCTCCGGGAGTTTAGTATTTTATGTGTATTATCAATTAATTGGCATTTTTGTATACGCACCTCCGTTATTATCAAAATCCAGCTTATTGAATTAAAATTCGATGTTTTTTTGCTAATATATTCCTTAAACTTTAACTCACAACCCTCTAGGTATAAATTCATGACTCTCGTACAGTCGTGTTCCACACAACAATTTTGGGGCAACTCTTTATCGAGCAGGAAGTAGTCCTCAGCACTGTTGCGGCCGCAGCAATGTAACTGGCAATAAAAGTGACATAAACATTGCATACTTAATTAAATATGAAATTTTAAGCCACTTACCCACTCTTCGTAAGCGTTGAGTGTGCTGTTGCCGGTATGCTGGGGATTCCAGAGGTCCTCGAAACCCTCCTTTAGAGCGTCAGGCAACGCATCTCTACTTGCCGCATAGCTTATACTAAACATGATCAATTGTATGATTAGGAGCAGCACCAAAAGCACCGCATACTGCAAAAAAATTGCTGAATAATAACAATGTGAATCAGGTATAAAAACAATTGCTCATTACGCACACTGATCAACATTGTCTTGGACTCCATACCGACACTAACTGTGCCATAAATACTGGCCAAAACAACGACTATGCCCAACAAGATGCACAGCACAGCTGCCAGGTTCTCGCCATGGTCCAGAGGTTGCTCTGCAATGCTGCCCAGCAACCAAGCCCCATACCAGATGAGTAGAACGCCAATAAGCTGCGAAGAAAATTAGCAACTTAATCAGCACAGTTCGCCAATTGACACAAATATGACGGCATCGTTTCACAACAGCCTTGAACAACTTTCCAATGGAATCTTAAAAAAAAAACAAACAGAATATTGCTCCCCTCGAAGACCATTTAATAAATTTGCGCTTGGCGATTTCACACAGCGCCGATAGATTGCAAAAGAAAAGTTTATTTTTGGTGAGTGATGCGCCGTTTCCAATTCAAAAGGAAATTCACACGGCAATGCCAAACTTACGGCACAAATCAAATTTATGAGGCATAAAAAGTGCCCCAGCATGCGCGTGCTGCAATGCATTTCGAGGCACAAATTCACATGACACACGCGTATTTGATTTAAGAAACCAACAACTTATAGCAACCCGTCTCGAGCACACTTTTCACGAATTTTCACAACGATTTTCCACCGCGTCGGGTTGCGCACCTTAAGCGACAACGAACGCGCAGCAAATATTCGTTGGGAACGCTCGTTCCGATCACTTGAGCAGTCATAATCTGCCTTTGTTGTGTCGCATCTAGATACGCTGCTGGCGGATCGTCGATTAACCCAACAGCGTCTTCGTTGTTGTCGCCGCCATGTGGAGAGCTATGCTGCCGCTTCGCTCTGAAAATGCAATAACCAAAATATTCGGACAGCGGGAAAAAAACGTATAAATAAAAACACAACTCGCAACTAAAATCAAAGAATACTACATCTGAAAATTAGTACGAGGCACCCACACTCTGACGCAGACACACATAGATATACACACACACATGCGAACACAGCCATACATAGGTGGCATGTGTCACCACGCGGGTCGATCCATAAATACACGAGGGACGGAAGAAAGACGCAAGGTGTTCTCAAAAACAGTTGAGCCTCTCTATTGATCGGGATTTATTATTTTATCCGTGATTTTAATATTATATCTCTATATATATTCATATTCTCTACATATATTCGAAGAAAGACGCAAGGTGTTCTCAAAAACAGTTGAACCTCTCTATTGGCCGGAATTTTCTCTTTTATCCGTGATTTTTATTTAATATCTCTATATATATTCGTATTCTCTATATATATTCGAAGAAAGACGCAAGGTATTCTTAAAAACAGTTGAACCTCTCTATTGATCGGGATTTTTTCTTTTATCCGTGATTTTTATTTTATATCTCTATATATATTCATATTCTCTATATATATTCGAAGAAAGACGCAAGGTGTTCTCAAATACAGTTGAACCTCTCTATTGATCGGGATTTTTTCTTTTATCCGTGATTTTTATTTTATATCTCTATATATATTCATATTCTCTATATATATTCGAAGAAAGACGCAAGGTATTCTTAAAAACAGTTGAACCTCTCTATTGATCGGGATTTTTTCTTTTATCCGTGATTTTTATTTTATATCTCTATATATATTCATATTCTCTATATATATTCGAAGAAAGACGCAAGGTGTTCTCAAATACAGTTGAACCTCTCTATTGATCGGGATTTTTTCTTTTATCCGTAATTTTTATTGTTTATCTCTATATATATTCATATTCTCTATATATATTCGAAGAAAGACGCAAGGTGTTCTCAAATACAGTTGAACCTCTCTACTGATCGGGATTTTTTCTTTTATCCGTGATTTTTATTTTATTTATCTTTTTTTAATAACATTCTATATTTTTTTATTGCATATCCGCTTATATTTTAATTACATCTTATTATATTTTTTTTAAATTAATTATTATAGCTATATCTGAAGCCAAAATCGTAATCATGGTTCACCAAACCCAAGAGCATGAATTTGGCTCAAATATTGAGGCAGCAGATAGAGGGAGTGCGGAGTAAAGTATTAATGTTCTGTTAAAGATCTTAGTAAACTGCAATTGTCCAGATAGTTCAGAGCCAGAAAAATTCGGAAAAAAACTCATTTACTATTAGAACAATAAGAAACTAAACAGAAAAGGCAGCCTATCTTCAATTATATTTTTAAATAAGTGTAAATGATGGAATAAAGTAAGATATCTGTAATAGAGATGGGCATGGGCCGGCTATTTTCGGCCCAAATATTTCTAAACACGGCCCAACACGAACCTGTTATAATCATTAAATGTAAAAACGAAAAATATATCCATATTAAGCACTTTAATATTGTATTAAAGAATATGTACTGAACTATATTTTAACTAAGAAGCCGAGCTCGTCGCTTATTATAAATTTCTCCAGAAGTGGAAAAAACTTGTTCACTTGTTTCATATTGTCAGGGATATTGATTACATGTCTTAACTTAGCAATTCCAAATTCCTTTTTGGCTTTTTTCCAGTACTTTAACACCTAAATTCCTGGATCAACAGCATTACATATGTATTTAGTTATATATTTTAAAATTATTGACCTGGCCAGAAAAAAATACTAATAATTTTTCATTATTAGTGTCAAAAAATTATGAAAAGTCATGTTGACTATTTTTTTATTACTTTCAAAATCTATTATTGACCGACCCAGAAAATTTTGTTTTGCATTATCAGTTCCCAAAAATTAAGAAATATCGGGTTGACTATTTTTTATACCCTGTACCCGTAGGGTAAAAAGGGTATATTAGGTTTGTGCAAAGTATGTAACATACAGAAGGAAGCATCTCCGACCCCATAAAGTATATATATTCTGAATCAGCATGACGAGAGAAATCGATCTAGACATGTCCGTCCGTCTGTCCGTCCGTCTGTCCGTCTGTCCGTCCGTCTGTCCGTCTGGATGAACGCGAGGATCTCAGAAACTATAAAAGCTAGAATAACCAAAGTTGGCATCCAGATTCTCCTAGGTCCGAGTAAGGACGAGTTTATTTTTTTTTTTTTAATTTTCCCCCCCTTCCCCCGCTACAGAATTTCGTCAATAGCGTCCACATTTCAAATGCTACCTAAACCAAACTTTGCACACATAATTAATATATAATTGTCTACAGTTGTTTGTTTGTTCGGTCAATTCTGAGAAAAGTTATTAGCGAAACAAATTCTCTACAGTACAACCCCCACAAACTGCAGCAACAAGTTCGCTCTTCTTCTTCCTCTTTTTGCTGCTGCTTCGGGCGCATATAACTCAGTGACGGAAGTTTACCTGGGTACAGGGTATTACACTGTCGGGCTTGCTCGACTGTAGCGTTCTCTCTTGTTTTTTATTACTTTAGTTGCTTATTTTTTTCGTGTTAAATTCGTGTTTTGTCGTGCCTTTTTAGCTCAGATTCACAGATTCACATGTTCTTGCTAAAAAAAAAAAAAAGCCTTCTAACGTGCGACCTCCGTCATGAGCACGATCCGTAGCATTACGGGTAATCCAGGTTCAACTGTATATCTTAAATACTAACATTCAATTAGTATGCTTCTTATTCTTTTAGAGTACAGACAAAAACGCCTCTTGATAAAACATCAGACATGTTTTCCCACTTAAAAATTTAAAAACCGAATATTTTAAATAAAAACCGAGCTATTAAGCATTAACTTTACAGCAACTTACCTCAGCCATGGCAGCAGACAACCACAAACCGGTACTTTACGACCAACCCTCGCGAGAGAAGTACGGCTATAACGGAAACTGCGGGCGGCCAACATTTTTTGTTGGGCTTGTCATTTACAAATGCAGAACAATGATGTCAACAAATTTGATCTAAAAATGGTCTGTGTTTGGTATTAGCATTGAAATTACATTTTCAACTGCAGTGTGTGGGCTTGAATTTTTGGCTGAAATTTTATCATCTCCGAAATATTAATCAATGTTTTATGTTAACTAATATACGTAAACTTTATTGCGAACTTGCTTAAATGTAGAGAAAACTTTACATAAAATAACTTGCACTTGAAATGTTTTTTTTTTTTGTTAAATTACACAAATAATTACGTTTAAGTTTAGAGAATTTCAAAGCGAAACTATTGTCACATGCAATAAAATATATAAGTTGCTTTTACAAGTATATTAAAATTACTTTGTATGGTTTTTCTTGAAATTTCCTTGAACACTGATTTTGGCACTCAATGAGCTCTTGTGCGCGCATGCTTGAAGTGTAGATGAACATGAGGTAGACTAGCAAACATCATAAGTATTCCAATGGACATTTTATTGCTTATTATTTGCACAGTATTGAGAATTCTTTGGCCTTGAGTATGTGCACAATATCTTAAGACTGCAAACGGTGCTTATTTTGGAAAGTATTTCGAGCGTCGCCAGCGATTCACAATACTATTGGCCAGCACATAAGCAAAAACGGCACAGACGAGCTGCAGGTAGAAATCAGAACGTGAATTTAAAAAAAAAATAAACCAGTAGAAGAGCCACTCTACTCACCTCCACAATCACCAGGATCACCGCAAATATGTTGAATGCTGTCCAGCGATCGGCAATATAATCCAAAAACTTTTGGCGACAACCCTCGACATTGAGTTTATCGGTCTCGCTATTATAGCAGCTATTTGGCGGCAGTATGTAATCTGTAGATCCAACATTACCGCAGCAATCGAGCTGTTCATAAAAAAATCAATACGTGAATATTTTGTGGAGTGCCTTTAAATGGTCAGTTGGCCATAATTTACATCAAAGGTGCCTGCACCGCCACGCCTCGCACACTTACCCAACGCTCTATGTTCGCTATTTGGCTGACATTTCCGGGCTTAATGGGCACGGGCTGATCGCGCCACAACTGATCGAACGTCTGATCAACATTGATAAGGAAAGATGTTTGGAAGATCCAAAAGAAGCCGACCACCAATACTTCTAGTATCACCAAAACGATCAGTATGACCACGAACTGTTTCAATTGGAAATTGTTCAGTCATTTGTATCTTCGTATCAATTTAATGGCACTCACCGTTTTCGACATGCGACTACTCTCACGTGTGGCACCCAAGGTGCCAAAAATGGCAGCCAGCACAACAATCACGCCCAACACGATGATGACTAAGGCGGCTATGTCGAAATATTCCAATTTTAAAATAATGTACACGCCAAGGGCAATGACTATCACGCCAAAGAGCTGTAAATAAAGCAGGAAGGTAGACTTTTAAGTAAACATTTTTAAAAGGACAACGCTTTTTTCAGGTACTGTAATCATTATAAGTGTTATTAAAAAATTGCAAATTAATGTTTGTTTTTTAATTTAATGATTAATTTTGTGTTTTACTTTACAACTTAACTAATAATCATTATTTTTTAGCAGAAGAATAAAACTCATAAAATAATGATTATTCTTTAAGTTTTATTTTTTTGATAAAAATAAACCTCAAGTTGTAATTCATAGGAAATAAGGACAAAATGTATATATATATGCTATATATTACAGTTTTGGGCTAAAAAAACGTTCTTAAAAAAATATTTTCAAGCAATTTTACAGCTTGAGTTTTATTTTTGATCAAAAACATAAAACTCACAGAATAATCATTATTTTATAAGTTTTATTTTTTTGCAAAACTCAAAAATAATCATTAAATTTTAAAAGAATGAATAAAGATTAAAATTTATAAATCATGGTGAGAAAATAATATCTCTAAATTTCTCGATTTCTCAGTTTTTTTTCGTTTAAAAAAAAACAAAATAATTATTATTTGCGGTCTCCGCTTTTTTTTTGCCAATGATGAGACTATAATAAACAAATAATACTTTTATTGGTACTGGCTTTGGTTCTATATGTATAGCAGATCTCTCCAGTATAGAAAGTTGGTGCCTAGTCATGATTAAATGAGGTTTTCAAACATCCTCTTCAATCTTAGGAACATTTAATAAATAAATAAAAAAAACTTTTCCAACATCATCTTCAATCTGTTGCCACCCATTTAACAAAAACTTGTACTATATATCCGACTTGCTTATTCGAACATAACGAATATAACGCACAAGCAGATCTGTACTACAAATATGCAAAACTGTTTTATCAGAAATTATTGAATAAATATTACATTATTTAGTTTAACATTTGAGTGTAAGTAATATCTGCACCTCCCATATGTATCCCATCTCGTAAGCAGGAAATTATTTCCTTATATGGGCCGCATAGTGACAAAATTCTTGATCTTGAGCTACACTCCAAATTTGACAAAGATTAAGAGCTCATTCATTCAGATTTCTTATTGATTTTGCTCTTCAACATCCACATTCGAAACTATTAATCAAAACGGAAACAAAACCAAACAATTGTTCAATGAAGCATGTGGCACAAAGTATCTTTAAGCGTTTGTCGTTAAATTCAAAACTATTAATCAGAGAGTGGAAAAAAAAATAAACAATACTTCAATGAAGCATGCAGTATTAAAATAAACAAATTTTAATAATTTCCACTGGGAAAACTACATTTTAATCTAAGCTAGGTACATGTCTGATGTTAAAGCTCTTTACAAACATTTTTCTAAATATGAAGCACTTAACTTTATAAAAGGTTTTGCAGGATATTTAAAGGGAAGAGCAAGCATGTTGAAACATGTCTTGTTCTCACTGTTATATAGTAGACAAAAATGTTGATATTCCTGATTGTTAAACTGTTAATTGTATTTTTAAATTCATTCGGCACATAATTTAAACTTCAAATTTAAACTTCAAATTCAGTGGAAGAATAAGGAAACTCTACTGATTCCTCAACAGCAGGAAAAAGCTATCGCTGAAGAATAAAGTTCTGATTTACAAAACAATTATTGCTCAAACAGAGGGGGTAGGCAGCTTTTTTCAAAGGGGGGCAACAAAAATTTAAATTTTAATTAAATAATGCACGATGCGTTTAAATAATATCATTTACATATCATGAACAGAAAAATTTCAACAAATCCAACTTAATTCCATTTTAAGGCGAAATAGTGCGCCATAACATTGAATGTTTGGTCGACTTCATATTGCGATAATGCCACCTTCCTACGCCTTTTTTTTTTTTTTTTGAACATATTAATGATAGTTATTGTAATAATAACAGCAAAATTAATATAGAGAATAAAATATTTGAGGTAACCCCTGAAAAAACAAATAAGTATTGCATATCATTTGTATTGTTATGACATTCGCAGACGCTTCCTTTTTAGCATAATTGTTGTGCAAATTGGTCGACCACTACACACATTACGTATACGCACAGTAGTCAACACTTTTCGAGCATTTTCCCTCTCACTATCTATCGGTTTGTTTTGTTAAAAAAATGCGCAATGCAAGCTGCAAATTGCTTTCGCTATTTTAAATTTAGCATTTAAATGACTCACATGAACTCGGGCGTTAGTGGGAATGTAAGCGAATGAGGGGAAATGTTGGCATGCCCCTGCGAAAGTAAACAAATGAAAATTTGGCTCACTTGCACATTTAAAGAAAATAGTAATAAATAAGCAATGGCACGCTGCCAGTCAGAATACACACACAGACACACAAGTACTTGAATATAGTAAATGCGTAATAACTATTTATTCATTGTTTTCTATAAGTCATGAATTTTTCATTGGCGTTCGGCAGCGTTTGTCAATGTATTTAACGCCAGTTGTTGTTAGCAGCCAGCAACCTGTTGCCTTTACAATTGTAAATACAAATAGTATAGGCCAATATATGTACAATTGATAGACCAAACAACAACTTGAGTGTGAACGACGTTAACATGTTGGCTGGCCGCTCTCCCCCTCACCCCTTTCCCAGTATTCATACGAGTATTCGTACGAGTATGACGTTAACTAGCGGCCCATTGACATTCTCACTGTGTGGTTTTCAATTTCTATGACAATTCATCAATAGGCCAGCAACTCCAAAATTGTAAGCAAAACGACGTAATTATGAGTGATTCGTGCTATTAATCATGTAGACTTAAAGCCTTTCATACACGTTTGGCTCTTGTTGTAATTTGTCGATAGTCGACAAACACAACTTCTTGCCTAAACTGGTTTCGACGGCAATGTCTTTATAATTTAAATGTTTGTCTGCGCTCAACTGCACCTTTTAAGGCCTCGTACTATTAGTGTACTATAATTCAAATGAGGTCGCCGATTAATAAAGTAGCCAACATTATTAGCTTGTGGCCCAAGTCAAATGTCTGGGACGACAAAAAGCCAAGTAAATAGTATCTACTATATAACAAATATGTATATAGTGTTTCTCTACAATTACACTGGGGCGGGGCAATTATAATAATGCCAGTTAGCCTTAGTCATACAAGTAGCCTACACATTTTTACAATTTTTAGTCCAATTTCAAATATGATTAACTAATGTGAGAATACAACTAATAACTTTATAAAACTTTATACATAGTTGTGCGATGCCCGTTTGAAAGCAGATTTAATATCGCTCGGGGCTCGATATTAACGCAGACATCTGGGTCTTCTTTTTTTTTTATTGTACAACAGCACTTTATTATAATTTATTGCGCATGGCACTCAATGCGTAATTACTAAGCTCCAAGACCCAAAACAAATAGACAAGGGAATTCATAGTTTAGTGTGTAAACAAGCATGCTGTCAAAGGGGGAGTCGCCTTCAATCAGGGCGTATCGAATGAATGAATCGCTTGCTGATAAAAATAAATAGATGCACGTTCCATGAGCTAGATTAGAGCATAGTTTTCAAAATGGTCCTACCCCAACAAGAGGAATTCAAGAGCTGGCTGATTCTTAAATGTATAATTTCCTCAATTATTAAAGCGTTATTTATACTTTTATTGTGAATTTAATAATAATCGTTTGAAGTTTAATATTTTTAGATCAGAATTTATTTTTTTTTTTTTTTTGCTATATTTAATGAGCTACACAGTGATTATTAGCAACTTCAAATTTTTACTTTTTGATGAATTTTTACTTTACTTTACCGGATACTTTTCCACACTGCTTGAAACTGCTTGTTTCCTTAATCGGCCACTCAAAAGGGAAAACTGCTTTGTTGTGGTCGTGCTCGTATGGACAACAATTTTATAAATGTTTCAAAGTTTCTTGGAAGAGATTAATAAGAATTCCACCAATTTAATGATGATTTGAAGTAAATTTCTTAAGTAACAGCAGCAGAAGAAATTTTAATTGGAGGGGAGTGGAGTGTGCAATAAAGAAAAAATCATAGCTTTATCAACGCTTGTCTACTTACTTTGATGACTATACTACATACTAGAGCTGTGCAGACTCTAATGTGCCCTTTTACACTTTTAGGTGTCTGACTATATCAACCACGAAAGCAAACATAAAGACAAAAAGCCATCATTTAAGTGCTACTGACTCGATACTGTCAACACTTAAAGTTTTAAGCACTCTAACAAACTAGACGACATGCGCATTAACAAGTACTTTTTACTAGACATAGACTTAAATATTATCTAAATAAACGCGGAGAATTTCAGCGACAAGTCGCATAGCAACTATGAAGAGTAATGATAGGTTTGTATTTGAACAATTTGAACACTAAAAACTTTATTAAATGAACTACTTACTGCTGCTAGGCTGCTGGCCAAGGCGCGCCACTGTCAAACGCTAATTTGCACAATGCTGATAAGCAAAACAGCACAGATAGTGGCTTTCGATTAAATGAATGACAAAAACAAACAAATGACAACTGTTAATTGCACGTTCGCCCGTACTATGTACCAAATGCTTTGTAGTTGTATGTGTGTGTGTGTGTGAGTGTACGTGTGTGCGAATGAACAAAATTTGAAAAAAATAAAAACTAGAATAGCTTCACAAATGTCATTGAACAGCGAGATTTATGTGGGTTTACAGACGCCGTGGCCCGCCAACATGCGTGCGCGCATAAATAACCAAAAACAGAAACGTAACTCAAAAAAGGTTTTGCCCTGCCCCTACCCTACCTAAAATGCAGGCCACACAACACATCTGCCATTTAATTAAGAGCATACGCACAGTATGAAGTAATTTGTGTGAGCAGCCCAGAGGAAAACGCTAAAAACAGCAATTAAAACGCTCAGCATTAAATCAAAGTTTACTCGAATGGAACCAATGGCGGAAAATGCGCATACGCCGCATGGTACACCAAAAAAGTCCAATAGTATTTGCGCAGCGACGACGTTTCGCCTCCTTCATACATTTTACTATTTAGTTTAAACAAAAAATATATGCTTTTATGAATATTTGCGTGGATTTTAGTTTTTGTTTTTGCCGCAGACATTTCGTCTCTCTATCTCTATGTGTGTGTCGAACTGAGAAATGACATCAACAACTTTTAGTTGCTGGGATTTCGTAAGGAAAATATACAAAACATTTTCATGCACAAGTAAAATAAACTACAAAATATTCTACGACTGTCGCGTCACGCCGCCACATCTGAGCGTCTAAGCGACTGACCGCGTTTCGTTCAGGGGCAAGTCTTGTGGCGTGGGTGACCAAGTTCCTCTCATTTTATATATTTATTTTTATATATTTTTGCTCATATTGTGTTGCGCCAAATGAGCAAAATATTTTTTAAATCAAAATTGCTTGAAAAAAATAAAAAGCGAAACAAAAATAATCACTATCGGAATTTAAAAATGTGCAGAGCTACATACAAGTATATATAAATAAAAACTTATATATGGATTTTGATGTTGTATAAAAGGCGGCAAAGCGAGATCAAAATAAATTTATAGAGTTATCGCAAGTTTGGGCATTGGCCAGGCGACGAGTGCAATAATACTTAAAAAGCAAAAGAATTCCATTTTGGAGAAATTCATTTTAACATTTCAGCGCACACTTGCCTCTGTCTTTTTCTAAAATTATTTGATCGCATCGATTGGGGAACAAATTTCCATTCGGCAATCACATTTCAATTTTAGGAGCTGCGCCCAGACAACATTTCAATTTGCATATGAATGGAACTGTATTATTTTACAGCGAACCTTGGAAAATAATTTAAATACCATATAATTAGCCAATAAACATAGCAACATAACAAAAAACAAAAAAGCACAAACATATAGTACGTTGAGAGTTTAGCATTGAACTATAAACTGTTTGCATGAATATTGTATGTTCAATTACACAACAACTAATGTTTATACGCATTCTAGTTCGCTAGTTAAAGGTATTTAGACACCAGCACACAAGTCAAGGTAGTCTATTGTTCTAAATGCTATTATTGTATTCATGTGTTTATCAAAAAAGTAAACAAGTGCTATCTGCAATATCTTAATTACTTGATGAATTGATCAATGTTTACGCAGAAACCTTTTGTTGTTTAATAACTTGCCAGCATTGTAACGTTGTAGAACATTTGGAGAACTCTAGGTAGCTGATGGCAAAGGTTAATGACAACAACTTCTGGCCAAGCTCTGTGGTAATTATAAGTTATAAAGCTATTATAGTTATAAGACGCGCTCACATTTACAAGCAACGAGCGCGACTTACACCATAACTCACAAGCCAAGCTCAAATTACAAGCTTTTCACACCTATGGCAGAATTAATCATTTGCATATTTATAGTCCTATGTCCAAATATTTTGGGCACACCAGCCACTAATCCTCCTATAGGCACAACAGTTTCAGGTTTCCGGTTAATAAATGAGCATATTATGTGCTAAGTATTGCTAGTCTTACCGCATATATTGTATCCCAGATTAAGGAGAAGGCCTTTAACGTTTTGGTGGAACAAGCCATTTTATTGACTGTTTATTCAGCTTTAGTTTAATTTTAATGAATATATGAACTCAACACGTTCATAAATATAAAATAAATCTTTTATTAATTGTTTTATTCTCTCGATTCACTTCTCACTTTGCACTTTGATCGAAACAAGCACTTGTTTACAGCCCGGCCACAAACTTTTGGCAAATAACAAACAGTTTGAGTTGCTTAGAAATTTCAAACGTCTCTGTTAACGGTTGCTGGCCGACGTTGCTGTGGAAACCATCGTGTTCGCCGCTCGAATGAAAAAAACAAAATGCCGAACAGCCAACGTGCGCCGCACAAGAAAAATATGTATGTTGTTGACAGCGAAACTTATTTAGCGAACAGGCGAATAGACAGTGCTGCCATAATTTTCTGAGCAAAAGTAGCTAGATTGTCAAAAAATTAAAGCTAAAAAAGCTAAATCCAAGGCAAATTAAGTTAAAAAAAAGCTGGATTTAAAAACAATTTTTTCTTGATTAAATTTAAGGAAATATCTGTTTTAATGTTTCCATATTAATTCTATACATATTCCTATTTTATAGCTTATAATAAAAATTGAGATTCTTGTAATGTAAAAAAATTATAGAAGATTCACAATAAATTAATATTGAAAATGTTCAATTCTATAATTCTATCTATAATTCTCTTCTATAACTCGATCAGTTCATCTAAGCTCACTGCCTCTTCGTCAGAGTAATAAATTCGGTTGCCTACTGCTCGCAACCATTTTTGAGGCAATGAATACTCAAAACAGCATTTGTTTTTACGATTTAGTCCCTATCTTTAATTGAAAATAACCTAATATATTTATGACAATATTTTATTTTGTTTATAAAAACCCATACCTTACGCTTAAAATGGAGTTGAGCGTATTTAAATTCATTCCATTCCTTAATTTTGATTTTACCAAGGTTACATGGTAAATCAAACTAAATTTAGCGTTTCCAACGTCGTTTCTGAGGTCCACTTCGTGCACGCAGGTCGCAAAGCTTTGCAGTTAACCCGCACTTGCAGTAGCTGCAGTAAGCCCTTGTGGAATCCGTAATATCTTTGCGGAGCCACTCTTTAAACTCGGCGCTCTGCAGCCACACCTCGCGAACATTTTGTTTGTATAATTTAGACATTTCTTAATTCAATGAAGACATATTTGCACACAAACAGTTGATAATCAAGCATCAAGGTGATTTTGATCGAGTTTATTATCGAAAGTCGCTTATCGCTACTTATATTCATGATTTTCAGTGTTGACAAAGATAAAGGGACAAAATATATGGTGAAAAATAAAGTAAGACTAGAAAAAGGCTAAGTACTTTTTTTAAAGCTAGAATTTCCGCAATTCGCAATTTTTGTATTTTTCCCGCACTGGCATTAAAAATAAAGCCAGATCTAGCGGGAAACAAGCTAAAATGGCAGCAATGCGAATAGACGACGAAGCAGAAAAAAAAAAACGGAGAACGAAACGACGGAACGAAACACTGAAACGAAACGTCGCGAACTGACACTGAATCGCAAAATGTCGGCGTAGACATGGGCGCCCAAATCGGGGCTGCATTTCATCTCTCTGTGCCAAGATATTCAAATGAAAAGAGCCACAGCGACAACATTTACGCTGCGCTATTTTTATAGTTTTACATAGTTTTCAACAATTTCTGTGTTGGTGTGACACGTCGTGCTGCTTTTTAAAGTTTCGCGCCTGATGTAAGCCTTATGATGATGACTCATATGCCTCGGACTGTGTGAGAACACGTTTTCCACAAGCGATTCCAAAACAGCTTCATTCATATTCTTATTTAATAAATTATTCGTTTCGTGATTTTGTATTTTTCTCAGCCTCCTCTGTGTGTAAGGGATTTTATAAATATTTGTCCGTGAAAATGTTGCAAAATGCAAAGCTCTGCCGTAGATCCGTGGTTGTTATTTATTGTGGAGAGTCCAATATGGTTCTCCGTAGAGATTAGTTACTGGTAACCAAATATTAGAACTTCCAGAGCTAACAGAAAAATGGCTACGTTTCGGGAATATAAATTATATAATTCAATTTTATTGTCACACATTCGTATTAGAATTGGAATCTAAATTTTACCTATGAATAAATAAACCGTTTTAGTATTTAAAAATACTATCAGAATGGAGGAGGATTTGCTAATTTACTAATTTCTAGTTCTTCATAATATTTCTGTCTACTGCACTTTTTTAAACAGAACTCTCGTTTCCCTGGAATTGGACCCATGCTGGATACCTATATTACAATTAATTGAGCAATTATTATGAGAAATATTAGATAAAAAAAGATAGAAAGAGTAAGTAAGAACGATAATGGTAATCTAAGCACAAAGGGTAGTCAGTTCTGCAGGTAGGCTAGATAAATGGAAGATTGTTCCATGTGGATCTATAAGAAACAGAAAAGTAAAGACGGCCTAAGAGCACAGAGGAGTCTAAGCCCTTATTTAGAATAACGCCACCATATAAACAGTATATGAACCATGTTCTGAATATCAAAAGAAGTTCATTATATTTAAAACCCACGCGAAAGACTGCTCGAAAATTGTAAACTTAAAAAAAAACGCCTTGGGGCCTCGCCTTAATTTAGTTAGAAAAGAATCATCGTACCTTCCTTTCATGCCAGACAACAATATTAGGTAAATATCGATTAGTGCATTGGTAATATCATGATATACTTACTATGTACTTGTACTTATGTATGTACTCGTATGTATAAAATGACAAATTTTGTTTGTTTTATTTATCTAAAAAGGTAACAGGTAACTGACAAAAAGACCACAAATTTTTGAAGCCAAGAGAAATTTATTATAAAATTCTAAATATACGTATACTTTCATTTTGTTTTCAAAATAGAATGCTATAACTGTAAATGGCTTTATCATTTGAAGTTGGTTTTGTAATAATCAAGGTTTACCGATTTTTAGCCCCTTACCCATTTCTATCCTATTTATAATGTTCGCATGAAGTTCAACATGTTTAGTGTTTAAATTAAAAAAATGAAAGCACTGAAAAATGGCTTGCTTTTAATGTTTGGGTTTCCCAAGAAAAATTTTACTTTAGCAACGGATTTTGCTTACATTTTTAAAGTTATTTGCTTGCTTGAACCGAGAATCAGGGGCTTTCTAAGTTCTAAGTTTTAATTAAAAACAAGATAGAACGCTACAGTCGAGCAAGCCCGACAGTAAAATAGCCTGTACTCTCCACAAAAAAAGAAAAATTAAAAAAAAAAAAATTTTTTTAATAATTAAATTATTAAAAAAAATTAATGAATTAATTAATTAAATTAAATTAGAATATATGTTTATGTTTAGTTTTAACAGCATACATTTACATCACGTACCTATGCGTGTTTATATGCGTGTATGTATGCAGCACAAAGTTGAACCAAAGCAGCAACAACAACAACAGCTGCGGGCAGCGCTGCCGACAGAGGCAGCGCATGAGCAGCGATTTTACTTATGGCTATAACTTTCTTCAGAATTGACCTATCATGATGAAATTTGGCACACGGACACATTAGTACTAACTGGATGTACCTACCAAAATTGATTTCAAAATTCCGAGAATTACGGAAGTTATAAGAAAAAACACGAATTGCGGGGGAGTGGGGGGGTGCATCGAAAAAAAACTCAAACTCGTACTTTCTCGGTCTTAGGAGAATATGGAAACCAAGTTTGGTTATTCTAGCTCTTATACTTTCTGAGATCCTTGCGTTCATACGGACAGACGGACAGACGGACAGACGGACAGACGGACAGACAGACGGACAGACGGACGGACGGACGGACAAGGCTATATCGACTCGGCTTCTCATCCTGATCAAGAATATATATACTTTGTGGGGTCTGCCACGCCTCCTTCTGTGTGTTACATACATGCGCACAAAACTAGTATAGCCTTTCACCCTTTGGGTACAGGCTATAAAAATATGACGCTTCTTCTCTATTTACATTACAGAAATCTACACATAACTGGGCTATAAAAGTTCAACTCCACAGACAAGAATAGAAAACTCTATTTTATGTTTAAGAAAGAAAACCGAACTGAAACATATATACTCATGTTTCAGCAGAAGCTTAGCAGAAAAATATTTCATTTCATTCATATTCAGACTACAAGATAACGCGGTTCTTTAAAAACAAACAATTTTAGGGAAAAATCATAGCGGCAAAAACTACCTCTTTAAATAGTAATTATATATGATAACAAGAAATTTTTGTTACGAAATACTTTGAACTTTGACAGCTGAATTGAACAAGTGTCTTAAAATATCAAAACTGATTAATTTATATATAGTTGTAACGACCAAATTACGTTGTATATTTACGATAATTGTGCATATTTAAAAAGCTATTGTCATATTTTATTGTTTGTTTTTTAACATTCGGCTTTAAAAAGCATCTTTCCTTCAAGCCTTCCTTAGTGATCTGTAGAATTAGAACTGCCGGCTTTGGTGATTTTTTTAAAATTTGATTTTTAGACTATTATTATAAACCACAATTTAAAAAAAAAAATAAAAAGAAATGTAAAACCAGAATAAATTTGGAAGAACAGTGGAAAATATTCCACTCTTTAAAACATCGACTAGTTGTGTTTGCTAATTATTTTCCCTCTTTTCATAAAATGCATTTTTTTAAGATATAGATTTCGATTCCCAATTGCAATCCAATTACAACATAAAAAGTAGTTGCAATATTTATATTATTTAAATAGGTAACAACAAAATGCTGACAGATAGATGTTGGACAATAATAAATATTATCTTCCCTTTTATTAAATTACAAGGTATTTAGCCGCCACATAGTTCCGTTAAAAATATATATGTGTGTATATATTATAAATAAATACATTTAAAAAACATTTCAACGACATATTTCAACTCTTAAAATAATAAGCCAGCGGGAACGTTTTTATTTCGTTAAAAGACCAGGACTTTATCAGTATTATTAAACGGAATTCAGAACCTTCCCGAGTGCTGGGTTTTAACTGTAAGGCATAGTAGGTATATGAGTTATCTGAACAATTTAAGAAATTTACGATTTTCAATTAAAACGTATATAACATGGTTAAGGTCACAGATTTCAACGATAAAATAATGAATTTGATTTATTTTTTGTTGCCAATCAATAAAGCACAGCCAGCTGCCATACGGTAGGAGCAGAACGCAAATGCATTTTGGTTATTCCATCTAAAATTCTATTTTGTATTCTGAGCTTTATTAAAAATATGATCGACGATGATCGTTCCGCATGCTGTTGCACAGAAGGCAGGATATGACGCTGAGTATTATCTGTAATGGAATGTATATATGAGTGTGCGAGGCATATAGTATTATTATTAAGTTATACTGACCTCCAGTCCAACTAGCACCCAGCCTACAATATTGAAAATGCCAAGCAAATGGAACCAATAATCCTCAAACATCACACGACATCCTGCGTGTATGAGGTTGTCTGCTTTGCTAGTATCATGATCTCGGAAGCAGGTGTCCGGTGGCAAGCGCTCATTAACAATGTAATCCTGTGGACTAGCACGTCCACAACACGAGAACTGAAGAATAATTACAGTACGGATAATTCAGAAAATATTGATTTAAGGTCTATGCTCTTACCCAGTTCTCATAGAGGGACATGGCGCCGGGGCTGTTCAGCTCTTCCTCCCAGGCCAAGTCCACTGCATTGGCCAGATTCGAGGATATTGGTCCATGGCCTTTGGTGAACGTGACCAAAACCAAAATTTGTGCAATGATGATTATGAATATAATTACGATGAACTATAAAAATCAATGGTGGCATTAAATACGAATGTGAAAATTGTCAATATTCCACTCACCGTCACTGTACAGCACACATTTTCCCGCCACGCGGACAAATATCCCCAAAGGATGACGACTAGTGCTGAAACACCCAGGCCTATATAGCCATAAGCTCCAATGGAGCCCACATCGTTCACATCATAGGACACAACCACATAGATTCCAAAGGATATGAGCACCAAGGCAAGTAACTGTCGAGAAAAAATTACAAAATAACAAAGACAATGAAATTAGTGCAATTAAAAACAGAAATGGAAGAAGAATACATTGATTTGGCCTTGTTCTGGAGATTGAAAAAGTCTTGGAAGCAAAAAGAATTTGGTCGTTTAATTTTGAATATTTCAATAGATGTTTCTGAGATTGCTTTCTTTACTCTCTTAGTATTTTATTATGTGCTATGCATTTTTTAAATATTTTAGCAACTCCTATGCAATATTTAGGGCACTTCCAAAGAAATATAGAATTTGAAATAGAAATAGCGCTGCAGGAAGAACAGTAACATAAAGGAAAACAGAATGCTTAGATGATTTGGCAACTTTTGTGGTGCAGAGTGTTTTTTAAATAGTTTCGTAAGCCTGGCAACCCTGTCTTAAGACCTATAATGCTTATATTAAATTTTAGATCTTCTACATAATTATATGAACTATGGAAAAGTGTTAACTAATTTTTGGTTCCTCCAAGTAATTTTTCGAATACAAAAAACTGGTACACCAACTTTGGATAACAGTAGCGAAGGAAATTATTTCCAATTCCAAAGTATATGTACATCGCCATGGCTCTTACAGCTCGAAATTTGGTATTTTACTTGTATTAGTAAGAATTCTCATTTTAGCCTCCACTTGTTGTTTGTTAAGTGTAATCATTGCCTCTGACTAATTTTGGCTGTTTATCAGAAAGTATAAACAAATTAAAAATATTATTTAAGCTTTGCACTTTTCTTAGCTATAAACTCAATCAAATTTTCCCATTCTCCTTCATCTAAATAGCTTTTAACAAAAATTGACTTTCCTTTTATTTTTTTTTTAAATTTTTTTCTCTTTTCTATTAAGTTGAAATTTTGGCGTAATATTATTCTATAGCTTTGTTGTATTACATTATATTATAATACCATCTAAAACATCTCTATTGTAATCTGCGGCACAATTAGCTGATTTGAGTTTCTTTCTGGATTGAAATATATATACATATATAGATATGTATACCCAAACAAACTTCCGGTGCTGAGAATAACTCATAGCAGAAGCAAAATGAAGAACTGAAAGACAATTGCGTTAAAATAATTTACGTTTGATTTCAATAACATTTTGTTTCCCATACATTTGTATTTGCGTTATTTTTGTATCGTTGTTGTAAATGTCGCCATACAGTCTTCCACAACTAAAGCCATTCTGATTGGCATAGACTTTTCTATAAAAGTGAGCCTTTTGAGTGCGTTTTATGTTAATGGCTCCGCATAGGCGTCTTGGAGACTAGTCTGACTGGCGTCACAAATGGCGGTGATGTTAATAGCAGGACTCGCTTAGATACAGAAACAAACATAAGTCTGACGTAGGGAGAACAACAATAATATCTGCAGAGTTTCAGCATGGTCGTTAAATATTATTTTTGGTCTTTGTTTGTCCTTTAGGTGACCTATTTATGTATATTTGTTTTCAGAGCGGCAAACTTTGTTTGACTGAAAGTCTATCGCATATCACATTTTAAACATTAAAACCGATATTTTTATATGTTTTATTTTCGTGTCGTTCAACGAAACAGAGAATTTGTAAAAAAAATTAATTATATGCAAGAGACCTGATACAAACGCGTACATAAGAATGTATGTACATGCATATACATATGTATGAAGGTATGTATGTATGTATGCATATATTGTTTATATTATCCATGAGTGTGCATGTGTTGAATCGCTTCTCCGCAAAATTGTTAAGTCTTCCAAAAGTGACGTAATCTGTTGAAGTCAGCAAATTGCGAAAAATGAGCCAACACGAATTTGTTGTGAGCTTCAAACGCTTATGAACCAGGTTGGTAATTTATATAGCCCTATAGTGTATTTCTAATCCTTTGAGTGTACTTCTATATAAAACTAGTCCTCTATTTTGGCAATGTTTTCGACTAACTGTGCTCAGTTAATGCCAAGAAACCAATCAACATTAATTTCCACGTTCAATTAAAATATATTTGTTTTATAGGAAGAAATTGCTTGCAATAGATAGTTAAACCATTTTTGATTCATGTTGGCGAGTCATATTGATTGAATTCGTCAGCCCAAAAAAATGTGCAACTGAACAGCAATTGATAATTAAGAATGATCATTTTCTAAAAACTACTTCTCACTTGCAATCTACAAGTATATTTTAATTTATAGCATTTGCAAAATGTGCACTGACCTAACTAACACCTGTTTATACGCCAACTTAAACAGAATAGTTTAAACAAACTAATAACTGATCGAAGACAGCATGGGATATATTTTAAAAGGTGGCATCTGTTTAACAACATTTTCTGCATTTTCATTTCGAAGCTGGTATGCAAATGTTTAAAAGCTTTTAAAATGTTCAACAATAAAAGATGAATGTACATTCATTCATTGTTTTTGTTGTGCAATGTGGACCCAGAGGGCACCCGTCTATTTCCTTCAAACGAGCACATACTTTCGTTTTCTCATAAAAAAAAAAACACTCAAAACATCATATTTATATTGACTTAGATAAGATAGCATAGTATGTGCTACATATTTATAAAAGAGGTCAACAACCATATAAATGGTTTTATTTATAAAATTCAAAATTATTACACATGAATTACGATAAGTAACAGAATGTTCCCTGAAAACTGCAAATTAAAGTCATAATCTACGGAAATTAGGGGGTGTTGCGAAATGGACGCAATTTTTCTTTAGTGCCGTAGAATTGTTCAATTAGCGAGTCGAATGAAGGCGCCAATTGACAATGCCAATCAACCAAATGGCAGACGAGTAGTATGTACAATAATTGAATTCATTTCGCTTAGTTTAGTTTAGTTTTCTTACCGTGCAGATTATATCCAATGCATAAACAAACACCTTGAGGCACGATGTTGATGCCATTTCGTTCGTCTACTAAAATTAAACAACATGTTGAATTCTTAGAAGAGCTTTATGATGCATGTTGTACCCTTTTCTTGTGGTACATTATGTGATATTATAAGTTGTCTCTCACTTAATTGCGCTCATGAATCACATACAGTCCACAAACTGTGGCTTTCAAACAAATCTACAAGTATTTGACCAATTGATGGAACAGTCGATCAGTTTTCAAGCGATTGGTGTATTTGACATATATCTTGGACACTATTTATACATAATAAGATACATAGTATATATCTATCTAATAGCTACAACATGAAGCTAATAAACGTGCCAAGTTTACAGATGTGCGTTCCCACTGTTTATTCATACATGCATACGTTTATATGTATGTTTATTGATACCGGTTGCTCACCACAATCTCCGTCGAACTTTTGCCAACCGCAAACCACACGCGTTTCCACTCAACTGACGCCAAAAGCTTTTGCTTTGGGCGCACTGCCGGTTTCATTGAAAATTCCGTGGCTGTTACTTTAAAAGCTCGTATCAGCTGAACTATGAACTAGTTTCACACCGAAATCCGAATAGAAAATATATGGCCTTGCCAGATCAATGAATATCAGACATTTTGAAAGAAATGGCAGCCCCCAGTTGGTTATTCCTTACAAATATCAAAACATAAATCACTTTGCAAACGTTTGAATACATTTTATTTTGCAAATTGACTGCATTTGCTTATAACAAAGAATTGATTTAAATTAGGAGCTATTCAATATTGTGATGGATTTAATTATATTAAACATGGATAGGAAAAAAATTTGTTAATTTTTTTTTTTTCATTTTTAGCTAGAGCTGCTTCGATATTGCCAAATACTCCACAGAGCTTTAATAGGAAAGAATTTTTAAAGCTATACTCAAAATAGCAACAATTCAGTAAACAAAATGAGACATATCTGTATAATATCGTACAACACAATCCTTATTAAATACAAATTCAAAATAGTGTAAAAGAAATTGATAGCTTTGTTCCCTTCAATATTATTTATTATGAATTGAGATCATTTTTAAAAACAGACCAAAAGTTTTGATTCATAAATGTATTATCGCGCATTATGGCTCAACATTTTGCATTCTAGTCGCATCCAAAGCATCCTTCGCCATTGTTTCACAATAGTAGATGTAAACCACATATGCAACGCTTATGCTAAATACTGTACAATTACAAAAATATAAACAAATCTATTTTATTTTTCAATGTATTTCAAGCTATGTTATACCTTCGGCAAATACGTAAGTGTGGAGCACAGTAAATTCGTAATAGTTTAATAAAACGGCAACAATTAGGCAAGCCACCGAAGTGCAAATCATTAAAGTCGTTAGAAAAAACCAAGTCACTAGCATGATTCTGTCCTATAAAGAAATATGAATAGGCATTGATATTTAACCTTACCTTACTTACCTTTAATTTGACGCAAACATAGACGACCCCGAAAAGTGCATTGGCCAATTGCACAACAATTTGCTGAATAAACGTGTCCATAATTTCTGTAAAGAAATATTTACTATATTTTAAAACTGTATTAACTCAAATACTTAATCCGCCGTCATACCCACCCATCTCATCATCTTCATTATCTGCAGAATCATAGTATAAATCAAGGAGAAGTAAAACTACACAACATACCACTCTGGCACACAGAATTGACAAAAACGAAAATAATATTAGCAGCGAAACGGTACAACATTTTGAGTGGTTCATGTTCAACAATGAAAAAGTCAAATGTTTTTGTCGGACCACGGAATAACTCTATGAGCTGATAATTATATCAACTAAATATAATGGCACATCATCGCCTTTTTTTGGCAGTTCCCCTCCCTACTTGTGAGAATATACGATACATGTTGGGGACTGCTCCAACTAGAGATGGACTTTTTTGAACCAATACGACACAGTCACGAAATAGGTGTAAACAAAAATTTATGGGAAATAAATTTAATTCTTTAACAAAAGCGGAATATATGGTAGAACTTTCATTAAAAGTCTTAATATATATATGTCTTAAGCTTTCTAGTTTTTCTCAACTACCCTTTTTTCCACAAAACAACAGTGACTTAAAATTTGTAGTTAAATAACTAAATGGCTGCAACATTTTTGTAAAGTACTCAATTGTTTCATCATTTATGACTTTAATTGATTTTTATATAATAATATTAAGAAGAAAGTTCGTTTTCCAATAAATGCATGGACAGACATTTTTTCTTTAATGTATAGATCGGGTTGTCTCGTTATGCCGATTAAGAAAACATATAATTAAGGCAGTCGGAGATGCTTCCTTCTGCCGGTAAAATTATTTTCACAAGCCTAATATAGCTTTTTCACCCTTCGAATTGCTTTTTCTTAAAGAGCCCCTTATTGCTGAGACGAATCAATTTCCTTACCTGCAATTAATGTGTAACACATTTTCGTTCTGAGAGCAATGTTGATCCCGCAATTCCGCCAACATTTATGATATTCTTCTATTTGGACTACAATGCATTTCAAAAAGAGCACCAAGAAGCGATCCTTAAACGTAGTTGGTGATATTTTTTGCAGCTTCATTTTGCAAAGAACATAGATTTCAAGAAAGTTCCAAAATTGTAAAAGAAAACTTTGTTTTGAAAAAGAACTGTTGACTTACTCCACTTTTTCACATTTTTTCTTCAGAACAAAATATATCATCAGAAATACTCGTAAATGTTAAAGTAAAAATAATATTAAATTTTATTTAATATTTTCAATAGCAATTACTTTTTTAAGATATGGTATTACATACATATTTCATTCCCACTTTGTATAAGACTCAGCTCAGATTAGCAACAAGAGGGTTTTGCGAAAAAGATACACTTTCTATCAAATTATATATAGTATAAGCCAAAATTGCACTCAAATTTGAAGTTTCAGATTCATTTATTCCAAGCTGTGGGGGACAGATTTTGAGTAGATTTAAGTCTTAGCTTCACATAGTGGCATGCAACAAATGCGAAGGACATGATGAGTATGGCTGCAAGACATAAATGCAAACAGTTATTCAAAACGGGTGGTTTTAGATAGGTAATGAGGGCGTCACTAAGTCTCACAAATGCTTATAATGCTGACGAATCCAGTCATGAAATCATAAAATCGAAAGTAACAGCTGACGAGTGAAACGCCGGCGCATGTTGCCACCAAATGACACACGAGCCACCACTCCAAATAGTAGGTATTCTATCGGATTTGAAAATGTTAATATACAAGTTGGGCAAAAGATATATCAGTTCTCGTACCCCATAATCAGCTAATACAATCAAAACGCCAAACAGAGCAGGCGGTATAAACATCCGATAAACGCCACCCGACCCAAAGCAATCCTCAGAATATAACTCGCTTAGGATCTCCGATGCATTCTCATCTGCTCCGGAGCAATCGTCAAAGCATCTGAGAGCAAATGGTATAAAAATAAACCAAGATAAAACTGTATAGAATAGGGATAACGAAAGCGACGCAACGCCAATAAATTTCCGAAATTCACACATCACGTTCACGTCGATGTGGCTGAAGCCCAACTGAGTCAAGTTATTACCAAAAGCTAATTACATTATTGAATCAATTAATTTTATAAATTGACCGGGTCAGTAAGTGAAGTATTTAGTGAAGTGCTTAATGTCTCACCTGTCGAATTTGCAAGCTTCAAAATTCTGGAGCAGGAGATATTTTGTATTCAGCCCCTCTTGGAACCCTCTATTTGTACTTACTTGGCTGGCGATCTAGCAGCTCCTGGGAAGTTGGTCCTTTTAAATTGATATAACATGTGTGTTCCAAAGTAAACAGGACTTTTAAAAAAAAAACAGAACAAATGGTTTTTTCGGCAAAATCAATTTATTTTATTCAAAATAGTCTCCTTCTGCTTCAATACAGCTTTTTGCACGATCCAAAAGCATGTCGAACGAGTGTTTTAGCTCGCTGGCCGGTATGGCGATGCAAGCCTTTTGAATGGCCTCTAGGTCTGCATAACGCTTTCCTTTCATGGGCAAATACATTTATCCGAGTGCTTAATGGTTAAAATGTGATTTTTGGTCAAATAATCGTTCACAATCGGTTGGATTCTGAGCAATTTTTGTTCGTCAGTCAATTTGTGCGGAACAAACCGTGCACACCTTTCGTAGACCAAATGTTCGGTCAAAATGCGATAAATCGATGTTTTGGAGATGTTCAATTCCATTTCCATCAATTTCAATGATGATTTCGGCTGATTTTTGATGAATTCACGCACAGTTTCGATGGAATTTTCGGTGATCACGAATTTTGATTGGCCCACATGTTGATCGTCATTTATGCCCTCACGACCACTTTGAAAACGTTGAAACCACTCGTGCATTCTGCTACGGGATAGGCGGCAATCATCGCCATAAACTTGTTCCATCAATTGAAACGTTTCGGTAAAAGTTTCACCAGTTTTAAAATAAAATTTAATGTTGGCTCTTTGTTCGAAGCTCATTTTCGCACCGATAACACAAACATACCGACACTAAAAACGCAATAACTTCACATCCAATCGATAAAATGTGATGAAATTCTCACTGAACAATCGATAAAGATAACAGATTCTAACGCACGAGTCGACATATAGTCCTGTTTACTTTGGAACGCACCTTGTACAAATACCTAATCAAAATGCGTATTTTCTCTACTCTTTCTTCAACAAAACCAAAGCATATTTTTCGGGGGTTTCAGAAATTGATTGGCCCTTGCATACAAATATATTTTTTAAATTAACTAACTAACTGCATTAAAAAATATTGTGTACTGTTTCTTGTTTGAACATTTATATATCGGGATTCATATGGAAAAATGATAATATTTCAAAATTGATCTCGATAAATTATTTTTACCTATTTCAACAACGTGTACATTATTCTTACTGCCTGGTTTGACAGCCTTTAAGCTGCGGTCAGACACGCAAACAAATGTTTTGCCGACAAACAAAATTCACGTCGACACGTCTGCTGCTCGTGAGGACCTGCAAAAATCTGCAAGCAGATGTCTGCCAAATCGAATCTGCCGCGTGGCTTCACCAAATTGTCTGCGGCAGGCAATTTGAAAGTCTGAACACCATTTGGAAGACATTTTGAAGCCTGATCTGGCTTACTGATAAATAGCGAATGGCAGACAATTGGCTGTGGCAGACAATTTGAAAGTCTGAACACCATTTGAAATACATTTTGAAGCCTGATCTGGCTGACTGATAAATAGCGAATGGACGATTTCAAAAAAAAAACAAGTAAAAAAGCTAAAGTCGGGTGTCCCGACTTTGAAATACTCTGTACATATGTTTACAATAATTATAGAAAATAAAAAAAATTAGGAAAATAAAAAAAAAAATTTGATCGATTTTACCTCTCTCGGTATTCGAACTCACGTAAAGGGTGTATAATTGCACATTTACATAGCAATTGCGTCTGTGTGAGTGTATGTATGCCTATGCGCATCAATTCGTGTCTGTGTAAGCATTTTCGCAGTCAACCAAACAGCAACATCAACAACAGCCGCGGGCAGCGCTTGAGCAGCGCTGCAGCAGCGCTGCATCAGCAAATATATTTATGGCTATAACTTCTTGTTAAATCGGTCTATCATAATGAAATTTGGCATACGGACATATAATAACTAACTGGGGGTATTTCCAAAATTTTAGTTCGAAATTCCAAGAATTACGGGAGTTACGATTTGCGGGGTAGAGGGGGGAGGGAGGGGAATTCCAAAATATACATTTTCTGCGTATTCACATAAGGCATCTGGGACTAAAATTTGGTGTTCCTAGGTCTTATAGTCTCCGAGATATAGGCGATTATACGAATGGAAAATCGGGAAAACCCCCATAGGGGGGAAGTGGGGGGGAAAATCAAAAAAATAAAACAAACTCGTATAGAATACACACATAACGCATCTTCGTGCAAAATTTGGTGTCTCTATCTCTTATAGTCTCTGAGATCCAGGTGTTCATACGGACGGACAGACGGACAGACGGACAGACGGACAGACAGACAGACAGGGCTAGATCGACTCGTCTCGTCATGCTGATCAAGAATATATATACTTTGTGGGGTCTGCCACGCCTCCTTCTGCCTGTTACATTTTTCAGCTCCCGCAAACCTAATATACTCTTGTACATTTCATGTACAGAGTATAAAAAAGACTAAAATAAGTGAAGTCAAGAAAAAGTTAATACAGAATATTTTAAAAATGATATTATTTTATGGTTAAAAATTAAATTAGCAAATTGACCCTAAAACTCTTTCGAAACTTTTTTAGAAGCCTATTCATATTTGGTCGGCACCTCACAATTAAATTGTCCTTCTAAATAAATAAAAACAAGTAAAAAAGCTAAAGTCGGGTGTCCCGACTTTGAAATACTCTGTACATATGTTTACAATAATTATAGAAAATAAAAAAAAACAAGTAAAAAAGCTAAAGTCGGGTGTCCCGACTTTGAAATACTCTGTACATATGTGTACAATAATTATAGAAAATAAAAAATTAAGAAAATAAAAAAAAAAATTTGATCGATTTTACCTCTCTCGGTATTCGAACTCACGTAAAGGGTGTATAATTGCACATTTACATAGCAATTGCGTCTGTGTGAGTGTATGTATGCCTATGCGCATCAATTCGTGTCTGTGTAAGCATTTTCGCAGTCAACCAAACAGCAACATCAACAACAGCCGCGGGCAGCGCTTGAGCAGCGCTGCAGCAGCGCTGCATCAGCAAATATATTTATGGCTATAACTTCTTGTTAAATCGGTCTATCATAATGAAATTTGGCATACGGACACATAATAACCAACTGGGGGTATTTCCAAAATTTTAGTTCGAAATTCCAAGAATTACGGGAGTTACGATTTGCGGGGTAGAGGGGGGAGGGAGGGGAATTCCAAAATATACATTTTCTGCGTATTCACATAAGGCATCTGGGACTAAAATTTGGTGTTCCTAGGTCTTATAGTCTCCGAGATATAGGCGATTATACGAATGGAAAATCGGGAAAACCTCCATAGGGGGGAAGTGGGGGGGAAAATCAAAAAAATAAAACAAACTCGTATAGAATACACACATAACGCATCTTTGTGCAAAATTTGGTGTCTCTATCTCTTATAGTCTCTGAGATCCAGGTGTTCATACGGACGGACAGACGGACAGACGGACAGACGGACAGACGGACAGACGGACAGACAGACAGACAGGGCTAGATCGACTCGTCTCGTCATGCTGATCAAGAATATATATACTTTGTGGGGTCTGCCACGCCTCCTTCTGCCTGTTACATTTTTCAGCTCCCGCAAACCTAATATACTCTTGTACATTTCATGTACAGAGTATAAAAAAGAAAAAAAAATTGGATCGATTTTACCTCTCTCGGTATTCGAACTCACGTAAAGGGTGTATAATTGCACATTTACATAGCAATTGCGTCTGTGTGAGTGTATGTATGCCTATGCGCATCAATTCGTGTCTGTGTAAGCATTTTCGCAGTCAACCAAACAGCAACATCAACAACAACCGCGGGCAGCGCTTGAGCAGCGCTGCAGCAGCAAATATATTTATGGCTATAACTTCTTGGTAAATCGGTCTATAACAGTGAAACTTGGCATACGGAAACATAATTACTAACTGGGGGTATTTGCAAAATTTTAGTTCGAAATTCCAAGAATTACGGGAGTTAGAGAAAATCGCATTTGCGGGGGAGAGGGGGGAGGGAGGGAAATTCCAAAATATACATTTTCTGCGTATTCACACAAGGCATCTTGGACTAAAATTTGGTGTGCCTAGGTCTTATAGTCTCCGAGATATAGGCGATTATACGAATGGAAAATCGGGAAAACCCCCATAGGGGGGAAGTGGGGGGGAAAATCAAAAAAATAAAACAAACTCGTATAGAATACACACATAACGCATCTTTGTGGAAAATTTGGTGTCTCTATCTCTTATAGTCTCTGAGATCCAGGTGTTCATACGGACGGACAGACGGACAGACGGACAGACAGACAGACAGGGCTAGATCGACTCGTCTTGTCACGCTGATCAATAATATATATACTTTGTGGGGTCTGCCACGCCTCCTTCTGCCTGTTACATTTTTCAGCTCCCGCAAACCTAATATACTCTTGTACATTTCATGTACAGAGTATAAAAATGTAGAAGATTCAAAAATTGTGGAAGAACTTTTTGTATACTCACTGCAACAGTTATGTCGATTGTATATATTGTGATCTAATCGATCTATTTCTGCAGCTATGAAAAGATCGTTCCTATGGCTGCTAGATAAAATACCCAGGCTATATAAGTACGCCTAATTCTATTTATACACTGGATTAGTTCCAGAAAAAGTCGTGTAAAAAAAAGCCGTGTAGAAAAAGACATTGATCATGTATTTTAAATATATTTAATTTTCCAACCGTGTAAAAACAGAATTATTTGTATATACATATAGAGCCTTTAATAGACATTCACTGCGTATGGATTAGGCAAACCTACCTAACAAGTCAGGCGGACGGATAGACGGAAATGATTTGCTGATCATACGAGTCCAAGTATTTGTAGCTATAACATGGCATCTGCTACGCCCCGTTTTGACGTTTACATACACTCTAATGTACCGTTTCACGCCTACGGTACAGGATATAAAAAACAATTAGTTATTAATTACAAATACATATATCATACTTGTATGACGTGACATTTTTCGTAATTTGTGCAGATTTAGATATGAGAGTAAGTATGTTTGTAGCTGCTTAGAGCTGGGAAACTAGGGCTTGCAATTAGCCATAACTAACTTTTGAATGCTTCGAATCAAATATCGGAAAACAAATATAGTGTGATACACAAATCCTCAATATTTCGTGTGCTAGGAATCTAGTTCCTTTGTTTATTGGTCATCATTTACATTCCAGTTTCTAGAATTGCCAAATGGCAATTAAATGCGCACATATTGTCAGGTAATCGACCTAACTAAACGACAAATAAAACAAGTAACAAAGCTATAGTCGGGTGTCCCGACATTGAAATACTCTGTACATATGTTTAAATGAATTATAGAAATTAAAAAATATAATAATAACTAACTGGGGGTATTTGCAAAATTTTAGTTCGAAATTCCAAGAATTACGGGAGTTAGAGAAAATCGCGATTTGCATGGGAGAGGGGGGTGGTAGGGAAATTCCAAAATACACATTTTCTGCGTACTCACATAAGGCATCTTGGACTTTAAATTTGATTACCCTAGGTCTTATAGTCTCTGAGATATAGGCGATTATACGAACGGCGTTACGGAAAAACCCCCATAGGGGGGAAGTGGGGGAAAAATAAAAAAAAATAAAACAAACTCGTATAGCGTACACACATAACGCATCTTTGTGCAAAGTTTGGTGTATCTAGCTCTACTAGTCTCTGAGATCCAGGTGTTCATACGGACGGACAGACTGACAGACGGACGGACAGGGCTAGATCGACTCGTCTCGTCATGCTGATCAAGAATATATATACTTTGTGGGGTCTGCCACGCCTCCTTCTGCCTGTTACATTTTTCACTTCCCGCAAACCTAATATACTTCTGTACATTTCATGTACAGAGTATAAACATTACATACTTGCTTCGAGTACTTTTCTATTGATTTATTTTCGTCACATGTCAACTGAATAAATGTGCGGTTGCTACACTCAGCGAAAATTCAATTCAATTCATATATTTTCGTAAATAAGTGTTTTTGTGCATTCTCAGAATTCTGCATTTATCCTGGGACATACATATAATCCCTATAAGCAATTGTAATGAGATATGCAGTGCCAAAGCATTTTTAAATCTCAAGAAGGCTTTTAAATTTTCGTGTGCAATTCTCAAAAGGACAGGCTAAGTTATCCTTTTAGTTAAGGACAGCTCAACAATTTAGGCGAATGGAAATTTGTTTGCGTTTTAAGAACTGATAGTTCTGCGCATAAATATATGTGTTTTTAATTACATAGTTTAGAAACAATTGCTGACATATAGACGTCGTTTCTTTTTCTGTAAGTGTAAATTTCGAAGGACGAACCGTCCAGTTACCATGGAAATGTTTTTGCACAACAGATTCTACTTTGCTCAAGTCCGTGAACATTACATGGCTTATGAAATAATTGCAGTATGGACTGCACAAATGAATGAAACCAATTGTCTAGACAAGATTCGAGTGTTAGGTATTGTTGTTTATTATGTAAATACGTACTTTTTAAATGCTTTATTTATAAATGTTGTATGCAATTCGAGTTTGACAATATTCAATTGTTGTTCTTGTTGTTGTTGTTGAATTACAATAAAAACTTCTATAAATTCTCTTTTGGGAACAAGAAAAATATGAACGGTATATATATTAATATATATGTATATATATAAATATATTTGGACACTTGTGTTTTTCTTACTGGTACAAATAAAATAGGTTCTCATATATATGCGTTCATTTGTATATATGTCTAAATTTAAATGTGTTCATATTTGTAAAACGGAAATTAACAAGACAACGTTGTCATAATTCATATATTTTTTCATATTTGTGAGACTTTTAATCAGATTGTGTAACTTCAATGCGTTATTAATTCTATAGCTCTACAGTTACAGTTAATTATTGTTCAATTTGTACAAAGGCTTTGGATGCGCTTTGCTTTCAGCTCTTGTATTTACTTTGCGCTTTGTTTCTACTTTGATTTCTTTGTGTTTCTTTCTTCTTCTTTTTTAGAGCAAATATACAAATTCTTAGAATGCATAGCAAATATAAAAAGTAAGCGTTTCATTTTGCCCCAGACTGGAGCATTTTTTCGTGTTTTTTCTTATTTTCTTTTTTGTATTAAAGCGATTTTAAACAAATTTAATTTTAATTTTTCACAAGTAGTTTTCCCTTCTTTTAGGTAGTATAGGTAGTTAATAATTTATTTCAAGTTTTCTTAACTCTTTTGTGTGCGTTCTACGACAATTTTTAAAATGTAATGAGAATGTGTTTGTGTATTCAGGTTATAGTCTGCTGGTGTCTATATGTGTGCGTGCATGTTGGGGTCTAGAGCTCACATAACAGCAGGACTTCCCATTTAGTAAGCATTTCGGCGCTTATAGTTACGCACATTGTTGGCCACACAGCAGGCAAATATAAAGCCAATGAGCTGAAAAATAAAATCCACAATTAATTTACACATTTTACAATAAATCCGAACGAGGAGCCTCACCTCAACGACAATCAGACCCAAGCCCGCGTATTTGGCCTTCTCGGTGGTTCCGGACATGAAGTCAACAAACTTGGCACGGCAGCCACCATAGATGTTCCTGGGATCCAAGCAGGTGCCGTCGCAGCAGCTTTCCGGCAAAGTTTGGGCTTGCAGCAAATAGTCCTGGGGACCGGTACGACCGCAGCAACGGAACTATAAGAGACATGCAGTTAGTTATGCAAAGCAGCCTCCTCAGCGCCCCATTGCCACACTTACCGACTGCTGTAGGGCATCAAAGACGGCAGTGTTGCGGGCGTCGCGCGAATCCCAAGCTTTGTCAATAACCTCGCCCATGGCATCATTGACTTTATCCTTGTTGGTAAACAGCAGCACAACAACTGTCAGCTGCAGGATGAGCAATATCAGCAGGCAAACAGCATAGCTCATGGTCATGCACACCGATTCGCGTATGGCACCACAGCAGCCCAAGAACGATATGAACACAACAACGGAGCATATTGTGATAATAATAATGGGAATGGCTGCCTGCGGCGGGAATCCAACCTGGCCATTGACTTCAATAGTGCCAATATCCTTCAAGATGATCACACCAAAGACAATGCCCACAATGCCGATAATCTGGAAAGTGCAGAAATAGACATTATACTTGTAGTCTGATCAAAGCTAAATAGGCCAGTAAATTTGATGATTTGGACAAGTATTTCATGATTTTAATGTTCAATCAATCAAATCAAATACCAATATGTAACTCCTATTTATATGGCTGATTCGCAAAAGGTTTGCATATTTTTTGCGCCCTAAGGCGCAAACAAATAACAAATATCTCTTTATAACACTTTGTGTCTATTTGTTGGGATTTTTAAGAGTAAGCCAGCAGTTCTTTTGATTTGTATACCCTGTACCCGTAGGCTAAAAAGGGGATAACATGCAGAAGGAAGCATCTCCGACCCCATAAGTATATATACAAGTATTCTGAATCAGCATGACGAGAGAAATCGATCTAGACATGTCCGTCCGTCTGTCCGCCTGTCTGTCTGGATGAACGCAAGCATCTCAGAAACTATAAAAGCTGGAATAACCAAAGTTGGTATCCAGATTCTCCTAGGTCCGAGAAAAGACGAGTTTATCTTATTTTTTTAAATTCCCCTCAGTGTCAGAAGTTAACCTGGGTACAGGGTATTTCACTGTCGACTGCAGCTTCCTCTCTTGTTTATTTAAATTATAGTATTGTATACTTACATACGAGTATATTCAAAACTGAGTCAGCCACATTGCGTCTATTTATGATACTCGTCCACCACATGCCTTGAAACGCGTGACCAAACCCCACCGGAAGCCCCTACGCCGAGTGTGTGTCAATATTATGCAATGCAACTATCTGGTATGCCGTCACTATCTGGTGAACAGTCATCGATGCCTATGACTTACACTTTATACTCTTCGTCACCAGATGCTCTTGCTGTGCATTTGTTGCGTATGACAAAGGCAAACAGCAACCGGTTTATTGAGGTTTTGCTTGTCCGAACACAAATTGCCCAATACATGAGAAATGCGACTAAAGAAAGTTAACAACCTGTTGCATAAGTCATTGCAGCATAAGCCGTTTGGGATAACGTTTCATAAAACATCAAAGCTACTAGCAATCTACAGCTAACATGTAGATTTACAAACGAAAGTGAAAACTCTATTCTAACTTCGTAGATTGGCTAGATTTTGCAAAGTTCATTGGAAGAATACATAAAAGAATAGTTTATTTAGAATGTGCAAACATTTATGCACTTGCCGTCAGAATTAGCTCAAATTAATTATCAACAATTGCAGCAAAAGAGCAGCCAATAATGTACAACTTACAGGCTAAGTATATAGCGCAAAGAATGACAATTAGTGGCATGTATAGTATGTGTGTATGAATGAATTCAACAATTCTTAATTACTGGTGCTGGCTGGCTGTGGTGGACTGTGAAGTGGCCTTAGGGAGAACCCAGACCTATTTGAATGGCCCGCGGGCATTCAAAGTTAGTGTTAATTGCACGCAACAAGAAGAATTTATGGTGACTTGTGGTAATTAAAATTATGAAGCCAACCCACATATGTATGTACATTGTACATACTTGTATGTATGTAGAGACATGCATATAGTGCTTACGTAATGCAATACAAAGCGCTCGGACAGACCAGAGTTTAGTTTTAATCAAATTTAAACGCAAACCGCAAACGCCCGGTACAACTGTACGCGTCTATATGTGCTTGCTACTAGTCTAACAATTCATACAATTTATCCCGGATGTTAGCGCCATGTTTATTTTGTAAGCCGAAAGCACATGATTAGATTAATCATAAATACAAAACAAGAGAGGAATGCTAAAGTTGAGCAGGCTCAACTCTTAAATACCCTGTACCGCCCCACAAAAAAGAAATTTAATTAATTAATTAATTTAATTTAATTAATGAACTAAATTAACTAAATTAAATATAAAATATTCCATACATGCATACATACATTTACATTTACATCAGAATCGTGCCTTATGCGTGTTTGTGTACATATGTATGTATGTGTGCATTGGGCCTGGTTATATGGCTATAACTTTCTTTCCGATCATTCTTTCATAATGAACTTGGTATACGGATATATAATCACTAACCTAATGTGACTACCAAATTTTAGTTCAAAATTCTAAGAAATATAGGAGTTATAGAAAATCGTTAATAGGGGGGGAGTGGGGGGGTGGATCAGAAAAAATTAACAAACTCGTCCTTTCTCGGGCTCAGGAGAATATGTATACCAAGTTTGGTTATTCTAGCTCTTATACTTTCTGAGATCCTTGCGTTCATACAGACAGACAGACAGACGGAGAGACCGACGGACAGACGGAGAGACGGACATGGCTATATCGACTCGGCTTGCCATGCTGATGAAGAATATATACTTTGTGGGGTCTACCAAGCCTCCTTCAGTGTGTTCCATGTGCACTCGCACAAAACTAATATACCCTTGTACCCTTTGGGTACAGGGTATAAATATACGTATATATCACATATGATAAATACAAGTATGCATATAAGTTTTTAAGAGCAACAAAAGAAAGTCGCACTGATAAGCACTCCGAGACAGCCAAGGTCGAGAACAAACTATGCGCTTTATGCTAATCCCATAGTCATAAATTAAGCACCCACATTAAAAAAGAAAATAAATAAATAAATAAACAAAGAAGCTGCCGACAAATGTCACGAGTGGATGTACGTTGGATGTGAAAATGCTATTTCGCATGTGAATGTGAATAGAAATGCCGAGAAAACTGCACAAAGCAACAATTACACTGCGAAATGGCAGACAATGCAACGATTTGCAGGCAGCAGATAAAAAAAAATGAAACACACAAATGCAACAACAAAGCCAACAGTTGGCAATGAGTGAGTAAGCGCAGTAAACTCAGCTCTGATCTTACGAAAATATAAATACATAAATAAATAAATGAGTAGCGCTTTGTTGCTGTTGTGGGGCTGTCCACGGCAATTGCTTGGCTCCTTAATTGAATTTATTTGATTTTCTCATTCTTATTTACTTGTATCGTGTCTACGTTTCTGTGGCTGTGTGGGCAGGGCATTCCTAATTTCTCTTATTGACCGAAACTTTTGCACGACGTTTCCTACACAGGCGTATACAATGAAATACAAATGAAAGTACACACTCACTTGGTAGCTACGAGCACAAGTGTAGGCGTTATTCACCGACACTCGCAATCATTTTTGGAAATGCTGAAGCCCCTCAGTGCTCAAGTGCTTGCAAATACGCAGAATATTGACCCAAAAAATATATGCAGAGAGATCATCTTGCAACTACCTCCCAACAATTTTTCAAAAATAAATCAGTTGAGCAAAAGCTTCCCTGCAAGAGCCATAAACTTGACCTGCAAATGGATTTGGAGAGTGCATGCCAGTACTATTCGGGATTCTTGGGTTCATACAGATGGGTGAGAATTTCAAAGATATGTATAAAGGTTTTGTGTCACGTATTCTTCATTGTTATTATTAATACTCATACGATAGGTACTTTTAAGCACGAATTTAGATAAGTCCTTTAACAAAATATAAACAAGAAATTAGCCTTTGGAAATAAATTAATTGAACTGCAAATAGATTTGGAGAATGCATACTAGCTCCTGTACTTTTCTAAATTTTTATGTTTATACAGATGGGTGAGATTTTCAAAAATATGTATAAAGGCTTTCTGTCACGTCTTCTTTATTATTATTAATACTCATACAATAGGTACTTTTAAGCAATAAATATATAAATATAAACAAGAAATTAGCTTTTCGAAATAAATCAGTTGACATGAAACATAATCTTGAACTGCAAATGGATTTGGAGGATGTTTACCAGCTCCTGTACTTTTCTAAATTTTTATGTTCATACAGACGGACGGGATTTTGAAAATGAAAATGAATAATTTTATTTAAATTCTCTTACGATAGGTACCTAAAAGTCTACTTTAAAAAACGAATTTAAATAGGTTTTCTAACAAGAAATTATAGTTTGAAAATATATTTAATTCATCACTTTTCCAACAAAAGAAGTTGAAGACTGTTTTCTGTGCTGTTCAAATGAATTGTCAGTCGCGTGCCAAATTAATTTTCCGCAAGAATGAAGCTCTTGTGCCCATTGAAAACTGCTTATTTATTAGAGACCCACACTATTATTGTATCTATTCTTTTAAAAATTGTGTTGACGGCATGCTTTAGATAGGTCAGTCAGTCGTACAATGGTTGAGGAGCCTGAATGCTTTTGACAGTAATTATGCTGCACTCTTAATCATCGCTTCGCCATTCTAATTTACATACACAAAATATAACAAGCCGTGTTGCATTGTTTCTCTCTAAGCCGCATTCAGTGTCTCAATAAGAGTAGGTTCCACTCTTACTTCCCTACTTAAAACTAGCACATTCTACAATACATAGTACATAGTTAGTGCCAGCTGCCTGACTGCCTGCCTGCCTTGCTTTGTGCCAGATACAGATACCAAAAACAGGCAAACAAAAGTTGTCAGTCGCACACACAGCCTCAGTGCGGGGAGCGTGCTTTTAGCCATGACGTCATGCCATTCGAATTTAGGCTGAATATAAAATGCAAATTGGTAAGCAAATACATGAGAGTATGTATTTATGTACAAACATATTTCGATTGAAATGAGCTGCGGACAAACACCCTTCGGCTGAGAGCTCATTAGGCGTTCGCTTGTGTGTGCCTGCCTGCCTGGAGGTCTCCACTATATAGTCTAGTGTACTATACTAAGTATATGTATATGTATGTATTCGTTTTTACTTCCTGCTAAGCAGCAACATCAGCAACATCATCAGCAGCAACCCTCTTGAATAAACGCAGTTATTTGGCTGCCCCATTAAATGCAATAGTTGTGGCGCGACAACAACGACCACACCCAAAACAGTCCTCATGAGCTCTGTGTGCTTCCCCCCAATTTTTCCCTTTTTTCCGAATGTGATGAAAGCTACGCACGCCACAAGGCGAAACAAGTGAGACGTCGCCGGCGTGGCGCCAAATTGTTTTGTATCTTGTAAGCGTTTTTATCACAAACAGCAACGGAACTAACACCAAAC